TTACTGTCTAAAGCAGACTTAGAGAGACTTATCCATGCGTTTGTCTCCAGTAGGTTAGATACTGTAATGTTCTGCTCACTGGTCTCTCCAAACGAGCTGTGAGACGCTGCAGAACATCCAGACCGCTGCAGCTCAGGTCCTTTCTCGAACTAGGAAGTACGAGCACATGCGTCCTGTGCTCAGGTCTCTGCACTGGCTCCTGTGGCTCAGAGACTTTAAAGCAGCTCTGCTTGTACAAGTCTCTCCATGGCCGAGCACCAAAGTCCATCTCTAACATGTTAGTGCCATATGAACATCTCACACTCTGAGGAGCTCAGGGATCGACCTCCTGCTGGTGTCCAGAGTCACGACTAAAAAAGAGGAGTCAGAGTTTCAGATTCATGCAGCTCAAACCTGGAACAGTCTGAACATGTGAGACAGACTCGACTTTGACTCTGTTTAAATCCAGACTCAAAACAGTTCTGTTTAACTGTGTCTGACTGAAAGGTTTTCATTCTGCACTCTTCTCTCTCATTTATGTAATTAATGTCTCTCTCTCTTTTTAAATTTTAAGCTTTAATTTTATGATGATTATTTATGTTTTGATTTGTTTTATTGTGATTTTAATGTCTTCCTTATTCTGTAAAGCACTTTGAATGACTTTGTGTACGAATTGTGCTGTACAAATAAACTTGTCTTGCTTATGGAGATGCCATGGAGATCCATCAGCTTCTTGACATTGCTCTGCTTCAAATGTTCCACATTATGACATCAAACAGATCTACCTTACATTTATGCAATTACAGGTGGTTTTAAAGCTCAAAAATACCTAGAGAAAAAGGCATTCTGACTGTGAGCGGGGTCAACTCTCCACAGATCTGACCAGTACTTTGGTTTAGTTTCTAGTATCTCCATGAAGATAAAAAGGTTTAATGCCACTTTGTGAAACATTTCAAACAAAGCAATAACATCTCCATGGAGAAAAGTATTTGACCGACACCCCACCAAAAAAGTTACATAATGCACCTTTAACGGACACATTTTGCTGACAATTTATTTGACTTTTATTTAAACAGGAATGTCTCCATTAGATTGATAGTCGGTTTAGTGAGTCTAGACGTCACAGGGAACTTGAACTTGTTTTTATGTGAGAAATGCAGAACCCAGAGGAAATGTATAGGTCATACGTTCACAGAAACAGGTGCTAAATATATTTGGAGTGGAATGCAACCAAACAAATTCCTGTAATGCCGAGAGTAGAGTTAGATTCAGCATTCAGCAAAATATTACTCATCAAATAGTCATGAATTAAAAATATACTTTATTTGAACAATTTTAGGAAGTTTGACATCATTAGTAAAGATAGCAGCAGCAGCAGTAGTTGTAGTAATAGTAGTAGAAGTAATAGTAGTAGTCTTAGTAGTAGTAGGCTATTAATTACATTCCATTTTGTGACTAAAGGGAGTCACTCCAGTTGGTTCAGTAGTAGTACTACTAGCAGCAGTAGTAGTTGTAGTAGTAGTAGTAGTAGTACTAGCAGCAGTAGTAGTTGTAGTAGTAGTACTACTAGCAGCAGTAGTAATAGTGTTAGTATTAGTAGTAGCAGCAGTAGTAGTACTACTAGTAGTAGTAGTAGTAGTAGTAGTAGCAGTAGTAGTAGTAGTAGTAGCAGTAGTAGTAGCAGCAGTAGGGTATTAATTATATTCCACTTTGTGACCAAAGGCAGTCACTCCAGTTGGTTCAGTAGAAGTAGTAGTGGTAGTAGTACTACTAGTAGTAGTAGTAGTAGTAGTAGTAGTAGTAGTAGTAGTAGTAGTAGCAGTAGTAGTAGTAGTAGTAGTAGTAGTAGTAGTAGTAGTAGCAGTAGTAGTAGTAGCAGTAGTAGCAGTAGTAGTAGCAGTAGTAGTATTAGTAGTAGCAGTAGTAGCAGTAGTAGTAGTAGTATTAGTAGTGGTAGTAGTAGCAGTAGTAGTAGTAGTAGTAGTAGTAGCAGTAGAAGTAGCAGTAGTAGCAGTAGTAGTAGCAGTAGTAGTAGTAGTAGTAGTAGCAGTAGTAGTAGTAGTAGTAGTATAGTAGTAGTAGTAGTAGTAGCAGTAGTAGTAGTAGTAGTAGTAGTAGTAGTAGTAGTAGTAGTAGCAGTAGTAGCAGTAGTAGTAGCAGTAGTAGTATTAGTAGTAGCAGTAGTATTAGTAGTAGTAGTAGTATTAGTAGCAGCAGCAGCAGCAGCAGTGGTAATAGTAGTAGTAGTAGTAGTAGTAGTAGTAGTAGTAGTAGTAGTAGTAGTAGTATAGTAGTAGTAGTAGTAGTAGTAGTAGTAGTAGTAGTAGTAGTAGTAGTAGTAGTAGTAGTAGTAATGAGAAGTAAGAAGTAAGGTATGGTACTATGAACTAATAATTTCCTACTCTGGGCTGACAGGCAGGGTCAAAGGTTGTTTCTTTTCCTTTTTTTTCTTTTTTTCTATATTAATTGTACATCCCTCTCTGCTTGTGAAGGTAATTATAATCAATCAGCTTTGTTTAATTTACTGATAACTTTGGGCTTTAGGCGGGATACTAACAGAGTGGAGGTGTGGAGTGGGCAAGAGCACAACTTCAGGTCAACAACATCCCAGTATTGTGTTAGGATCCAGTTCCTTCAAATATCTGTTGTCGCAATTTGAACCAGTACAAATACATACACTACATTTACATCTTTAAGGTTTGTCAGCAGCTCAGTTTATGGTCTAATTTATCGTGTGCTTTAACTGCCTGCAAATGTACAACTTGACCTATAAAGTCTAGTAGTCTTGCCCTAGATTCAGGATTCTGAGATAACGAAGCTTTTGATACTTTGCAGTGACATCGGGCTGGGGGTGTCCTGCATATATCTGTATGGTCCAATGTTCAGTGGTTACCATGGTGACACAATGAAAACATGAGCAAACAGCCAAAAACATTAAAAACGATATATTCACAATAAAAAATAGATTTAAACAACACATTTCCAGAGGCTATGATCAATACGAGCCTTAATCGTCCAGTTTAGGTGTTTTCAACCAAAAGGTGAGAAAACTAAGTGAAAAACTGTTGGCTGATGTTAGCAGTTTGTGACTGTTTCCGGTGATATCACAGCGTTCTATACGCTAATATTATTTAATACAGACTGGGGCAGCTACAGTGAATATTGTTCAACTGCAGATTTTTGTTCCAATGTAGCAGGGCCTTGGGTCTAGTCAATAATAGAAATGATCAGGTTCCATATAAGGGAATTTACCTTTCTGATATTTTGTGGTACTCGCGTGAATTATGTGGTCCTCTGTGTCTTTTATTTATTTTTAATGTATTTTATTGGCTTTATTTATTTATTGCTATTCTATGATTTTGCTCTTATTTTATTTGACTGTTTTTTATTATTTTAAGACTAATAATAATATAATTAAAGCGTTTATTTTATCATTTTATTATTGTTGTTATTATTATGTATTTGTGCAGCACTTTGGAAACTGTTTGTTTGTGAAATGTGCTGTAGAAATAAAGTGGATTGGATTGGATTGGTAAAGTACAATGTAATTAATAGGAAAAACTCTTCATCTGGGACACATCACTACATTCTAGAACAGGGGTGTCCAAACTTTTTTCATCAAGGGCCACATTTCTAAACACAGATGAAGCAGAGGGTCGATCGACGACCGTAGACTGGTGCTCAATGCAGTGAATAATTGAAATATGTGCATATTTAACACGTTAGAATGAGCCATCAGTCTTTATTCATGCTAAGATCATAAAACCCCACACTAAATATTAAATATTAGCTTTATCAAGATAGATTTTTCAAAAAAAAGCTTGCAGTAAAAAGTTAAGTTTGAATTGATGCAAGATAATGTGGGTCAATTCACCTGGAAGCCTGAGGGCCAAGAAAAAATTATCTGAGGGCCGCATTTGGCCCACAAGCCATAGATTGGACATGCCTGTTCTAGAACCTGAAAAACACCAATATAATTTGAGCAGGACTTGTTTAACAGCCCACATCATCTCACTTGTTGTACCCTAGGCCCAAGTAAGTCAGTTCTTTCTGGTCAGATTTGGTTAAAATAAAGTCCTATTTAAAGCATAATAGAGTTTCTGACAATGCAGTGCCTACAGTTAGCATCACACCCCAGGAAATGTTGATGACATCAGCTGCAAAGTATCATGTAATTTCTGTTTTGATGCAAGTTCAAGAGTTACAGTGCATGCCCAGAATACTAGTATATATACAGTAGTCAATGTCTTCAATGGGCTCTTGTATCTATGTAGAAACCTCAAATAATACTTGGCCTAAATAATGTATAAAACTGGCAACAGCTAACAGATTACATTATTTCCCCCCATTTCCCCAAGACCTATCAGCTAAATTTTGCTATCTTTAAAAAAAAAAAATATATTATTATACATATATACAGTAATATACACTACGCACACATAAAGCAGACATTCAGATTCATTGGAAACAGAAAACACAAAAGGAAAATTAGAGAAAAAAAGAAAGAAAGAATGTAAACATAACTTAACATAAGACAGTAAATCAAACCTAATAAAAGAATCTGAACTGACCGAGGCATCAGCGACTGAACTGAGGGATGAGGAGAAGATTTATCTAACAATGAATTAAGTCTCTGTAGATGTTGGATATTGAAGTGGCCTTTTTGCAGGATAAATGTTGGATCGACTGAAAGTAATGGTTAATTTCTGTTAGAAGTCATGGAAAATAAGGTTTTGTTTTTGAGAATTTTGCTCTGTGTATGTGGTATTTACCAAGAAAAATAAATAAATTAATTAATTTTTCGATTTTTGTATTTTGATGTGCATACTGGGTAATGATGTTTTCTTCATTCAAAGTTATTAGGACGTGTAACTTCTGGGAGAGAAAATGTTCTATTTATTTGTAACTTTTGCTATCCCATTTCTTGCGTCTGACCTAAACGCATCACGGTCTAATCTCGCAGTCGGTCCTTCTTCGCCTCTTCCACCAATCACGCCGCGCCCCTGTGCCGGTAGCGCCGCCCCCGCGAGCGCACTGTCGGCTGCTTGGCTCCATGTTGGTTGACTTTTCTTGGAAGCACCTTACGTTCCTGGTGCGCAGATAGCGGTAGCTCAGCCAGGGCCGACGCACCGGCTCTGCCTCGCGGCGAATGGAGCCAGTGATGCCGCTATGAGAAAGGAAAGCTCACCCCCCACGTCTGGATATCTGAAGAGGGAGGTGAATTAGGTTTTGTCGCACCTGAGGAGAGCGTGCAAAGTGGTATGCGGGCCGAAGTAATTGGATTGAGATAACCCCACAGAGGCAGTGAGTATAACGTTTCTTAGTTATTCAAATTTCTTATAGTTGGGGACGTTATTTTACGCGTAACAGTTGATGCCTGTTCTTTTAGCCTGCAGGCCTATGTTAACCTGTGATAGTGCATATAGAAAATGGGTACCCAGTGTCAATGTTTAACGCTAGACAAAGCAGTTCTTACCAGTTTCACATGTTTCAACAAGTCACCTGACTCCGCTGCGCTTCAAACGGCAGTGCGTAAGTGCCGTTCACGTGAGGAAATATGGCATCTTTCTTTATGAGCAAAAAAAAAAACCGTAATAAATGTGTTGGAAATTCTAAAACATGGCTTTTATGAGCAAAATAAAGTGTTTGCTCCATCAGATTTCGCATCTGCCCGAGTTTCTGTGCGTGCGTAAAATATGTAAAGTAGTCGTAACTCGTCGTAACTCGTTAATAGGGACTTAGGACCCGCGCGCCCGTGACTTTGGCCCCGCCCTTTTCCGGGGGCCACCCTAAACCACAAACAGTCATTACCACGAGCCAGAACAAAGGGTTTGGAGGAGAGAAAGGTGCGGCGGCCCCAGGGCACAAAAACAGATGATAATTGGAGAAGTCTACAGCTGTTAAGACACGGGGCTGACATATGTTCACCATTACACACACACACAGACCCAATAAAATAATAAAAAAAACAAAGAAACAAATGAAAGTGCAAATGACCCTCTTTAAAGCAATATAGTATAGATTAGAAGACCTAAAGTGCTGTTATGGCCTGGTTGTGGGTTCTCTGATTTGAATAATGAAGATTTTTTTTACATCACAGTCAGGACCTGAACTAAACAAAGAATTTACTGTTTCCTGCTCTCTAAACAAAGAGTAAACAAACAAGACTTAAACAAATAACTTGACTAAAAAAGGGAAATGGATGAAAGTGGTGGTAATAAATTTCAGTTTTTTAGTATTTTAGTATTCTAGTTTTGGGTATGTGCTTTAGTTAAACTGGCACTTTTGATAAAGATGGACTAACCTCTACCAAAGACGTTCAGCCCTGATATCCACTTGGTCTTTTTGGTTTGGTTGTACTTTTGGTTTCATTTGTTTTGAGTTGATACAACAGTGCCATGCAATACCAGCACAAAGAATATGAACTAGAGCTGGGACAGTTTGCCTTCTCTAGATTAAAATTATTATTATTTTTTTTCAAAATTTTTATCTGTAGAAAATTGTCAAAACAAAAAAAAAATATTTCAGTTAAAGTTGTAGTGCAGTATAGTAAAATAATTTTGGGTCAAATTATAATTTTTGCTGTGCGCTCTAAATGGAAAATCCTTGAACACAGTATAAAAGCTAAAAGAAAAGAATGTGATGTTACTATATACAGTATGTTCAGAAATGATCACATCAGTGGTCTCCCTCTGCCCTGCTGCTGAATAGGCCCAAAGTACCAGTAGCAGTTTTTACAGCAAATTTTGAACATTTCTGTTACATAAATTATGTAACAGAAATGTTCAAAATTTGCCTTATTGACACCTGCCCCTTTTGGCTACTTATTTAGAATTTATTATTACCATTCACATGTTTTCTCTTTGTTATTATATTATATTGTGATGTGAGAGCTCCTGTGTCCAAGTCATTTCCCTTGTGGATCAATAACATTTATCTAAGTCTAAGTCTATAACAAACATTTTATTGTGATACAGTCTTAACATAAATGTGCATAGTCTTATTAAAGATGTTTCATTAACAGAGGTTTGACTGAGCCACCGCACATTTGTTAACAAAAGTATTAACTTCATTGTGCCGTGGTCTGTGGTCCTTCGCTCTGTAAAAGTTTCAGTATGTGGCTCTCAATTAAAAAAGTTTGACACCCCTGGATGATATTAACCCATCATCATTTTGACTGTAATCCATGTTGTGCTTTTTGTGGAAACTCGCTCTTCTTTGCACACTGCCCTACTGTTTACAAAACTGAGCTACGGAAGCCCAGAGGAACATGCTAGAGGGGAGTTAGGGGAAATCAAATTGATTTTCTCCCAGACAAATCGATTTAAACTTAAAATTCGATTCAGTTTGATTTGTGCCCAGCCTTAATATGAACTTTTCCAAAATGCTGAGAACTGTAATGTCTGTCATCACCATGACAAAAGCAAAAGCATGATATAAACATAGAGTACACGTCTCATTATACCATAGTTTATTATAGTGTTATAGTTTGTTATAGTGTGAATCGTCTACATTAAGCATCAGTCTGAACATTATTATAGACTATAATAATGTTACTTAAGCAAGGAAACTTTATAGATTTGCAAAAAAAAAAAGTCTAAGTCTAATTGCAATTTATTAATTACAGGATTCTTTTCAAAGTTCACATTTTAAAAGTGTGCAGAAGATAAACTCATACAAGGATCACATTCAGAATATGCTTGTACAGATTTAAAGTACAGGGTTATCAGTTTTTATGCAGAATTAGACAGGATGTTTGATTATTTGGGAGGAAATTGTGGTAAAAATTGCAGCTTTTGCGATTTCCCCTTTTTGTTTAAATTTGGTTCATGTGAAGCCCTAATACTTCTTGCATTTTTGATAGTGTAGTTGCATAACAAACTTCAGCCTTTATATTCTAATTAAGCTGAACCTGTTTAGAAACCTAAAGACAATTTTAGATCAGTAAGTCACAAACTGTCAGTGTATTAAAATATTAGTAGTAGTACCAGTTTATTCAGTCAGTTTACTATTACAATTTACAATTTGGATCATGACAATACTGATATCAAAATTATAATCATTTTGAAGTAAAGATTCTAGAAAGTACTCTATCTCTATGACGCATTAGACACAGGCAGCTAACTGTGCTTGGAATTAAACTGTTAGATTCAACAGTTGGCCAAAGCCTGCGTACTATTTGTGTAACATTTATGTAACATGTGGTATTATAACATTATGCTCCAAAGTGATTATACTAACCCTTTAACTTTAATCTGTGCATGTGTTTGGGGCTCAATATTTATAGTACGTACAATTTCTTTGCAATAGTGGGGAGATTTTGTTTTTTTTTAGTTGTAATATGTAAAAAAATAGATCTACGGAGTGTTGAAAATGTAACTATGTCTGATTATTGATGTATTTTTCTGCTTATTTGTTGTCGCACAAGCTTTTTAACGATACTGTATGTTTTCAAATGTTTAACTGGGATTATCTTGTGTTATTATTGTTATTGTGTCAGGTGTATAAATTGCCCAAAGCCTGTGCACTATTTTTGTAGCATTTATGTAACATGTGGTAATGGCTAGACAGAGGGCTAACCCAATATAACATGACAAACGGAGACAGGAAGTGAACCGTCACGACTGACAGCCCCCGCTAAAACTGTATAAATCAGTACTTTATAAGCTTCCAGTGACGACTTCCTGTTTGAAATCATTTTGGCAGCGCATGAGTGTCCAAATATTTATAGAAACCTCACACCAGGCCCCTGAAACTGCAATTCTAGACTCAACAAAATAGTGATTTAATCTTATGATAAGGACAAAATAACAGCACGCAGCATAGACTAGAGTATGAACAATGGAAAACCAAAACCAGGGTACAAAAGCCACACGCTAACCACTTGCGGCCCCCATGTGGTGATTTGTTTTTGTACTGTTTTATTTCTTTGTCTGAGAAACTATACAGTAGGATTGTCAAAAGTATCAAAAATCTGATATTAATCAATACTAAAACTGGTATCAAAACTGCCTACTCACTACAACAAGTAATGATGCTGAAAAAGTCCCATTCACAGGACAGAAATGAACCTTTCCTGAATAGCTCTAGAATGATCTTGAGCTGTATCAGAACAAGTATAAGAGCACATAAACTAGTACACACCCATGGACACTATGGGATCTACCTGCACCACTGAGGGATTACACACATATAAGACCACATGGGAATAAAAAATAAATAGATTTAATGTTGAAAATGGCATACTATTGTTTAAATAAGGAGCATCTGTATTGGATAGGGGTTTAAAGATATTCAAGTCTCGGTCACGTTACGGTTTGAACCTCACGGTACGATATTTATTGCGATATCGTGGGAAAGTTCAAAATATGGTGGGGAGGCTCATGATTAGAGATGTAACAATATCCAAATCTCTCTGTATGTAGTTAATATGATTAACTGAGATTCAGGAGCAGGACCACGCCTCAGCCGTCGTCTCCTCTCACCAGCGAACCACAACTCACCTCGACCACGCCTCGAATTTCCCAGAAGCCTATATGTAGCAGCCTTTCCCATCATCCCAGTTTGTCTTGGCGAACTCGACCCCACCCTCCCATCCCCTATTTTGTCTTTCAGTCATAAGACTCCTACAAGGGGTGTCCCCGTCCCGGCTGGGCCAATTGCAGATTTAGACGGAGCCCCCACCCATAGTCTGAACCAGCCATCTCTGCCCCGCTTCGTACATTATCAAGAAACTTCTTTGCACTATGTTGTTGTTGGCGTGGTCCTAGCTAGTGAAACGATATTTTCACGATATATATCTCACAGTACGATATTTATTGCAATATTTTGTGGAGTCAAACAAAACTGTGAATGTGCTACTTTTTTCTCTTAAAATGCCTTGACAAGACTTAATCCAAAGAACTAAGATTTAAAAGTGCTTAGAGCTGCTATTTCTTCATGTAGTCTGCACTGAAATGGAGCAAAGGATCATGGTCTGTGTAGTTCCCTCTGTCTTTTTTGAGCGATTGTTGCACCCATAGACTGTACAAAAGAAGTGGACTAAGCAAGTGTGACATCACCCAGTGTTCAGCGCCGCTCAAATGAGGCTCGTGATGTTCATGGTTACAGGAGCAAATCTGGACCCAGGCTCTACGTTATGAATAAGATTTTTTTGATGGACCAAACAGTGAAAAAAAAAATCAGGATCATGTAGAGCAGGTTAATGTGAACATTTTAAGACCAAAATGACGAGGCTCACTGTAGCAGGTACAGAGAGAGGAGCAACAAGATCCTAATGTAAGTCAGTTGGAGACGGGGTCAGAAGGAGCTGGAAGAGCCTCCTGGAGAACTTCCTATTTGGTACACAGCAGCTAGAACATCAGCAATGTCCACTCATATACAGTCTATGGTTGTAATACAAGAAGGATACTAGTCACTGGGGTGTAACGATATTCAAGTCTCATGATACGATATTGTCACGGTATGAACCTCACAGTACGATATTTATTGTGATATCGTGGGAAAGCTCATGATATGATGGAGAGACTCATGATTAGGAAAGTAACATTATCCAAATCTCTCGGTACAATATTTTCACGATATAAATCTCACGGTTTGATATTTATTGTGATATTTTGTGGAGGCTAACAAAACTTAATATGTGACTTTTTACTCTTAAAATGCCTTGACAAGACTTAAACCACAGAACTAAAACTTAAAGTGTGTTAGAACTGTTTTTGGTTTTTTTTTATAGTCTACACTGGAATGGAGCAAAGGATCATGGTCTATGTAGTTCCCTGTCTTTTTTTTTTTTTTTAGCTGTTGCTGCACCATAACTCTTCATTTAAGCAAAGAGACTTGTCATTCGATATATTGTGATGGTCCACGATATTATTATGAGAACTTTGACGATACAGTATCACGATATTTCTCTTATTGATACATCCCTATTGAGTATTTAGTATCGAGTCTATTCCTTAGTATCGACATCGAGTTTGAAACACTGCCACACAGTTGACAGTGACAGGCATTAAATGTAGCCTCTTTCCATGAAGACGAGCATGTATATTTAAAGTCATACTGCAAAATATTCCAAAAGTGCACTGTGTAACATTTCGGCTGGTGGTCCATCAGCTTCTTGTCATTGCTCTGCTTTGAATGTTCTACAGGGTGATATTAAATATTTCTACATTTATTCAATTACAGATGGTTTTATTGCTCAAAGGTTACAGAAAGGTTACTGCAGTGCACATTATCTGTCAGCTCTGTGTCAGCTCTATGTTCGCACGTTTTCTGGATTGTAGAGTTATAGATAAGGTCAGGACCAGGGTGAGAGTCATGGATTCTTTTAAATGTGAGAAAACATGGCTGTGGAACATAAAGCAGTAAGAATATAGGTCACGCTGCCATTTCTCCAAAAACTTAACAAATCCATTCAGCTTTTACTACACAAGGGGATTTGATTAGAGCAATTTGCCTGGAATGTTTCACGGTATGACAATAAACAGATTTACTTTACATTTATTCAATTACAAGTGGTTTTACAGTTCTTTATAGCTCAAAAAACAGGCATTCTGACTGTGAGCGGGGTTCCACAGATCTGACCTGTAACTTGGTATGATTTGGTAGAAAGGTTTAATGCCATGCTGTGAAACATTCCAGACAAAGCAATAACATTTCCACAGAGAAAAACAGGTGATAGAGCCTCCACCAGAAAAGTTACACAGTGCACCTTTAAACTTCCAACTCATGAATTACACAATATTTGACACTAATTTGTTCAGAATGAGCAGAGTCATGTGAGTTTGGTTCACACACCTCTTAATCCTTCATGCCATTGTATTGGGGTATGACCTCTTCAATGGGGCAGTATGTAGACGCATTCCAATGATATATAATGACAACAATGACTCTTCTATTCCCTATCTACCCCTTACACAGTCTCTGCTCTCTGCCAGTTTGGGACATTTGTCAAAGTCCTACAGCGAAAGGGGCAAGATCTATAACAGGCTCTAATTCTGGTCCCTGGTAATAAAGAGTATTATAGCGATTTATCATAAAATGCAGACTGTAGACCACTAACCTACCTGGACGACTGAGGGATTGCACAGATGTAAGGCCATGTGGGAGTATAAATGAAAGTACTATTGGTTCATGTTGAAAGTCACATTCTATTGTCCGGGGATGGGACAAGATCTCATGCCACAAGACTTTTTTCCCCCATTTAGTATAGTAATTTATCTGTATGTACTGTATAGCAGTTTCTATACATTTGATAATGTTCCTCTCCTGTAGGATTGTCCAAAAAAATAAAAAATAAAAAATCACATACTAATTGATACTAAAACTAGTACTGTAGCTCATTTGAACTGGTAATCACATCACAGGATAGACACAAACCTTTCCTGAGTAGATTAAGAATGATCTTGAGCTGTATCAAAACAAGTATAAGAGCACATAGACTAGTATAATAAACAAGTAAAAAGTACTGCTATTTAATGTTGAAAAGTCTAAATAAAGAGTGTTTTTATTATCATTGTGGTATCAACATTGGTATTGAGTGTATTCCCTCGTATCTAAATCAAGTTTGACATTTCAGTATTGTGACAACACTAAGCCTTGCTAATAAAGTGTATTATAGTAATTTATCACTAAAATACAGTTTCCAGACATTGGATTTGCAGGCCTGGATTGTTGTTGTCATATTGCCAAGTGCACTTTGCTCTTTTACTTGCCCTTTGGTTCTGTGGCACTGTGGTGTTACTCTGTGTTGTAGCTTGTAAGTATTTAACAGAAACTACTGTAAATACCATGGAATAAACATTACAAGTACTACAAGACATAAAGACACTGAGCTTTTCTCTACAGTGAAAAAAAAAAGTACTTTTAATTATATCACCTATCATTTAATCTGTGTAATATACTCAGGTGCATTTCAAATAAGTAATAATGGTGGCACCCAGTGGTAGAAGTAGTTATTTACTCATTGGTAGCTTTAGCAGATAAAAAATACCCGTTATGTATCATCATCCAAAAAGCATAACAGGTACTTAGTAAATATTTAAACAGTTTAAAATAAAGATGCTTTTTAGGTCTACTTCACTCTGTGTTAATGTGGACACCTAAGTATTATCAAAGTGAAAGGGTTATTTTATGGAGTCCTGAGCTCTAAGAGTTAAAATTAAAGCTACAGTATGTAACTTTTTACTAAAATAAAAGCATTTTTTTAGGGGTGTAACAATATCCAAGTCTCACAATACGATATCGTCACGGTATGAACCTCATGGAACGATATTTATTGCGATATCGTACAAAAGCTCATGATATGGTGGGGAGACTCACTATTAGGAATGCAATAATATCCAAATCTCTTATGATATTTACTCAATATTTTCACAATATAGAGTACATCTCATGGTACAGTATTTATTGTGATATTTTAACTGTTAATATGCTACTTTTCCCTCTTAAAACGCCTTGGCAAGACTTAATCCAAAGAACTAAGACTTAAAAGTGTTAGAACTGTTATTTATTCTTGTAGTTTAGACCGAAATGGAGCAAAGGATCATGGTGTATGTAGTTCCCTCTGTGTTTTTTTTTAGCTATTGCTGCACCATAACTCTTCATTTAAGCAAAGACACTTGTAATTCGATATATTATGATGGTCCACGATATCATTGTGAGAACTCAAACAAAACGATATCACGATATTTCAGTTATTGTTACATCCCTACTATTTTTTCATTTTGGAGGAGAGCCTTTTCCTGCTTGTTTCCATAAAAGTATTCCTTTGGTTATAATCTTCACTAGTATGGCGTAAAACTTCAATATGTTCATGGAGAACGTTCCAAAGTATGGTCTTAACATTTCCATGGAATCATGCAGGTGACATCCCACCTCCTCCATTAACATACAAACAACATACATACTGTACCTAGAAGCCTAACCCTCTGCTGCTTCTATAAGTCGTCTTATTAGAAATTGAACTTTTCCCGAGGCACCACAGACCACAGTTGGGTCACTAAACTGCTCTTGTTTGTCTGTTGCAGTGATGTTCACCCTGACGGAGGTGGCCTCGCTGAACGACATCCAGCCCACGTACCGCATCCTGAAGCCATGGTGGGACGTGTTCATGGACTACCTGGGGCTGGTAATGCTCATGTTGGCCATCTTTGCTATGACCATGCAGATCACCAAGGACCAGGTGGCGTGTCTGCCTTACCTGGAAGAGTCCGAAAGCTCACCTCATAACAGCCCGCACGCCCCATCCACACCCCAGGCAACGTCACCGGCCACAGCAACCCCCCTGGTCACCCCTGTTTCCATGGAGACTAAAGACTTACCGGATTCGGCTGTTCACGAAATCCACAACACCCACGTAGAGCCTCGTCAATACACCGCTCAACCTCAACCGACAGGCAAGAAAACCAACTTAGACTTTCAACAGTACGTTTTTATCAACCAAATCTGTTACCATGTTGCCTTGCCCTGGTATTCCAAGTATTTCCCATATCTGACTCTTATCCATACGATCGTTCTTATGGTCAGCAGCAACTTTTGGTTCAAGTATCCCAAAACTAGCTCAAAGATCGAACATTTCGTCTCCATTCTGGGGCGTTGCTTTGAATCTCCTTGGACTACAAAAGCGTTATCTGAAACTGCTTGTGAGGACTCAGAGGAGAACAAGCAGAGGCTAACAAATGCCACATCTGGTCCGAAGCAAGTATCGCTAGAAGAAAAAGAGGACAACGCCACTCCAAGCCCCACTACGCCAATGTTAGGGGTGAAAGTTTCCGCTGATAAACCTATAACGGAGGTTCCAAGTACTATGACAATCCTGGACAAGAAGGATGGAGAGCAGGCCAAGGCACTGTTTGAGAAAGTTCGGAAATTCAGAGCTCACGTAGAGGACAGTGACTTCATTTACAAGCTTTACGTGGCTCAAACTATCGTCAAAACGGCCAAGTTTATTTTGATTTTGTCGTACACTTCGACGTTTTTGGTTAAAATCAACTTCAAGCATGAATGTAAACCAGATATTCAGCATCTTACAGGTTACGGGAGGTTCTTCTGCACACACAACATGGCTTTTATGCTAAACAAGCTGCTAATTAGCTACATGGCGTTGATTTTGATCTACGGGATGACCTGCTTGTATTCGCTGTTTTGGGTTTTCCGTAGACCGCTTAAGGAATACTCATTCGAAAAAGTACGAGAAGAGAGTAGTTTCAGTGACATTCCAGACGTCAAGAACGATTTTGCATTCCTGTTACACATGGTCGACCAATACGACCAGCTCTACTCTAAAAGGTTCGGCGTTTTCTTATCCGAAGTTAGTGAGAACAAGTTGAGAGAGATAAGCTTAAACCACGAATGGACTTTTGAAAAACTGAGACAACTTGTGATCCGCAACGCACAAGATCAACAAGAGCTCCATCTGTTCATGCTTTCTGGTCTACCAAATGCTGTTTTTGACCTGACAGATCTGGAAGTACTTAAACTGGAGCTTATTCCAGATGCGAGATTCACGGCTAAAGTATCACAAATGACAAGTCTGCTGGAGCTACATCTGTGCCACTGTCCGGCGAAGGTGGAGCAGACCGGCTTTGCTTTTCTTCGAGATCACTTGAGGTGCCTTCACGTCAAATTCACTGATGTCGCTGAGATCCCAGCTTGGGTTACTTACTGAGAAGTTTGCGTGAGCTGAATCTGGTCGGGAATTTGAACTCGGAAAATAACAAAATGATCGGACTCGAATCCATGCGCGATTTAAGGCACCTAAAGACCTTATGTTTGAAAAGCAACCTCACAAAAATGCCTACGAACATCACAGAACTTTCGCCACATTTGATCAAACTGTTTATCCACAATGATGGCACGAAATTACTGGTTTTGAACAGTCTAAAGAAAATGACTAGTCTTATTGAACTAGAGCTTCACAACTGCGAACTCGAACGGATTCCTCATGCTATTTTTAGCTTGACCAACCTGCAAGAGTTGGATCTGAAAGCAAACAATATCAGGACTATTGAGGAAATCATTAGTTTTCAGCATCTTAAGAGACTAGCTTGTTTGAAACTTTGGCATAACAAAATCACCAGTATTCCCTCATCGATTGGACAAGTCAAATCTGTAGAAGCGCTCCATCTTAACCACAACAAGTTGGAGTCCTTGCCCCCCGCGCTGTTCACTCTACCCAAGCTTCGGCACTTGGATCTGGGTCACAACTCCATCATGGTACTCCCCCCGGACATTGGCCTCCTTCACAGCCTCCAGTACCTTGCCATCAATATGAACAAGCTCGAAGTGCTACCCAAGCAACTGTTCAGATGCACTAAGCTGAAAGTTTTATGCTTAGCTCACAACGCGCTCACCACCTTGCCGGAAACCATGGGGCAGCTGGTTCAACTGACTCAGCTGGAGCTCCGAGGGAATTGTCTGGACAGGCTTCCGGCGACGCTCGGAAACTGCCGACTGCTCCGGAAAAGTGGGCTGGTGGTGGAGGATCATCTCTTTGACACACTGCCCCTAGAGGTGAAAGAAAGCATCAGCAGGGAGACCAATGTGTCCTTTACCAGCGGCTTGTAGTAAAAAAATTGGGCTAAACAGATATGTTGGTTTGCTGATATTTATACTTTTTAGTGTATCAGATATCGGTCTTAAAGTGCCTATGACAGGTTTGGACTGCTGATTTTACTAAAACACAGTTAACATCATTATATTTAAGATTTTTGCATTTGTTTTTCCAATTTGGCCATGTGTTAGGTTTAATTTTTTTCCATAACTGTTACCCAGAAGAAAAAAAAAACTCCTCTAATGTACACAGAAATTATTATCTGACAAATACAAGGAAACACAAAAAAAAGTTTCTTAAGTGTAAACTGTGCTGAACGTTTGTATAGAATTCTCAGTACTGACGTTATCAGTGTGTTTAAAAGTCTACTTCCTGTCATTTTCAACATATTTTTCACAGTTTCTCCACAAGTTGCTTCTTGATTTGTGCCAAACTATAATTTACACTTACAATAGTTATTATCCCACCAAATGAAGTCAAAATTAGAGAATCATAAAAATCTGTCATATGCACTTTAAACCTCTAAAGAATACACATAAAGCTTTATTTGAACACTTTAGTGCAAAGACATATCTGCTAAAACGTGACTACACAGCTCCCTTAAAGATAGTGGTAAAAAAAAAGGCTGTGGGTGAGTTTGAAATCAAATAAAATGCACAAGTTCGGGCAAATAATCAAAATCTGCCCTATATATCGGCCCAAAAATATCGACGGCTCTGGATTCTAAACAATCAGCATCTCCCATGAAAAATCCCACAATCTCTAGTAAAAACGGAGTAACACTTTAGACACTTCAACAACATTTAAGTGTGACATTTCTGATAGTGGGCACGCCACCTGCACAACTCCATGGAGGTAGAAAGTGAAAGCAATACTTCAAAAAGGAGATTTAAGTTGAATGCCATATAGTGGAATATTCCAGGCAAAGCAATAACATCTCCATGGTGACAAGCAGGTTGTGTGCCCAGACCAGGCCAAGTTACGAGTCTGTGAAAAGGCAAGCCTGCTCACAGTAAGGACACATGCTTTTTAAAAACTAAAACACCGTTAATGATTACACTTTGGCCTATAGTTTGGCTGAAATGTTCTGTAAATGTTTTAATGAGGGTTTATAAAGACGCAATCGTGTTGATATAGGTGTTTGTATCCTGCTGGTACCCTTATGGTGTGGGTTGTTTATAGATTCTAGATTGTGATGGTGTCACATTCACTCAGATGACGATCAGGAGCGAGTTCTGTGGAAGCTTTCAGTTGTGGTCTAAATATGCAAAGGGTAAAACCACAGATGTTGAACACGATAATGTATTTTTTACTTAAAGGAACACTGCGTAACATTTCTAGTCGAGGGTCCGTCACCTTTTTTTCCCCATAGAAATATTATTGCTTTGTCTAGAATGTTTCGCAGTATAGATTAGACCTATATCTGTCATGAAGGAGACAAGCATGTCACAGCACTATGCTACATTACAGTTCAGCTCTGTGGAGAGGCGGGCTTTTCACCGAAGGAATTCTGTTTTTGAGCAAGTGAAACACACATAATGATTGAATGCTAGATGGATATGTTTAATATCATACCATGGAACATTTGTGGTAAAGCAATAACATCTCCATGGAGACAAGAACGTAGCAGACTCTCCACCAGAAAAGCTGTGTAATGTACTTTTAATTTCAATATTCTAGAGCCTTTAATTTTAAATTGAGATGGAGGGCAGGAAAATGTATGAATAAGTGCAGAATTTGGTGTGTATATTTCATGAAAGTGATATCACAGATCTGATTAATAATTTTATGACAAACATAAAATCCCATGTGTGACATCTTTGCATCACAGAATCTAAAAACAGCCAACAATAAACTGCCATGTTTTCTAAACTTTCAAATAGTTCTCATCTCTTTCTGTTGAAGTGAATGTAGGAGGATCTTAGACATTGCCTGGCAAATACAAAATGATATCTGGATTATACAGATATCAGTTTGGTCCCCACGCCCTGTGTTGCATCTCAAACCCAAACGTAAACATGCTTTGCTCATTGAGTCTGCTGAAATCTGCAATGTTTTTGTGATGTTTGTGAAATTTCTTTCCCTTTCTGTTTTCCTTGTAAACTGCCATAACTGTTTTAATAAAAACGGGCCACGCATGTCCCTGATTGGCTAATCCACCTGTCAATCACACCCATGTGAAAACACTAGAGATTCACCGGTGACCAGACTCACATGTTCATAATGTATTGAAGAAGTGTGTTTTCTGGATCTCCGATTTCATAAATCAAGAGTCAAGGGAAAGTACTCTTTAAAAGAGTCAATCCCCTTCAGTCTTAATTTTTTATTAATAGTGTAGCCTGTTGCTAGTTAGGATCTATGTGTGTCCTACAATTTAAATGTAGTAGTCCACGTTTTCTGTTGGTGTTCATGTGATCAAGCCAGCAGGGTAGATTTTACAATTCATGAAAAAACAAAACAAAAAAAACACTTTCATTGTATTTGTATTGTTATCTTGTATTTCTATATGATTTTAAACCTTTAATCATTATTTTGACCATGACTAATAATAATTTCTTCACATTATATTTTTATGTGCACAGTATTTAACATTAGAAAACTAGCTTTGCACTGCTTTTAAGACCAAAACTGCTCCATTGTCATTGTCACTGTTTATAGGTACTCAGGTATTCAACGCACACCATGGGAACAGTCTTTTGCCTTAACTGCTGCTACCTTTGCTTTGATGAGAAAAGGACTACTACACAAATGCCATATTCCAGCACCAGAATGAACCTCCTCCCACAGTGGAAGAGAATCCAGTGACACATTTTATTTGATCAGGGTTAGTGCTGGACAGTTGGGTCTGGAGGGACGGAAGTGATCACGTAGGTCTGGTTGCCACGGTAATATGTTAGCTATGTTGCTATAAACAGCTGTAAAACTTATTTTTGACAGTTTTATGTTTTATTTTATGGTGCAAGTTGAGAGCGAGTTGAGTGGGTGACAAACTTGTTTCTGAGTTTACTTCTGCTAACATTTTAACTACCCAATACACTTTCCTATTCATAATGGTACTATATTACGCAAAATTGACTCTTGTTAGCTTTAAAGGTGCAGTGTGTAACTTTTTGGTTGGCGGTCTGTCACCTGCTTGTTTCTATGGATATGTCACTCCTCTGCCTCGAATGTTCCACAGTATGACATTAAATTTATTCAGTTACAGGTGGTTTTATAGCTCAAAAATACCTAGAAAAACAGGCATTCTGACTGTGAGTGAGGTCGCCTCTCCACAGATCTGGTTTGGTCTCCATGACGATAGAAAGGTTTAATATTATTCTGTGCCAGACAAAGCAGCAACACCTTTATGGAGAAAAGAATCTGACAGACAAGTTACACAATGCACCTATAAGACATATTAGAATGTTGTTACCTCCTCAAAAACACACACGGAGTTGTGTTTTGTTTCATTTACATAGGAGTAATCCTTTCTGTCTACAGCTCCAAAGCTCAAAATGTTCTGTTCCATCTTGCGAGGTCATGAAGTGGTTGTTTTCAAGTTAACAGCTACATTTTAGCTTTAGTTCAGTAGAGACTGGCTGAAATTATCAACTGATTCAAGTGAAGGTGTATGGCAGGGGTCTCCAACCTTTTTCCTCCGGTGAGCTACTTTACAAAACAAAAATGCCAGAGAGCTACTCATTATAGCGGCTGTAAGAAACTGAGATAATTATAAAAAGAGGGAAAGCCTTTGGGTACAGTTTGACGCCTATAAAACATTAACCACTGTCCATTTGTTAGTGCACAAAGTTGACCTTCAAAATGATACATTTACAATCGTAATAGGAATGTAACCACATTTTTGTTATTCAGCACAATAGTATAATTCTGAAATCCCTTGGCGAGCTACTTGGAAGAGGGTGGAGACCTACTGATAGCTCCCGAGCTACACGTTGGAAACATCTGGTGTATGGAGTTTAAAAAAACAGTGAAGCACTTATCCACATTACCACATGACATCACAAGGTGGAACAAAGTGTTATCCATTTGAGAGAAGAACTGAGCCTAAATCTGCAGGGTTTGTGTGTTAAACACGTGTGAATGAAACAAAACACAACTCCAGATTATGTTTTTGATGAGGAAACAACATTATAACATACATGCGATTAAACAGCGTAATATGGGCCCTTTAACCATTTCTTTACCCATAATCCCCTTCATCACTTTGAATAGCCAATCAGAGCAGACCGTCCCTCCCGACCCTACATTTCTGCATGGACCTTCTATCAGACTGTCAAACTCAGGAGAAGAGCACACCACTTTTTTGAATAGAGATTGTAACCCTTGTAAAGCCTGTAATAATAATCAAGATGCACAATATAAAGAATGAATGTCATGATGAGGCCTGTCCAAAGCTGGCACAAGCAACTAAAGGGAAATATTTTACTTCTTGTTTTAATGTAAGATAGGATTAGAAATGAATAGGACTGATTTTCTTATAATTCATTGTGTAAAAAGATAAAATAAACTGTCTCCAAATAACGTTTTTATTGTATTTTGTTTGAACTTTTCATTGTAAAAACAAGCACAATTCCAGTATAGTGAACATTTAAAAGCTGTTAGCTCAGTGTGAATAGAGATGTAGGTGTGGGAGGGTTTTATTTTTTGTTTAACTTTTGTTCTTTTTGTTCAATATTAAAATAAATACATTTTCAAAAAGCTGTTAGGCCTCCAAAGACAACATGCTTTTAATAATAAGGAAGGCCAATGGACTTTAAGTACATTTAAGAGGGTTTCATGTTTTAAAAAAAAAAACTTTATTATTTGGTTTGGTGGCACAGTACATGTCATGTGGTGAACTAGTATTCATAATAGTTTTACATCAGTTTAGTGTCACTTTGTTGAAAAAAAAAAAAATCTGAAATAAAGCATAATAGGAAATAGCACTGACTCCTAAAACAAAATTCCTGTATCAAAATACCTATGAAATCAATATTAAAAATTCAATCCAAAATGCAGAAACAATTTACGCACAATATTTTTCAGACAGATCAAACACTGAATTAACAAAATAACTCCATTGTTCTCTATTTTTATTTATCTAATCATAACTACGGCATCATTTAAACAAGCTTTGGCCCTTTTTAACATAATGGTCGCTAGAACAGTTATGGAAGGAAGCTCAAAAGTGATCACCACTGTTTCCAGAAGTAAAAATCCTCTTCATTTTCCCCATAGACTGTCTGAAAAAAATCTAATAAAAATAAAGGTTTGAAAGCTTGCTCAGGGCTAATTAGCTATGTACTGACCACAAGACCTATACTTTTATGTAAAATCTGTTACTGAAACTTTATAAACCTTTAAATTATTAAAATAGCTGAATCTTGCATTAAAAAAAACAAACATCAGAATTAACAAGTAGACACAACTAAGTACATTTTTCTTGTCAAATCTTATGAATACAATGTTGTGAAGTAGGTTTTAGTGAAAAAGTTATTTATAGTTTATAGGCCACAATGCCACAATCTGGATTCATAAAATTACATGTGTGATTCATTAACTAAAGCATGTATAGAAACATATGTATAAAAATAGGCTATACTTTCTGCTCCTGTTACACTCAAAGTTCAAATTTTATGACACAATAAAAACATAAACCTCAAGCTATTAATAATGTACTGGGTTAGCCCCATGAGCAAGTTCACAAACAGGAAACAAACACACAAGCAATGATGAGAATAGTATTCATTGAGTTGGTTAGTACTACATTTACTTGAGTAATATTTTAAAGAAATTTGACTTTTCAGAATAATTTTACTCCGGCTTGAGTAATATTTTTTGAAGAAGAAGTACTTTTACTTGAGTAAAAATTTTGGTTCCTCTTCCCGCTGTGTTCAAGTGACTAAAGCTTTATGTTGACAATATGAAATTTTTTCAACATTTGTGTTTCTTGCACCGCTCCTTCAGATGTGGTTTAGTTTTTCTCACAGTTTTTTGTGTCTGTCTTTAGAAAATACCAGATCTTATAGCTTTTAAAAACTGTAAATAAAAATGTTTCTATTCTGAAAGAAGCAGCATTAAAGGATTACTGACATTCCTTCTTCTGCATGTCCCGACATCACAGTTTTAGATTACATATTTCATTTCGTGGAATCTTAAGAAGTCTTATTGGAAACTTGGATTAGACAAGACGGCTCAGTGTTGGGGTATTTGGAAACTTGAAGTTTCATTTGTATCTAAATCATAGTTACAAATGAGTTTTGTATTTAAATCATAGTTTTACTAACCACATTTTTGTGAGTTTGTGAACTCACAAATATTACAAAAATCCATTTTGATGACCAAGGTTAGAGTTTTACATCAGTCAAGTGATAGTTTGTGAAGGGAATTGGAGAAAACGAATAGAAACATGTAGCAAAAGGAGAACTGAGTGATAAAAAGGAATCCTCTATTATATCCATGATTCATATTTTATTTCATTTTATTTCCCAAAATGTAGTAACACTTTAACACAAGGAGCACATTTCTCTCTCTAACAAATTAAACATATATAATAAAAATAAGGAAGTTTGTTATATTTTATTTGTCAAAATTGGTTTTATCCAAGAATTGTTTTTTGTTTTTTTTCCTGGACGCTGAGCGGCTGTGACTGCAGATACAATAACACTAAATGCTGCCATCTAGTGGACATTATAATAATCAGCTAAGTTGCAGCTATTAGAGGGAAGAAGTTAACAGAAGAACAGTAAAATTGCGACTACATTGAGTATATTTTAAATAATGTACCGGCCAAATAACCCACGCTTTAACGCCCCACCTGGCGCTAACAGAAGAAAGTCTTTCGAGCCCAGACACAGCTGGAGGTAACGAGGAAAAAACAAACAAGGACGCGGAAGCTAACGGGATGCTAGCAAAACATTAGCTTACCAATAAAGAATTCACTGCACATTAACTTTCATGCTATGTTTAGAGTTTTTCTGGGTCTTCTCTGTGGACTTACAATGCATGGAACTATTAGCAGATGCAATAGTTTGTGAAATAAATGGGGCAAAAGGGGCACGTTAATAGCAAAAGTGACTAAGCTCTCCATGCTATCTTATTAACAAACTCATTCATTCAACAGCATTGAAGTTTCCATTGGTCAAAACTAAATAAGTGCACTTAAGCTTCCCTCCCATTATTTAATTGCTACTATTAATATATATATTTTAAAATATATACCATATTTATATTTTATTGCACCTTATTTGCAAGTTTTACTCAGGGTTAGGGTTAGGGTTCTATTTCCCCCAGTGTCAAAATGAGTAAAGGTGCACCACTTTCCTGGTGGAGGGTCTGCTACCTTCCTGTCGCCAAGGAGTAGTAATGTTACACAGTATAGCATTAAACCTATTTCTAATATATTGCATTCATTCAATTGCACATGTTTTTATTGTCCAAAAAAGGCCTTGAAAAACATGTATTCTTACTGTGCCTCACCACAGATTTGACCTGCAACTTTCCATCACCTGCTTGTCTCTGTGGATATAGAAGTGTAAAGCTATACTGTAGAATATTGTAGACAAATCATCAGTGACAGCTCCGTGGACACAACCAGGTGGCTGAAAAGTTACATAGTGTACTTATAACAAATATCTCAACAAGGCACACACTCAGTTCATATCATAAATGTATTCTAACTAGTAACTGCAATGAGGGCAGTGCCACCATCACCGCACCATCTGGAGAGTCTTTACTTTATCTTGTATTTTATAAAGATGTATTTTTCATGCATGATGTTTCAAACAGGGCACCAGAAGATTTCAAAAGGAATGTACCACCGCCACCACACGGTCAAAGCAAAGACGCAGGCAAATCTAATCAACCTCAAGCTCCGACACTACCATCAGCTCTTAAAAAAACATGTGAGTTATAACTATTTCAATCACAACTATACAGTTTAAATTAAAAATGTAACCATAAGATTGCTTGTTTGCCTACAGTTGGCCCAGAGGTTAACAAATGGAAATCGTCATTCACAGTGGTCGGTGAAGATGACAAAGACACAAAAACCAGCAGTGACAAAGGAAGCTCTCCAGACAAACCCAGGTAAAATCACACTTGACTAATTTTCTAACTGACTAATTTCTCTACAAAATTATGTGTTAATTTTGCTGTTCTTGTACTATGTGTTGCAACACTGGAGCTTCCCCTTACAAAAAAGCATCAGTATGAAAATTTTTGGTTGTCAAAAGAAGAACAAAACTAGTATTGAAACTAGATACAAAGCAAATATCAAAAAACATTAGACTAAGGTCATAATATTTTCTCCATGTCTGGGTTGGTTTCCACTGGACACTCCAGTTTTCTCCATCAATCCGAAGTATGCACCATAGGTAAAAACCTTCAGCTAAGTTTCTGACCAAGCCTTGGTCAAGATCTGGAAATTGGTTTTCAGGCATGGCACTGCAGTGCCCACTGCTCCTGACAAGTTTCCCCAGCAGCAATGAAGGATTCAAAAGTAGCTCAGTTGGTAGAGTATTTGTCCACTGACCTGAAAGTTGGCTTCTAGCTCCCACAAATGAATGCTGTGGTTGTGTCCTTGTGCAAGGCACTCAACCCTCCTCGCTCCCAGTGTCTGTACACACTGGTGTATGAATGTGTGTGTGAATGGGTGAGTGGTTCCTCAATGTAAAGCACTTTGAGTGTCTTGAAGGTGGAAAAGCGCTGTACACAAATGTGAGCATTTACAAAGTATGGGTCAAATGCAGAGGACAAATTTCCTTATGGAGACAATAAATTCTTTACGTTTATTAACCAAGTATTGTGACAACACTACTGTTATGGCTTCTAGTTTAACATGAGCTGTAACATATGTAAATAGCCATCCTTAGGGCGTCCGCTTCTTGACTCACATGAAATGTACAAAAACTCACGTAGTCCGTAGTTCGTTTGATTTCTTTTATTTGCAGATTTTCATCGTATGCAGTACAGTGCAGTGCGGTGCAGTCAAAGACCGTGTCGGTCGCCCTCCACAATGCCCTCGTCCCCACACACCTGTCTCCCCATTTGACCTGATTATTTGACCTAATTTACCTACCTAGGACACACCCTCTTACGTGGACCCACCCTCTTACGCTATAAACCTAAAGACTTTAATTGACTGAAGTAACTTAAATTGGGACTGAAAATAAATCATTTTAACATTTCTATAATTTTAAGAATAATATTTTAATAATTGTTTTTAAGGTATAATAAAATATGAATTTATAGTAAAATATAAAATAACTATTTAATAAATTAAATTATGGCTCTAACAACTACATTCAATTTACGCAGTTTTTCCCCATTCATATTTTATCAGGTCTCACTTGTACGACCCCTACGAATCCATAAAGTCTGACTCCGATGACCACCCATCCCCAGAACCTCCAGAGGAACTCCAGACGTCTTGTGGCCGCTGGGACATCGATGCCAGTGCTTGGAGGCACATGTTAAGTTCAGGAGCTTCACTAGACTCTGAACCTACGGAGAGAGCCAGATACAACTCTGGAAATAGAACAACAGAACACAGGGTGGAAGACTACAGACCAGAGGTAAGTGTATAAAGTTGCATTCACGACATCATAACATCCTAGAATCCCCATAATTTATAATGGAGTTGGAGCGCTGGTCTATTGTGGAATTTGCCATTTAACTCAGATTGCAGATTTTATCATCCTGGTTAATATCTTTGCAGTTACTGGGCCTATCCACATGAAACAAAAACTGGCAGAAAGTTTAATGTCTTCTCTATCAGGATCATATTACTTTTTCACTATAGTTTCAGAAGGTGCTGCAATTTTCCAACCCCAAAGATGTTGTGAAAGTGGAAAGAACATAAGAATTAATAAGGCAAGTCTATGATGCCAATCACAAACACATAATGATAAGATTCAAAATATGTTGACCGTAGATTTGAATATTTTTTTCAAAAAAGGAAATCTCTCTTATAATGGGCCTCTCCACCTGAAATTCACCCTCATTACATTATCTAATTCTGGAGTGTGAACACAATCTCTTGATATTTTTAGTAAAGTTATATCTGGGGTAACAAAGATATTACATTGAATGCCATATCTAACTGTGATCTGCTAATATTGATTTTTTTTAAATTTATTTCTGATTTAGTACTTTTTCTCATCCACTGCACTTAGTTTATGTCTTCATCATGTTCTGAATGAGATATTGGTAGATTTAACCAATCCTAATTTAATGTGAACTCTCAGATAAAGATCAATTTTAGTTGCTGCTAAAAACAATCATCAACTTAATTATGTAATACCTAAGAAATGATTTGTCACATTGCCTTGACTTTCTTTATTTCTTTTCTAAGATTGTCACTACGGTTCGATTATCACCGCCCCCACTTCTGCCACACCAGCAACCACCACCCCCAATTCCACCACCACAAAAACTACCCCAACAGCAACCACCCCAACAGCTACCGTCAGAACGTGACTACAAAGAGTCATCTGGGTTTTCAGGTGAATATGAGTAATGAAATTTCCTCAAAGTCATTCAACTAACACTTTGCTTTTTTTATACAGGCCCTGATCTGCTGCCACCTCCTCGACCAGAAGTGAAGGACCCTGGCAAAAATGAATTACTAACTGATAAGTAAGTGTTAAGTGTGCTATTACACTAAAGCTCTCAATGTCACAGTGTTGTTTCATTTTCAGTCGGGAAGATTAGGTTGCCACTTTTGCCAAGATACGTTTAATTTTCCGTAGTTGGAATTTGTGCCCAGTATCCTCGTGTTTATGTCCAGATGCATTATGCAAAATGTATTTTCATAAGCTTCAAACCAGGTTATAACAGTGTTTCCTCTTCATTAGATTAGAGTTGTGTTTAGATTGATTGATGCATGCTTGAGTGATCCATTGTCCTAGTAGTAGTAAGTACTTATGCTGACTACTCAAAAAATTTCACTTCAGTTTAATCACTTCTGACGGCCAGAGGCACAGTGTCTCAAGCACAGGCAAGAGTGATCATTCAGAGCTGGAAGCTCAGCCTCTGGCAGTCAGAAGAAAGAACCATAGTTACAGACATAACTACTCCAAAAAATCATATATTGGATCATATACGAAGAGTTAAATCAAATTTCTCCCATGGGAGACAATAAAGGATTATCTTATCTTATCTTAAAAATGGTCACATTTCAACTAAAAATGCCACTATGAAGAAGTTGGACATCAATTCTGTGGTCTTGAACAAGAAGTTAATGGAAATGTTTCTATTATTAAACAGTTTTTTGTGAAATAAAGATCATGTCTTTCTACTAGTATGCAGATGGAGAAGGGCTTTCATTAATTTTTTTATATTTTTGGTAGAAACCTGATCAGCTGTGACCTCTGTGAGGTGGAGGTGTCGAATGGGCAGGAACTGGAGGAGCACCTGGACAGTAAAACACACTGGGACACTCTGGAGTTCATCCAGAAACACAACAACTATGACGACATGGCCATAGCCTTCCTCCAGGTAACACTTCACTAAAATCCTGCTGATTTCTGATTTTCTTTTTAATTTTAAGTTCATACTAATGTTTTTGCTTCCTGGTTGGACATGGGCAGCAGATATAACATATGTAGATAGATAATTCCAAAACTGTTACCAAGGGCCAAACCACTCTAAATTATACAATAGTTATAATTAGACTTATAAAATTGGATGAAAAACACCTCCATTTTGTTAAATCAGTAGTAAGTGGTAGTAATTATATCCTCTAGTAAGGCGTTTACACTGCATAATCACATCAGCTTATGAATTTTACTGTGTAGGTCATTTTCAACAGTTTGTAATTAACATTTTAATTAATAACCATTTTAAAATGGTTTCTCCAGGATGTGATGCTGTACAAAAGCCGGAAGTGTAGTCGTGCAATGGAAGAAACTGCACTTCAAGGTAAGTTAATTTAGTAATGGCCATCATATGGTTTAACTAACTAACAGAAATGCTTGTATTATCCATATAATTTTTAAAAGATCTCTGTTCTGATCTATGCTATTATGTTGTTTCCTCATTAAAAACATGCCTGGAGTTATGTTTTGTTTCATTCACACATGTTTACTACACAACCATACTGCTAAGCATAGCCGGGCCTGGTTAGTACCACTGCGAAAATCAGGTGCCACAGTGGGGCACCAGTCACTGTCGTTGTGTCCTTAGGCAAGACACTTCACCCACATTGCCTGGTATTAAAGTGGTGTGTGTGTGTGTGTGTGTGTGAGTGATGGTGGTGGTCAGAGGGACTTATGGCACTGATTGGCATGGCAGTCTGCCCCAGGGCAGCTGTGGCTACAATAGTAGTTTACCATCACCAGGTATAGAGTGAATGAATAATGTTGAATAATGCTCTGTAAAGTGTCTTTGTGACATATATCTGTGAAAAGCACTATATAAATAAAGACTTACTTAAAAGACTTACAACCCCTTCATGAGGTAATGCACGTGCATACTGCATTTTTTAACCCTATACACCTCCACTAGAATCATTTGTATAATTCCAGCCCTGGAAATGACAATCTCGATTGAACTAAATGTAAAAAGTAGCTGTTAACTAGAAAACTCCCAATTCATGACATCACAAGGTAGAACAGAGCATTTCGAGCTTTGGAGATGTAAACAGACTAATAATAAAGAGTTACTCAAACATGTGAATGAAAGTAAACACAACTCTGGGTATGTTTTAAAGGAGGAAACAACTTTCTAACATGGATTAAAGCTCTCAAGAGTCAATATTGGATAATATAAGACGTTTAATATTGCAGTACTTTTAGGTGACAAAATGCACATTGTGTGTTTCAGCTCTGCAGGAGTACGATCACATGACCAAGGTGGAAATGTTCCACTGTGCAGCCTGTAACGCTTTTGTCCCCACGTCTGCCTCCGCTGTCCAGAGTCACATCACCACACAAGGACATATCGATAACACAAAGGTAGCTCCAAATACTGCTGCTGTTAACTCCAGTTTAATACAAATGTTACTGAGGTTAAAGGGGCTATATTATGCTAATCTTTAATTTATGTTAGAATGTTGTTTCCTCATCAAAAACACACCTGGGTTTGTGTTTGGTTTCTTTCACAAATGGTTAACACACATCGCTGTGGATTTAGGGTGAGTTCTTCAAACAGAAAACACTGTTTCACCTTGCCATGTGGTAATGCAGAAAGTGCTCCAGTGCATTTTTAAACTCCATACACCTTCACTAGAATTATTTGAATAACGTTCAGCCCAGGATTTGCAAAACTCTGAACAAGGCTAAAAAATTGCTGTGGGTTCAAACTTTTTCACTTCTTGGTGCACCAAGAGAAACTGTAATTTTTTTGTTACAATCTCAACTGAACAAAAAAGCTAAACAACTTAGGTTATTCTAGTGCACTGTAGAGTAAAGCAGTTGTATAGTTGTTCACTTTAAAACTGACATTTAATGACATCACAAGGTGGAACTGGCATTTTGAGCTTGTGAGATGCAGACAGCTGGGCCCAATAACGCAAGATTCCTCAAGCATGTGTGTGAATGAAGCTAAACACAATTCCATTGTTTTTGATGACTTTCAAACATGACTAAAAGCTTGCAGGAGTCAATTTTGCATAATATAGAAAAAAATAAAATCCCTTCTTTTTTGTCAGGAGTTCAAAGATCGACAGAGACGGTTGTGTCTGGATAAAGCCAACACAATGATGAAGGAGCTCACCCCACAGTTTCAGTCTTTTATAAAGGTTTTTTTTTTTTTTTTTTTACCTATCCATCCATTTTCTTCCACGTTATCTGGGGCAGCAGTCTGAGCAGGGAGGCATGTGGTTCTGGACACGTTACTGCACACTTTTAGTATCAGGATAATTGGATGACTTTAATAATAGTTTCCAAAATTTACTAGATTGGAAAGTATAACCCAGCCTGTTACAAATTGGGTAGTATTTTAATTCCATTTGTATGTTTTGGTGTTGGTTGTGAAGATGCAGTATTTGTTACATAACCTTTCACAGCTTCTATTTTACAATGAAATATTTAGATTTAATACAGTTTCATATGAGATTGCTATGATAGAAACAATGGCTAGATAGCATTTGTCCATATTAAGTACAACATTTTAATATCATTTGATTCCAACGTCTCTTCTTTTTTCTACAGGGTGTAAGTCCATTTGAATGACTGGAAACCTAAAGAAGAGTGGAATCATTATCTTAATTTGTATATATATTTTTTAAATAAAACTTTTCTCACTGCACGGTTTGGCTGTTTTGTTTGTGAATATTCTTTATGTACAAATGTTGAGGAATGATGTCATAGCCGCTCCATCATACGTCTTTTATTTTAGACCCAATTCATGTTGTTCACTTTAAAGGTACAGTATGTAACTTTCTGGAGGTGAATGCCATCAGCATGACTACAAGGAAATAAGTTAAAATCATACTTTGAAACATTCTCCATGGAAATAGAAATGTTTTAGAGAGAGAGAGAGATAATGTTTACAGAAGAAATCCAAAATGTTTTTTGTTTTTTATTTAGAACAACACAAATGTTTTGTGATATAGTACATTTGAAAATTAATTTATCCAAAAGGTATATTTAAAACATTAAATATGTGACATGAAGAGCAGTCTGTGCGTATTAGGAGTTGTTGATTCTATATTAAAATGTAGTTACTAAAGTCAATGTAACAAGTTTGTTCTCATTGTGCGGGGTTCCTTTCAGATTACAGTCTACAACAGAGAATGATTTGGCTTGTATTCACTAACATCTTTATAAATGTGAAATTCATACAGAGGAGAGTGCTGGACAGTCCATGAAAATCTGAGGTAAAAGTTGTCTTGTTAAAAATGGATCCACACTACATTACTGCATAAAACAAAACAGTCGTTCAGTTGCAGATGAACCCTCCCCTCCCCCAAAACATGTAAAACATGAGCAGATTGGCATTATCAAAAAATGTCACATATGTCCAGTTCAAGATCTTGTTTTGGCCAAAATTCAGAATCTAATAAAAGTGAAGACCATCCAATGTACATACACATACAGTCTTAAGCAAACAGGTCCAGTAGCCTCAGCACAGAGCGCTGGTGCTGCCATCTTGCTCATACTTCCTGGTGTAGGGCTCTTTGGGCACAGAGCTGACCTCCATCATGGCCAGGCCGGTGTGGGGGACACTAGTGTTCATAATGTGTCTCTGCAAGTGTTTGACCCAGTCCTCCTGTACTGACAGAGGGCCCTGGAACACCAGGTCACAGAACCTACAGGAACCGTAAGCACAGGTGAGTTATGACAGTTCACCTCCACAACAGTCAGAAAGAAGTTAAGTGTGATGTCACGTCCGGGCCAATCATCTGACTGACAACAATGAACATGTTTACAATTTCTTTCTTTTTTTTTGGTGACAACAGATCTCATGTTAAAAAGAGATTACCTTGTTGGTTTTAAACCACTGCAAAGTGTATGAGGGAGGTTGAGCTAAGAAACTACGCAAGGTCAAACTAGAGTCAGCGTTGACTGGCAGTGACAAATGCTGCTAACACTGCTAATTATTACTACATTATTTACATATTTGTGTTTCAACATACACTTTTGAAAGGCAAGTGTCACTTGTTTGATGAATAAGAAACAAAAACAAAGCTAGAAATCAGCTGAGAAGTTTCTGGTTGGACCCGGAAATGACATCATCACTAACTACACTGAGATCTAAACATAGTCATGAAATGTTCTGTCAGGCAGGCACTTTCAAAATGTCAAAAATCCCTAGCACTGATCCTTGGGAGACACTCCAATAAAATACAAGTTTTAAATGTAGACAGACTGTTTACAAAAGGAAAAAGTCCGTAATTGAGAACAAGTGTTCGGATATTTTCTGGTATTTGAACTAAACATCTGGCAAAGTGCATAATCATATTCGTACATAATGTTTTCACTTTTACATTATATTATGCACTTAATAACCTTAATAACTGGTTTTCCAGAGGAGTAACAATGTAATGTAATGCTGTTTATAATTTGTATGCATGTATGGAAAATGTTCTCATGCAGTAGATATTTGTCACCCTCTTGTGGCACTAATGGGGAACGAAGCTTGTTAGAGTGAACTTTTAGCAGCACAGCTGTTGTCAACTTAACGCGAACGCAGCAGGCAATGAGTAACATGGGTGTGACAGAAGAATATAGGTACTTTGTACATTGTATATACTATAGGTTGAAAGTATTACCTGCAGGTGAGACGGTACATCTCCTCTGGGGTTTGAGGCAGGGGTAGGGTTTTCTTCTTTGGGCCTGGCCTCATTCGTTGTCTTCTCACTTTACCATCAAGTGCTGAAAGACCAAACAATCCTCATTAGCTACCAACAAATACTTAATTTTAACATTAAAAAGTTTTGAGAAAAACTATAGGCTATAAGCAATGGGATATACAAAATTAAAAACAACTGTAATGGTACTACTAATACTGAAAAAAAAAAAAAAAAAAGAAAAACAATAGAAACATTTTATAACTTACCATTTCCATCAGGTAGGCCATTCTTCTTGCGCCTGGCACATGCTCGAAGGTGGTTGGAGAGGCTGACTCCACTGTGGAACGATGCATTACAATGGATGCAAGTCTTTCTTTTGAATCCATCTTTCTCTGTGATCAGGATACAGCACAAATAGTAAAAAAAATATGATTTCTTCTAACAGTGTCAACCAATTGACTTAAATTTCAAAATGTATGGCACAATAACAATTTAAAACTAAATGAATGGGAAAAAAGTCCTTAAAATGTTGCATACAACAGGAAGCAGAAACCTGCTGATATGAACATTTGCTTGGGTTTCAGGCAAAGGATTCCTTCCTGATTTGAAGAATTTGCTATTTGCTATGACAATGGTCCTCGATAGCACAATTCTAATTAAAATATTACTTATTTTAAATGTGGAAAGGTCCCAAAATCCTTAAAATCAAGAGTAATTTGTCTGAAACTCATGAATACTCCTGTTGCCTAAGCAATTATCCATTCAAAGAAAAGTTGAATGGTGAAAAATCCTCAAAATGGTTGTTGGTAATGAGACAGTGTAGCCCTTCATTCATCCAGGAGTGATTCAATGTAGAAAAGGATTAGTCAGTGGTCATCTGCACTTTGTTTTGGCATTTGAGATGTTTCAGTTCCCATCCAGAAGCCATTTTTCAATTGATGATACTGGAAGAAGCACTGGGAATTTATTCTACTCTGAGTAACTAAGTCCATCATCAACTGAAAATGACTTCTGGCTTCTAGACAGGAGCCGAAATGTCTTGATTGCAAAAACAAAGTCCAGATGACCACCGATGAAACCTTCTCTACATTTATTGGTGCCCAATATAAAAAGGGTTAATGAGCAAACATTTCAGCCAACCACAACCACATCCATGCTCATACATGTGCTGTTTAGCTGTGTAATAGTATTTCACAAGTTATGACTCACCTGTTATTGAATGGGGCAGTGATGATGCAAATCTTGATCCTAAATATTGCTCACTGTCTTCTTGACACTTCCTTTTCTTGAGAATTCCTATCAAAGCAGAGTTGTTTTTGATATCCGAATGAGTGTCCAGTTGGCCTTTTTCAGAAACTATATTGTCAAACGAGAACTTGGGTGTTAGTGGTTTGGTGTCGGGGCAGTCCTGTTTCACAGAATCTATGTAGCGTGGTGTAAAAGTCCGAAAATCCGACAGCTTGGACGATGCTTTGTTGTACTGGACGTGGTTGTTTTTTCCTATGATTTCTAGCGCCCTCTGGTACTCCTTCTTGTCACGCATCAGCTCCCGAAGTAGAAGTATTGGCGATCTGTGTTTGGATATCAAGCCTTTCCCGAGCTTTTTCAGATGGCCTCGGATGTGGTTGGCCTGCCCTGTCCTGTTGTCAAAGGAATCCCCACACAACGGACAGGAGTGGACCATCTTCACAGTCTCAGAGTCTGTGTTCTGCTGTAGTTCTTCTGAAAGATGGGAAAAAGGCACTCATTCAAAAATTAGGATGGCTTATGTTAAAACAGTTTGTGTGTGGTCATTATACTAACTAGAGATTAGGAGATTAGCCTTTAGTCATCCAGTTGGTTGATGATTTCTTAGTCGACCAAGATTTTTATTAGTTGACAGATTATTTTGGGATTATAAAAGTTTTATATGGATAACAGTAGAAAGGAGAACACATGGAGTATGGCTGCACAATATAGTGCAAAAATATCAATATCTCAATTTTGGCTGAGGCAATAACAGATATCAAAAGAAAATACGTATATCGCAACAACACAAGGTTCTTCATTTCACAGAAAGCACAATTTTTAATGAAAATTGACAAAAGGGCAGATTGTATTCATGATTTTCTTTATAAAGTCTTATTTTAGACTTGGGTTTGTCTTGGTTTAGTTACTAGTAAATGAGGCATGTAAGATTTTCTTTTAATTACACTGATCTTATATTAAGTATATTCAAAATCAGAAAAATATCTTTATTGCTATACAAAACATAGTTATCAAATATGGCATATTTCTCTCATATCATGCAGCCCTAACATGGAGTGACTTTTTATATATAAATATGCAACTGATTAGTGGTTTTCTTGTCCTGTCAGTGCACTTTGGGTCAAATTACTAATGTGGAGCAGTGAACATATACATGTATGTAGTGAGTATGAAAGTTCAGCAGTCAATGACCTAAGGATTGGTTCACACTTGTCCTAGTCTAGTCCTGGTCTAGGCCTGGTTTTGTTCTTGGTTTTATGTGGTGTTTGTGCAATGTGAGAGTCACTGGGATCTATTGGTGTATTCCAGGCAACTGCTAACTGGGACATTTCCCACCTCTGACTGGGAAAATGCCTTGGAACACCATTCAAACTTGCAAACTCAGGGATGGATAAAGATGTTTTATACCATAATGAAGTGAATAGACATTTGAATCAAATAATTTCTTAACCCAAGTTTTAAAATTGGATATGCTGTTTGCATACAAGTTCATTGGAACTGGAATACTCTTGAGTTGCCTGGAACGCAGACAAAGCCTAACACCACATTTGTAGAAACAGTCTCTGTCCCTTCAAAAACAGAGCTAATTGGGATAACATCGAAGTGAGGCTATATATCTTAAAACACAAAAGAGAATAATAAAAACATACCTCTCTTCTTCATTAGCGTTGATAATCTGGGTCCAATGGAAGGCTTCTCTTCAGTGGTAGCTACCTCTTCAGCTGACAGTTTGTGACGAGCCTTGTAGTTCAGTCCGATTCTATGAAGATGTCCTCGAACGTGATTGGACAGTCCCACACCCGACTCGAAAACAGCAGGACAGTATGGACAGTTCTTGCGGTTGAGATCCATTTCTGGCAACTCTTCAGTGGAATTTTGAGGTTGGACAGTTTCTTTTTCAATCACCAAATCTTCATCTGTGTCCTCGTCTTTTATTTCAACATCATCTTGTTCCTCACTTTTGATTTTCTCATATAGTTTTTTCGATGCCTGTATGGCTCCCCTCATTGACATTCTTCTACTGTATGTGTAAATGATTTGCTTTTGTCGTTTAAAGATGTCTACGTGGTTGTTGTCAATATCCCTAAATGGAGACATGTCCCTTTTCTCAAATTCCTCCTCATTTCTTCCATACCATTGGGACTTGAAGGTTTTGGTTGAGCTGAGTCTTCTTCGGATGTGCTGTTAATTGGAGTGGCAGTTTTGCGTTTGGAGTAGGTTTTGTTCTGGATAATTGTTACTATTCTCGTCCTTGGTGAATAGCTAGGATCAAGATCACTTTCTGATTGCACTTGGTCATTTTCAGACAAAGGGGACTCGGGCAACTCGTAAGGATCTTTGTCGCTGGTATTGCCATTGGATTCCTTCTTTTGATCATTGGCCGTTGGTCCTTTCTTTTGTCGAGATAAAAGTTCATTGATAGATTTGTCAAGTTTCGACTCTATTTGAAACAATGCTGGACCTCTTCTAACTTTGTCATTTTTTAATAAATCTGAAATGTTGCTGGAATCATGCGACAATACTTTAGTAGAATTTGGACTTCCAACAGATATTTTAGATGGAAACTGTGCATTTCTCAAGTGAGGTTTTGAAGTGGGTACAGGTTTTTGCGTGTATGTAAGACAGCCATATTTTGCTTCATAGACTTCCAGAGACTGGTCGTGGCGTCGCAGTAAATGCTTAGTGAAAACAAGTTTGCTAAATGTTTTATATGAACTACAAATATTACAAGTAAATGAGGGTTTCTCTTCATGCTTTTTTGAAGTAGGAACACTGTGTTGCATAAGAGTATGCTTCCTAAAATCAGACTCATCTTCAGTCTTGAAGGGACATTTTTCACATTTTAACACTATCTTTCTTTTATCTTTCTGGTGTGTTTTTGCGTGATGTACAAATTTATTGGGGCATGTGGTTCCAAATGAACACTGGGGGCAGTAAAGCCACTGAGGGCTGCTACTTTTCTTCTCAAGTTTGGGTTTGTGTACTGCCATGTGCTCGATGAGAAAACCGCTCTTTTTAAAAGACTTTCCACATTCTTTACAAACATAAGGCTTCAGCTGTTCTGTATGCGACTTCATATGATAATCTAACAGATGCTGTTTCTTAAAAACAATTTTGCATTTTGTGCAAGAGTATTCGAGAGACTTCTCTGAATATGAGTTTACTGTGAGTCGATTTTTCAATGGCGAGAGCTCATGATTTATACTGTTCTGCTTTGAATTACTTGTTGGTGTACTATAAAGAATATGCTTGATGGGCTTTGTTGTGCCATTGGTATACTTAGTAACATTTCTGGATGGAGACATCCTTGATGGTGACATCCTTGGTTTGCAGACTTTTATGACTGGAATTTCATCTTCTTGGTCTTCTGAGGGAAACAGCTCTTCCGATGGGTCTACCATTACAACCATGTCCATTTTCCGTTTCCGTCTCTTTGGGATATCAGTGGGAGAGACCTCCTCTTTAGGTTCTTCCCCTGGAGAGTCTCCATGACTATCCCACAAAAATTGCATAAGCTCTTTTTGAGAATCCCAAGAAATATTATTAGGGCTATTAAAGTTATCTGAAGAATCTTCAGGAGAGTCTATGTCAAAATCCCACATCCCACCAATTTCTTGCACCGTTTTAAGTGGTGTGATGTTCTTTTCCTCCTCCTTGTCATTGGAGAAGCTGTTGAGCTCATGGGCCTCAGTTGGCTGATGTACAGAAGGTCCGTTCCCCAAACCAACAGGGGATAACATATCTTCACTGGAGAGAACATCTAGGACATTGTTTGGCTGGCCCAGAGACTTGCTGAAGGCATCTGTGCAGGAGGTCATTCTCAGCGGCTCTTGCATGAGCATGAGAGCATTGATCTCAGGGTCAGCATCCTTGTCTTCTGCATCAACACCTGTCAGACATGACATTTCTGCTGCCATGACCTGCAAGAAAATCAATTATGGGATTACTTTTATAAAAGGCAGACCTAACAATGAAGTGCCAAACTTTGATGCTGACCAGGCTACACCAAGTTATCTTCATATTGAGACCCTTCCTCTCCCACCTCAGACAGGGTGGAGAAGAAACCCAGTGCACAGTAAGAAGTAGGGATGTAACAGTAACCGAAATATCGTGATATTGTATTGTCAAAGTTCTCACAATAATATCGTGGACCCACAGAATATATAGAATTACAAGTCTCTTTGCTTAAATTAAGAGTTATGGTGCAGCACTAGAAAAAGACAGACAGAGGGAACTATACAGACCGTGATCCTTTGCTCCATTACAGTATAAACTAAATAAAGAAATAACATTTCTAAGCACTTTTAACTCTTAGTTCTTTGGATTAAGTCTTGTCAAGGCATTTTAAGAGGAAAAAGTAGCATATTAACAGTTTTGTTATCCGCCACAAAATATCGCAATAAATAAACCGTGAGATGTACATCGTGAAAACATCGTACTGAGAGATTTGGATATTGCTACATTACAAATCATGGGCCTCTTCACCATATCGTGAGCTTTTCCACAATATCGCAATAAATTTCGTACCGTGAGGTCCATACCGTGACAATATCGTATCGTGAGACTTGGATATCGTTACACCCCTTGTAAGAAGGCATGTTTTTCCAGGTAGTAAGGTAATGCTTGCTATTAATGTACGTGGTATGTGCTTAAGTCATATATAATACAATAAATTTCAGATTTGTAGAATTTCAGTAGGTTTTTAAACACAAAATAATCACATCTTGGTTATTGGTTACTCAATATTTGTATTTTTGTCAAAAAGTTCACAGTGAAAAATAATGGAAAATGTACTTCCGGCCTTGGTGCAAACGAGACAGTTGAGCTCCATTGAATAAACGCTAATCGATCACAATCACATCGCTACACAGACAAGCAGGTAGTGGAGCAGCCCCCACAAAAAAGTTATACAATGAAGCTTTAATTGATTAGCTTGAGCCCAAGTTGTATTTGGATTTTAGTTGGGCATTGATGGCTACATTTCAACACTGCCATCATAGGCTTGGAGTGGTACTGTAACACAGATTTTTATTTATTTTTTTCACAGAGAAGTAATTTCCCATAAAAACCTAATAAATAATAATAATAATAATAATAATAATAATAATACAAATTAGTAAAACAGTTTGGTGAAAAAGTGATACTAATATGATATAATGGGGTCTATTACAATAGATTCTACATTCCGTTTGGTTTACAGTAAAACTCCAAAATTCATATTAATAATGAGGAGGTTAATATCAAACAGACAAGCCCAACCTCTCACATGGTTTCAGGATTAATAGCATTTTTATCAGAACAAGGTGACAGGATTGAAAAGGCTTTGAAGGGCAATAAAAGTGTCAAATGTTGAGGATGCTGTCCAATAGAAAACACATGTGTATTTTATAACATTGCACAGTGTGACCAAATAAACAAAGAAGCAGATCTTTTGAACGCCTTGTGAAAATGGCTGTAAATTAAAAAGATATGTGCTTCTACAACTTTCAGCTCAGTAGTTTGGGACAAGCTAGTACAAAGCAAAGTTGCACGGTGTCCGCAAAGATCTATATTTGCACATTAGACCAGATTTCTTTTGCATGTCTGTACCGGCTTTATTACACGTTATTAGCGTGTGTATCACCCCGTGTTTTTGGATGCTGCTTACAGGAGCTGCAGACCATTCCACACCAAAACCTATTCCTCAGGCTAAAACCCAGCTAATAACCTTTATTTCACGTCACAACCCGCGTACACCCCGATGAAGCAGCAAAAAACAACTAAACCTTACCTCCGAGTGGTGTAGATGCAGGCAAGGAACAATTTAAATGCAGCATTGAATAATTTCTTACTTTCGTCTTCCATCTATTTCACAGTCGCCATTTTCCGTGGTGGTCTGGTGTGGGTCAAGCCATTTTTGTAAAGGCACCAGCACAAAGAAGTCCTGGTTTGGATACAATACCGAAACACAATGATATAATGACGGTACACATAAATAAGTATGGTATAAATCTTAAATCGTTAATCCCAATGCCCAAAATAGCGTTATGCATCCACGTGTATTGTAATGTGTTAGCGCCGCGCACCCCCACAGACGAGACAATGGTACGGTCCAAAAAGGAGGCATAAAAAGCCAGTTAATGACCATCTCTTGTGCTTTAGGTTTAGGTTAGCACATTCTCAGCTTGTCCACGGATTTCATTGATCAAACACACTATATTTGGTTTGATACTTTGTTTGATTGTGTTTTTACAGATCACGGTTATGTTCACACTGTAAACTTAACTGTAAAAACATTGGTGCGGTTGGCCCCAAAGGGGTGATGTTGCCCACTCTCTATGGCTCTTGGTCTTTGTTGTTTCAAACCGCACAGACGTGATTTCTCATTCATATGTTAATAAGGCGGTGGTCAATGAGAATGGGTTTAACTTTATGTCAATAATCTGGGTTAATTTTAGCTTGGTACAAAGAGTTCTCTACACCGCATCTTCCAGGATTTTTTTTTCCACTTTCCCCATTAAGCCGTATAGCCATTAGCCATAAGCATATATACAGTCTGTGGCTCCAGGTAAAGCCGACGGCTCCAACAAACGTCCAATCCAATTCTCATGGAGCCTCGACTGACCTAATAGTATACAGACAGGTAATAAACGCGTTGTAATTACAAGTCTTTATTAGTAAATATGTCAGTACCTGTTATTATCTTATTCTATTAACAACGTACACATAAACGTATTAGTTAAACTGTTTTTTTTTATTTTATTTTGCTAATTGCTAATTAGCTCCTGTTCTACGTTAGCTCAAATCAGACAATACCGTTTTTTAGCATGATTTTTCTGTAAAACTACTAGAATTAAAATGTACTGTGTGAAAATTACCCTTTTCATCAATGTGTTTACTAATTTGGTAGTGAAATTTTATTTCTTAATCAGAAAACCTATAAAAATATGATTAAAATATAATGTAGGGAAATTCTGTGAAGAAAATTGAAGCAATTACTTAAACATATTATTCAATTCATGTATCAATCAAGTTAATGCAAATTATAACTATATTCTTTGTTTAATCTGTTGTTACTATACCCTTATTTGTGTGGTAGAATGTTGGATTCAGATGGCTCTACGTCATATCTGGACAGTCTTTTTTTTGAGAAACCTATTGTTCATGAAGTGTGAGTAAAAGAAAAAATATATAACACATGTTTATTTTAATTTATTTATTAATGAAAATATTTTGATTTCAATAGAAGGCCTTTACGGCAAGAGACGAGTCAATGGCAGGTGGAGATACCTCCGTCTTTGTCTCAGATCCCTGGTACTCAGGACATGCAGAAGGAGGCTTTCTCTTTTTTACATTGTATGTTTTAACCTTAACTTGTATAAGACAGTTAGTATCAGTTTTTCAGAGTTTGACTCAACAATTTAATTATTTATATACACTTATTAACCACATATTCACATAAGTACACATTTTTATATTTCTTGCAGGTTTTTCACAGGCACCTCAACAAAAGAAATTTGCTCCCCGTTTTAAAAAGTCTTCTGACTTGAACATCTTGCCATCAGTCAGCAAACTTTCCTACAATCTTAACACTGATGACCATGAAACTGAAGTTGGTCAAAGTAGTGTCACCCAAGGCTGTAACTCTCCTGCTGATCTGTGGGGAGGTAAGGGCTTCAGGGAGTTTTTTGAAGCTGGCAGTACCAGAGCCAAAACCCCACAGGCCTCTGGGCATATCATTGATGATGGGAAGATTCTGTCCCTGGATGACAGTGAAAGCCCTTTCCTGCGAAGAAGGCAAGTCATGTTAAACTGTTTTATAGGACTTTAAAGGTTCACTACTTTTCCTGTGGAGATACCACTTCCTTCCACTACCACATATGTATCAATGGAGACTCAGTGATACATATGTCACGTGTCAGAGCCTCCCAAATCCTTTTCTAAATTTAAACTTGAAATATAACTAAATAAAATCTAATTTCAGACCTGGGCTAAAACCAAAACTCAGCTAAGTTTGAATGTGAGCCCAATGTCTACTAAAGTAGGTCAAAAAGGACAAGCATAAACATAAATAAAATTTACTTCAAAAGCTTATGTATTGCTTTGGTACCTGCTGTGCCAGTTAGAGAATCATTTGAAAAATTCTCTGTGTTATACCAGGCACAGTTATAAAAATATAACCCATTTAAGTCCCATTGCAGGATAAAAGATGACTGGCTATAATTACCTTCACAAAATTCACAAAAATAATGTGATGGCATTATTTTAGGCAGTAGTGACCTATATAACTTTATAAGAAAGGCAAGGTTTTTCAATAAAATATTTGAAATAAAAAAACTCACATATGCTGAACAAGATTATTATTTGTCAGAATTTGCACTTAAAAATGTATTAGTAATCCATATTAACCTTGAAGGGAATTTTTACTTGACAATGACGCATTTTAGTTTGAATAATTCCACTGTGTTTTGCATGAAATTTTCATCTGATGAAAAAACATTGAACTTTGTGCCAGTTTTTGTTTCAAGTGGAGAGGCTCAGTAATTACAGAGATATTAATCATAAACTGGGACAATACAGCAACACTGTGATTTCAATCTTGGAATTACCCAGGTCTTAACCCCTGTTAATTTTAAAACTACCACTACATGACATCACAAGGTGATGACAGATTAATAATAAAGAACTGATCAATCATGTGTGAATGTAACAAAACATAACTCACAATGTTTTTGAGGAGGTAACAACATTCTAACATGGTTTAACGCTCCCAAGCACCAATTTAGTGTAATGTAGGATCTTTAAAAATTCATCAACCATATACTGTATTTTCATGACTGAAATGACATTTATGAAGAATAGCTCTATACATGGCTGTTTTAATAATTTTCAACTTCCACCTTTATAATTTCTTATCAGATGTTTTTCTCTGTCCTCTTTTAGCCTGTTTAAATCTCAGATGCTGGGTAATGGAGGTGACTTATCAAACACCTGTAGTGTCAGTCAAACAGCATTTCGACCTCAAAGTTTTCCTGGGCAAGTTGCCATGGCTACAGCCCCACCGGTACCACCTCCTCCGCTCCAGCCGCTACGCACGACAATGCGCCAGGCGGTCCGCCCAATGCCCCCCACAGACTCACCCCTCCAACCAGCGCCAGAGATCGGGGACACAAAGAGAGTGCTAGTCCCTCCCATGACACCTCAGCCCCTCTGCATACAAGGTGGTATTACATTACATATAGCTCACACAGGGCTCACTGGCTGCTAGCGCTGATTATTAAATGTGTTGCTTCTGTGGAGTTCGTAGTAAAGGGCTTGCACCATAGACTGTATAAAGTGACCTAAGCTAGTGTGATGTCACCTATAGCGTTCGGCTACAGTCAAATGAAGCTTGTGATGCTAGCATTATAGGAGCGAATTTCAAGCTGAGTTCCATATTAGGAAAAGGAATTTATTTATGGACAAAACAGTGAAATGAAAACACCAGGATCATGTTGAGTGGGTTAATATGAATATTTTAAGACCAAAATGACAAGGCTTTCTGTAGCAGTTACAATACAAAGTGATTTGGAGCCAGAGTCAATGGAGCCTGAAGAACCCCCATGCTCGTTTCCTATTTGGAACGCAGCGGGTTAGCTATGTTCATTTATATATACAGTCTATGGATTGCACGTGTCTAGCCAGTGCAGCTGCCACAATGTGTTTGAGGGAGGTTACTCGGGAGGTTAAATAAGGTGAGCTATACCCATTTACTGCTGATGTAATGAATCATGATGAGAGGAAAGTTAAAATTGATGTTATTGTTTTTGCTTTGAAGTCTGCCACTGTAACTTTTTGCTAAAAATATTTTTTTTACTAAAATAAAAGTAGTTTTTATTTTTTTATTGTGTTTTTTGCAGTGAAAAGCTTGAAAAACGTGTCCTTATGGTATTGTGTGAGCTTGCATCTCCACAAACTTGATTCTTAGCTCTCAGCCTGGAGTAGGGCTTCGACTTATTTCCATGGAAATCATTGTTTTTTGGCTATAATATGGCTATAGTATGGCACGGAGAATGGAATTTCCCTGCTGATATGCTACATTCAGAAAGTTACAGATTGTGGCTTTCATTTCAGTCAACATTTCATTTAACGTTTCTAAATACATAACATTTAGTTTTCCAATATTGCAAGCCATTTATACTTGATAAGTGTTCAAATTTAAGTTATGGGAATGTTTTCCTTAAATGAAAATATACAATATCTCCCACACTTGTTTTGCTAATGAATTCAAGTCATATCCAGTTGCTGGTTATGTGTAGTCCAATGCCTAATGTAATAGTCTAATGTTGTTTTCTTCCTAGGGTCAGCAGCTGGAGTGTTGAGATCAGTGGCCGAAGTACGTATCCTTAACTATAATAAACAATTCCTAGTTTCTATAATTTCTTCTTACAAATACATTAAAGGTGCACTATATATTTTTTTGTTGGGAGGGCTGTAACCTGCTTGTTTCTGTGGATATGTCATTGCTCTGTTTGGAATGTTCACAGTATGACATTAAACAGCTGTATTTTACATTTATTAAACTACACGTGATATTATAGCTCAAAAATACCTAGAAAAACAGGCATTCTGTAGCGGTGTCACCTCTCCACAGATCTGACCTGTAACTTGGTCTGGTTTGCTCTCACTGAATGTTAAAAAGTTTAATGCCATACTGTGGAACATTTCAGACAAAGGAATAACATCTCCATGAATAAAAGCATTTGATGGACCCTCCACCTGAAGTTATACCAAGCCCCTTTAATTAACATTACCTACAGTGACTTTCTTAACTCTAATCAGCATCCAAGTTCAGAAGTGTCTTTGACTTCCCCTTCTTCAACTATGTACAGTCCAGCGCTTTAGATGATGTAAGAGCTAATACAAATTCTTCCTACAGTTTTATTTGTTATTTATTATGAAAAATGTCCATATTTTCAGGTTTTTTACACTGGGAGGAACTTTGTGGCCTCAGCTCCGACTGGATCTGGGAAAACTGTGTTGTTTGAGCTGGCCATCATTCGTCAGCTTATGGAGACCTCAGAGCCATGGGCTGACTTCAAGGCTGTATACAGTAAATATTCTAAGGACTAACCCTGGTCTACAACAGGACTAATACCGGACTATAATGGGTCCAAAATCTAAATCTGGACTAAGCTAAACCTGGACTACAGCAGGTGTCAGTTGCCTGCTCTTCTAGTTCGTGGATACCTCAAATTTATCTTGGTAGCTTGAAAGTAGAAACACTGAGAAATCAGGACTGAACTATGACTATACAAGATCTAAATGAGAACTAAATAAATCCTCTATCCTATCTCTTCTGAATGTCTTCAACACTTAGCGAGTATTGTTACAGTATCAAAATTTCAAACTTGACTTTGGTTCTAAGGAATAAGCTCGATACACGATACTGACTCCAATACCACAATGATAATTTGGTATCTTGTGTATGTTTCTTTCTGTAGACAATAGAATGTGATATTCAACATTAAATCATACAACATTCTATTGTATCACTATGCAGTTTTATGTGTGTAATCCCTCCGTGGTCCAGGTAGGTTCCATAGTGTTGTCCATTGGTATATACTAGTCTATGTGCTCTTACACTTGTTCTGATGCAGCTCAAGATCATTATAAAGCCATTCAAGAAAGGTTGATTCTGTCCTGTGAATGTGACTTTTTTAGTATCAATACCTGCTCAAATGTGTATCTAATTTCAATGCTAGTCTTAGTATTGATTAGTATCTGATTTTCCGTACTTTTGACAGCCCTACTTCAAGGCTGTGTTCTAGAGTACAGAGCGTTGTTATGAGATGTGCTGTTGTTTCAGTGGCACCTATCAAGGCCTTGTGCAGTCAGTGCTTCGAGAACTGGAAAAGGAAGTTCGGCCCACTGGGACTGAAGTGCAAAGAACTGACGGGAGACACACAGATCGATGACTTCTTCGAGATTCAAGATTCACACATCATCCTGACCACTCCTGTACGGACCACTCAAGAAAATACAATTGGAATACAATTGGACTAGGACTAAGCCAAAATAGGACTAGGCCATATGACAAAAAATACTCCATATGACGGAAAAAAAATATACTCCAGAGACAATTTTCAATTTTATTTTATTTTTTATTATTAAATCTGAAATCTGCTTTAAAGGTGCACTATGTAACTTTTTGGTTGGGGCACCATCACCTGTTTGTTTTTATGGACATGTCATTGCTCTGCCTGGAATTTTCCACAGTATGACATTAAGCAGGTCTAGCATATACTTATTCAATTACCGGTGGTTTTATAGTTCAAAAATACCTAGAAAAACAGGCTTTCTTACTGTGACCAGAGTTGCCTCTTCAAAGATCTAACCTGTAACTTGTTCTAGAAGTTACCCCAAATAACAATAGTTTTCCATTCCAAACATTTAAAATTTTTCTGTTCAGTCTTGACAAGACCAATCAGAATTGAAAGATGTCAAATAAACTTCTTCAGTAGTATTTATACACCATTTACACCATGTTTATGTTTATTCTATATTTCTATGTTAAGGTTAAGGTTTCTATGTTTGTTTCTCAGGAAAAGTGGGACAGCATGACAAGGAAATGGAAGGATAACTGTCTGCTGGAGCTGGTCAGACTTTTCCTTATTGATGAGGTAAGAAAATCTTGTGAATATATGAATATACACTGTGCTTAAGTTGTATAGTGACTAGTCTCAATTGTGAGCTGTCTAATTGTTTAGCTGTGCATATGGCTGAAAGGTTTTTATTCCATACTCTTCTCTGTTCTCTTTTAATGTTAATTTTATGGTGATTATTTAAGTTTTGATTTGTTTGTATTGTGATTATAATGTCTTTTTTATTCTGTAAAGCACTTTGAATTACTTTGTGTACAAATTGTGCTATGCATTAAACTTGCCTTGCCTAATTCTAATGCTGTAGGTTCATCATATCATCTTTGCGCTGTTTTCCTTACGACCTCTTGTATGTAACTGAGGTATATTTTTCTTACTTATTTTTATATTTAATTTTATTTTTACTTGTACATATATATTTATATAATTATGCCCTATTTGACACCAGTCCTTTGCTATTTTTGCTATGTGTTTAGAATTTATTGTTACCATTTATATTTTTTTTCTCTTTGTTATTATAATATATTGTGATGTGTGAGCTACTGTGTCCAAGTAATTTCCCTTGTGGATCAATAGTTTGTCTAAGTTTCTCTAAGACTTAGTTGAAATCTAATTTAGCCATTTGAATTCTCACTGGCTATGTGACTCAACACATTAAAACTGTCTATTTCTAATGCTGTAGGTTCATGTGGTGAAAGATGCGACCCGTGGAGCCACTCTGGAGGTGGTGGTGAGTCGCATGAAGACGGTGAATGCCTACAGGAGCGCTCAGGACCCAGAGGGCACCGCATCCATGAGGTTTGTGGCGGTCTCGGCCACAATCCCAAATATCACTGATGTAAGACTCTGACACTGGAAAGCACAGGATTAACACACAGATATTTAAGTGAGATTTTATTGGGTGGCAGAGGCTCAGATGTGAAAGTATTCAAATTATGGCTACACAATATATTGATATCGCAATACTGGCTCATGCTATAATCAAGATCACAAGAAAATATCACAAATATTGTGCCAAGTTGCCAACACAAATGGACAAAAAGCAAATTGAAGTTCTACATTAGAGTTGGTCTTGGTTTTATCTTGATTAAGTCTTTATTTTGACCCAGTTCAACTAGTAAATGAAGGCATGTGCATTTTTTTAAATTAAGTTATGCCAAAAGGTATGTTAAAATATCACAAAAAAATAGTTGTCCCAGTACAATACATAGTTATTGAATATCACGTCTTTGCTGATATTATGTAGCCCTAATTCAAATTATGCAAAAACCTCCCCAAATATATCTATATGTTTATGTATGTTTGAGCTAAACTCTCCATCTGCTCATAACATTAGACATAGTTGGGAAATATTAGAAACAGAGTGATTTGAGGAAGTACAGATAATTGTTTTTACACATGAACATTGACATGATTAGGTCATATGGACTGTTGTGTGTTCAGATCGCAGACTGGTTGTGTGACAACAGCGGTCCGGCCACTTACCTGAACATGGACGAGAGCCACCGCCCGGTAAAGCTGAGGAAGGTGGTGCTGGGGTTTCCCTGTAATCCGAGTCAGACCGAGTTCAGGTTTGACCTGACTCTAAACTACAAGATGGCCAACATCATCCAGACCTACTCAGACCATAAGCCCACTTTAGTGGTAGGTGCTGTCTTTCAATACATCATCCAAACTCCCAATGTATTGATCATATTTGAATGATCCCATCTTCTGGATGAGGAAATTCATCTATAGAGTGTGATTTGATGAAAACAAAGCCCCAATAATAAACAAGATTGATTAAGTTCATATAAAAGCTATAATGTCCCTCTAGTCAGTCACTGACTGACAGGCTTTAATTACTGAAGTTACAATATGTAACTTTTTAGCCAAAATAAAAAATATGTTTTGTGTTGGTTACCTATTGTACCTCTAAACTTTTCTCAAATTTTAGCTGTAATAGATTTCGCAAACATGTCTTGAATGATGTGATGTTTTGTCAGTTTTGTACGACTCGGAAAGGAGCCCAACAGGCAGCTGCAGTTTTGGCAAAGGATGCTCGGTTTCTGCTGACTGTGGAGCACAAGCAGAGGTTTGTCTCAAGTTCTTCATATCTGCATGGTGATTACTATGGCGACAACTGCATCTGCTCATGTTTTCAGGCTCATACAGTATGCCAACTCTATTTTGGACTCCAAACTAAGAGGTAGGATCAGTCAGTTTTCACACAGGGTAAAGTTGTGTTCATAATTTACAGCCCCTCTCCATTGCAGACATGATGGTGCTTGGAGTGGGCTATCATCACGCTGGAGTAGATTTGTCAGATAGGAAGTTGATCGAAACAGCCTTCACTAAGGGAGATCTTCCAGTTCTTTGTACGAAGAATTTTTATTTACATTTCTCATCAAACAAGTTTAGAGTGGGCTAATATGTTCTTCATAGTGGGTTCAAAGACAGTACATATTAATTAACATTGACAACATTTTACTAATTTAAAAAATGTATTTAAAATGTTGTAACTTTAGAGTCATGTATTTTTTCTTTGTTTACAGTTACTACCAGGACTTTAGCAATGGGGGTGAATCTTCCCGCTCACTTGGTGGTGATAAAGTCCACGATGCAGTATGTGGGCGGAGCCTGTGAGGAGTACAGTGAGGCCGACCTGCTGCAGATGATTGGTCGAGCTGGACGTCCACAAGTAAGTTCAGATAACTCCTACAGTATTTTTATATGTTACTATATGTTGTTTAAATGACTGCATTTGTTCTACACACTCAGGAAGCTCATATACATTTTCAGACAGTTTTCAAAGTTTTTGTTTTATGAAGTATAGATATCTGAAGCAATGTAGTCTAATATACATTTTGGAATGCAAAAAAATGGTTTAAAGATCAGTGTTTAAAAGTTGTAATGATAAGCTACAAGTTGACCTTTAATTAATAACACACAAAATGTTTCCCCCTGAGTTTGACACTTCAGCGACTGCTGTGATCATGACCAAGAACCAAAACAAAGACAAGTATATGTCTCTAATGAATGGGATGGAGATCATTGAAAGCAGGTACTGTCTCTCATAGCTCTTCTGAACTTCTTATATGAAGCTTCCACATAAACTGTCTCCCGTAAAGAACTAATCAGGGTCTTTTTTCACAGTTTACACAGTAACTTAGTGGAGCACCTAAACGCTGAAATTGTCCTCCACACCATAAGTGACGTGAACATGGCTTTAGACTGGATCCGCTCTACTTTTCTCTACATCCGAGCTCTAAAGAACCCCAGACACTATGGTGAGTACTCTTCAGAAAGAAGAAGTTGGTATGCTCTCTCATTCAAGTTACTAATAATTTAAAGGTGCACTACGTAGCTTTTCTGGTGGGGGGGTCCGTCACCTGCTTGTTTCTATGCATGTATCATTGCTCTGCCTGAAATGTTCCACAGTATGACATTAGACATCTACACCTTACATTTATTAAATTACAGGTTTGCCCAAAAATAGCTAATAAAAACAGGCATTCTAACCGTGAGTGAGGTTGTCTCTCCACAGATCTAACTTGTAACTTAGTCTGGTTTGGGCTCCATGGTTTCCAAATGGTGCTTTAATACCATACTGTGCAACATTCCAAACCAAGTAATAACATCTCCATGAAGAAAAGCATTTGAGAGACCCTCCACCTGAAAAGTTGGAAAAGAAAACACTAGTGGGCTAAAGAAGAGAGAGAGAGAGAGAGAGGAGGAGGAGGAAGGGTGGGGTATGGACGTTCAAAGAACAGACTGTAATCAGAAGCACCTGGTTGTAATCAGGGCAGTCATGTGTGATGTCACCAACTACTGAGAATTGCAGAGGCCACTAGGGGCAGCACACACTTACATTTAGGCATTTTTGGTTAGAAAGCTGCAAATTAGCCTGGTTTGTGTTAACATTGCTGAAGAATGACTAGGTACAGTTGATAAGGCTATTAAAACACCATTAGTGTTTAGTCCCACTTTAGTCAGTTCTATTGTGCCCTCTAAAATATGGTAACATTACCCTGAATTTTTGGGGGTTTAAATACAATAGAAATAAGTTGATGTCTGTAATTTTTGTGATAAACTGTGCATCTGATTGTTATTCTTTTTATTCAGGTTTCTCTCCTGATTTGGACAGACGAGGGATTGAGTCCAAGTTACAAGGTTGGCCTGAAAAAACACACACAATTGATTAGAGTCATGTATTATTTTAGTTAATTTGCTCTGTCTCACAATGTTTTATAAAATGTACTTTATCAGTGACAATTATCAGTGACTCTAATGTTAAGGCTCAGTATTTTTATTGCTCTATTCATCCAAAAGCAAAATTTCTTTTAAGCAACAGTTTTAATGTTTTCAATTCACATCAAGTTAATAATATAATATAATAACATATTTATATAACAAGTTTTGTCCCTTCTGTACAGAACTATGCCTCAAAAACCTGAACGCTCTGTCATCCATCGAGCTGATTCACATGGATGAAGATATCAACATTAAGCCCACAGGTTTATATATAGTAATATATATAGTCTAATATATAGTCAGACATGGGTCATTTTTTATCTATTGCACAGTACAAACATTACAAATTCTACTTTTTAATTGTATTTTCCCAGAGCCCGGGCGGCTGATGGCTCGTTATTGCGTTGCTTTTGAGACGATGAAACAGTTCAGCCAAATTTTAGGCACAGAAACTCTGTCTGACCTGGTACGGTTAGTTTACACTTAAATACATCTTTACACTTATTATACTATTGTATTGTATTTATTGTATTTTTTAGACCCAGCTGGTGTCAAAAAGCAAAGAATTCAGTGACATCCAGCTGCGCATGAATGAGAAAAGGCTGCTGAACACTTTGAACAGGGACAAGAACCGCACCACCATTAGGTTAGAAAACACATTCATATTTTAGGCTCTGAACAGCCACACAACTACAAAAACAAAAACATTTAGCAAAAGTACTAATTATGAAGCTTACAAAAACATATAGCATCGATTAGTTGACTAAATGAGGGTGTGACAAAAGCTCTTGTAGTTTTTCTGCACAGAGGTTCATGCACGAAAAAACATTTAACATGGAGTAGTACTAGAAAACGGTGTATGTGTATGCAAATTTAAAAAGACAGATTAAACCTATACATCTCATATGTCCTACATAAATCATTATTATCAAAATCTAATGATCACATTTTGGTCGACTAAGGCACCATGAACCGATATGTAGATCTATGGTTGACTTTGTTGTATTGGGTGTAATTATAAAAAGTAGTGCTATTTAACTTTTTTTGTTGCAGGACTATAAGACTCTAATATGTTATTCTGCAGGTTCCCAATGGAAGGAAAGATCCGAACCAATGACATGAAAGTGAACTGGTTTGTTCCTCAGCACTTTCAGGGTTTGTGCATTGTTCAGCTGTTTTTCCACACATAATTCTTCTTTGTATTTTGTTTGATAGTTTGATCCAGGCTCAGTTCGGCTCCATCACCATCCAGGAGTTTGGACTGACCCAGGACACAGCAAAGATCTTCAGAACTGGGCTGCGCATTGGGAGATGTATGATTAACTTTGGTGGTCTGAGTAGTTACTGTACAAATAATGTAGAATTACCCTTGCAGTTCTTGCATTCTGACATTTGCCATTTTGACCTCTGAAGGCATTTATAACCAGTGCATTCTTGTGTATATACCTCAGTTTTGTGGTTAAAGGCGCTGTACCTGATTATTAACAGAACTAATTTAGAGTTTACAAGTGCTTTTCAAAACATTCAGAGACTAGAGCGGAGTTTATCAAGGTAAAGCTAACAACAACTAGGATGCTAATTGTGCACTTCTTGATACACTTTAAAATGATTTTGACCTCGATGTCTATACTGGGGCAAGACAAACATTTCTCAAATACATGGAAAAAAATCAGGTATAGGTGCTTTAAATGCAATAGAAAAATGATATAAAAGAGTTTTGGTGTGAATGTATTTTCATCTCCAAAGGTTTGTGTGAATATTTAAGTCTGAAGTTGAAGACAGGTTTCTCTGCTGTGCACGGAGCTCTCATCCTCTCCAAGTGTCTCAGAGCCAAACTGTGGGAGAACTCTCCCTTTGTCTCCAAACAACTAGAGAAGATAGGTATTGCTAAGATTTATATATGCGTTATTACATAACATATTGATGCTTTGCAGCTGATGTCATCCACATTTCATGGGGGTGTGATGCTAACTGTAGACACTGCTATGTCTGAAGCTCTGTTACTCATGTTAGACTTTAGTCTGAGCTTCTGACTAGAAAGAACTGATTCAGCTGGAATTACAACAGGTGATCTGATTTGTGCTGTTAAACAAGTCCCTCTCAAATAAGATTACTCCTTGTGACAATAACCTTATTAACTAGCATTAACCAACAGGTTTTCAGTTAGTCACTCTCACTTTTATTGTTGAAAAAGTTTAAATTAATTTTGTATTTTTTCTTGAGTTTCCAAACATTCTGAAAATTAATTAGGCAGTATTATAATGTATGCATTGTGTCACCATGGTAACTGCTGGAAATTCCTCCATAGACATACATGCAGTACCCCCTCAGAGTGATGTCACTGCAAAGTATCAATTCTTCATAATATCTTTTCACAACTTTTCTAATAATCAGGTTTATTCAAGTGAATTATTACAGATACATTATACTTCTGTGACTGAAGTTTGTGTGTAACATTTTCAGGCCCGAGTCTGTCCGCTGCCATGGTCAACGCTGGACTCACTACTTTCAGCAAAATTGAGGATACTAATGCCAGAGAGATAGAACTGGTGAGTTGTTTCGACATGTTGACGAAATTAGTTCAACAGACAGAATATATGTTGACAATATTGGTTATTTAACACTTTTTATGTCATTCCAAAACATATCTGTATCTAATGTACAAAATATGTTATTATTAAATAAAAATAAAATAAAAAACATTATATTGTGAAATTGTTTCTCTGTTTAAAATATATATTTTTTAGATCTTAAACCGGCATCCACCATTTGGAAACCAGATCAGAGAAGCTGTCATTCACCTGCCTAAATACGAGCTAGCCATCGAACAGGCATGACATTATTTTTTATTCACTAGTTTAATGTTATCATGTATTAAATCATGTTATTTTGCTTTGGTCCACAGCTCCCCCGCTACAGCCCCACCACTGCAGAGATAGTGGTTAAAGTCAACTTAAAAAATCTCTCCCAACTGCAAACTAAAAGAACAGCCTCTGACCAGCACTACATGTCTCTCATCATCGGAGACGCAGACAACAATGTGGTCTATCTACAGAAAGTCACGTAAGATTATTGTACAAAAACATATTAACCAGTAGTTGTAATTATAGTGGTGGAACTTAAGTGCAAAAATAAAAATTTTTAGGTACCTGTACTTTACTTAAAGGTGCACTGGATATATTTTCTGATCTCTCACCTGCTTGTTTCTAAAAACATCTTATTTCTTTGTCTGAAATGTTACACGGTATAGCATCAAACATCAGTCTAGCATTTCCTTAACTACGTGTTTTTTAGAAATACTTTGAGAACATGCTTTCTTGGTGTTATTGGGGTCGCCTCTTCACAGAGCTGACCTGTAACTTGGCCTGCTTGGCCTCTTTGGAGATACACACATTTATTACAATACAATACAAAGCAATAGGATCTCCATAGATACAAACAAGTGGACCCTTTTACAGTAAAGTTATACCCCTAAACTCCACCCACAACCACATTTCAAATACAGCTGCTAAAACTGGAAAGAACCTAGAGGACTAAAGAGGAGAGTGAGAGGAGAGTGAGAGGAGAAGAGGGGCGGGGTCTGGAGGTATAAGGAAGACTGTGATTGGTCTAACAGGTATCCAACCCTTCAAACTTCATCCCTGCAACCAGGTGTTTATAACCAATAGAGGCAGCACACATTTGGTTTTAACTGTTTTTGAACATAAAGCTGCAAAGTACATGTTGGAAGGGATACTTTTTACTTTACATCTAAGCCCAGGTGTCTATACTTTCTACTTTCCACTACATTTTATAAGTGCTTTTCTTATAGTTTGAGACCTCCTGAAATGGCTGAGGGTTTACTTTTTAGCCCATAGTTCATAGTTTGAGCAAATAAAAATTACATATTAAAACACCTACAAATTTGAAATTGATTACTTTGTTTGTGTTGAACAATAATCACAAAACTTTTACTTTTTACTCTTATTAAGCTTTTTTAAATGGATATTTTTTTATTTGGTTTATTCAAGTGATACTTTTATGCATTGTATTGTACTGATTTGGCATTGATATGCAACTATCTACTATACTACAAAGGTGCATTGTGTAACTTTTCTGGTGGAGGGTCTGTCAAATGCTTTTTGTCCTGAAGATGTTATTGCGTTATCTGAAATGTTTCACAGTATGGCATTAAACCTTTCTGCCATCATGGAGACCAAACCAGACCAATTTACAGGTCAGAACTATAGAGGCAACCCCACTCACAGTCATAATGCCTGTTTGTCTAGGTATTTATTAGTTATAAACCCACCTGTAAGTAAATAAATGTAATGTAGAGCTGTTTAATGTCACACTGTGGAACATTCCAGGCAGAGCAATGGCATATCCATTGAAACAAGCAAGCGACAGGCCCCTGACTGAAAAGTTACATAGCGCACCTTTAAGTTTTCCTTAAATGACATAACTGAGTACTTCTGTCTCCACTGTGTCTTTCAGGGACTTGGTGCTGTTAAAAGGCGGGTTATGGTCAAAGCGCATTGAACTGAGCAGAGCCTCAAAAGGATCAGAGATCAGTGTGCACCTCATTAGCTGTGATTATGGTAAGATCTGTTTAATGTAAGTGATGAGACTTTAATGCTTTTAATGAATCTTTGGGATCTGTCAGTTTCAAGTTCGAAAAACTGGTTCTTTCTATATTTATTTTTGTTATATTTTGAAGTCACAAACTGTGCAAATTTAAAGGTTGGGACTTCATTTATGTACCCTTAGAAATTAAGTGTAATTGGAAAAAACAAAGAAAAGACTAGTCAAAACCCTGGACTGTATAAAGAAGTGGATTAAGATCGTGTTTGGCTCCAGCCAAATGAAGCTCACAAGGCCAGCAGTCATAGGAGCGAATTTCAAGCCAGTTCCGTATTAGGAATATGAATTTATTTGCAGACAAAATAGTAAAATAAAAACACCAGGATCATGTAGGGATGGTTAATATGAACATTTTAAGACCAAAATGACAAGGCTCACAACAGTAGTTACAGAGACAGGGGTGACAGTTGTTCAATGTAAAGTCAACAGCCCTGCTCGCTTCTCATTTGGGAAACGGTGGCTAGCAGGTTAGCTGTGTTCATTTACATACTGTATATAGTGTATGGGCAAAACTCATGATTTGCTTCATCTTTAGTTCAGCTCAACTCTGTATGGAAAAATTAGATTCAATCATGAATGTTGCATCACATATAATTGACCAGTTTATGTGAAAAATGGTGAACTTGCTACTTTTTTCAGTGGGATTGGATGTTCAGCACAAGTTCAGCGTGTTTTACTCTGGAGCAGCCAGCGAAAGTGTTTCTAAACCAAGACACACACAAAATACCCCACAAACAACAGTGAGAAGAGAGCACAGAGAATATGGCACTGTTCCACAAGGTCTGGTTATACTGGGTTTTTCTGTCTCCCATTCAAACTGTATGAATGCTGAACATAATCTTGTTTTTGTTATTTAAAACAGATTTGGGCATAATGAGAGAGTGCAACCACTTTTGCAAGAACAAGGACCTCTGTGCCCACGACTGCTGTGTGTGAAGTTAGATCATGATGTATATTCAAAGGACTTAAAACAGCTTGGAAATGCGATAGTGGGTGCAATAGAAGGGTCTGGAATCGGACCATAGAGCGTGACAAACCTGCATCCTAATCTGGGATGGTCCAACCGCAGCCGCTAATTTGTAGCATGTGTCTTACAAATGCAGAAGACTCCTTTTGAAAATTCTCAGATCATTCAGAACAAAATATATAACTTCTTTTACCTGAGATAGTTTGGTGCTTTAGTTGTTGATCCTGCAGAAATCTGCGCTGTTTTTCAGTCCTCTGTGTTGTATTTTTCCTTTTTTACTCCTAAACCGCCATGTTTGTTTTGACATGAATGGGCCACGCGTCTCTGATTGTTTTAATGTGCCTGTCAATCACCCTCACAGAAGTTGAGGAAACAGGACACAAGACACCAGACCCTCTCGTCTTTGTAAAGTTTTGTCAAAGCTTGTGGTTCTGGCTTTAAGGTCAATGACAATGAAGCTGAACTGTCCCACCCACTTCTAAGTCCGCTCTGTTTCCAGAAGTACATTTTAATTCCTATGAACTTCCTATAAACTTTTCGAAAAATTAAATATAAAGAGTTCAAGGCATCACAGAGGCTAAGCCAGCTGCTATGTGTTGACTATGTCCATAAAGCAATTGTTCTAAGTCCAAAAAGCACATTTAAAATGTAAGATTCAGCTAAATGCTGTAATAACTTTGCTGTTTATAAAATTTCTGAAAGAGATTTTACATTGATCTTGCGGTCATTAGTTACGAAATAGTCGATTAACCCTGAGCAAGCTTTTAAACGTTTATTATTATTTTTGTTCTTATAGTATATGGGCAAAATAAATGGGAATTTTACATCTGGAAACGGGATGGGTCACTGTTGTGCTTCATTCCTATTATCCCCAGAACTCCCATACACTCATACCATACACGGAAATCTTGTTTAGGTAAAATAGGAGTAACCATTCCAAAGAGGCGAGCTGCAAAACCGGAGTTCTCTTCATATTTGAATGACCTGAAAACGAGATGTGACACAATGATCCAGACTCCAGCCAAACGCCTGAAGGTGACACAAGCAAATCAGAACTTACGCAAATGAACTACAAACAAGCAAACTCTTGTGCTTTTTTCAGATGAAAATGGAGACGGAGGAACCAGCCTATAGCAGAATGCAGGAGTATGCCTATCAACCCAAAGACAAAATGCAGATTGTGCCAAGGTAAATTACAAATGCCAATTCATCAAAAATTGTAAATGTTTTTAAAGGTCCTATATTATGCAAAACTGACTTGTGAGCTTTTAGCCATGTTATGATGTTGTTCCCTTCTCAAAAACAGACCTGGAGTTGTGTTGTGTTTCATTCACATGTTTGACTAACCCTCTATTATTAGTGTGTCTACATCTCCAAAGCTCAAAATTACAGATAGATTTAAGGTTAACAGCTATTTTTAGTCTTAACTGTACTGCTTTACTTTTCAATACTCTAGAATAGCTTTAAATTGTTGCTTTTATTTTTAAATATTTTTTATTTTCCTTTTTGTACAGTTGAAACTGCCAAAAGGAAGTCTCTCATATTTGATGGTGCGCTGAGAAGGGAACCAATTTTCAGTGAGGCTAAAACAAAAGTTGGGCAAATCCAGGGCTGAAATGATCAAACTGATTCTATAGAAGGTGTATGGAAAACACATTGGAGCATTTCCTGTATTACCACTTAATGGCATCACAAGGAGTAACCGAGTATTTTCAGGTTAAAAAAAGAACATAGCCTAAATCTGCAGAATTTGTGTGTTAAACATGAAACAAAACACAACTCCAGGTCTGTTTGTAATGAGGAATCAATATTATTACATAGATTTTATAAATAGTCCAATATAGGCCCTTAATTTAATTTTTTTTGTATTTTGTATTATTTTGTATTCATATATTTTTTCAAGATATCAAGGAAGTTCGGATGAGGTCCCGTCCAGACCTTACATTGAGACTGTGGATTTGACACAAGAACAGGACTCACACAACTTTTATGATGGTAAAGAAAGACTAATGTTCATTTTGTCTTCAGTTGTAATTTGTCTTTTTATTGTCTTTTTTTAATCCGTCATTTAATACTGTACTTTTGCATTGTTTTATTTTTAAGATCACGAAGAAGTTGAAGTCTTTGACCAGAAGCCTCCCATTTATGAAACATACCAAAAAGGTACTATAAAAACACACTAAAATAAAATGTAATATTTATAATATGTATGTAATATGTAATATGTATGTAGTATGTATGCAATAATATAATATAAAAAAAAACTTTTTCTAATAACATTACTGAGAAAACAAGGAGCTTATGAAAAAAAATCAGTTTCTTGCTTTCACCACTAGATGGCACTGAAAGCTAAATAGACTTCATATGCTTTTGCTGCACCTTTTGCAAAGTTGAAAATTATGTTGTGAGATAACAAGTTGTGAGCCTGTGGTATTGTTAGCGACTTCACTCTAAAAGCCTTGCACCCTGATTTACCTGCAAAGTAATATGTTTTCATAGATTTGGCCTCTCCTAAGGGAAAACCGATCTGTCTTTTGGGTATAATCTGTAGTAAAAATGTTTGAAAAATCCAAGACACTGTTGTTTTTAAGAAAAAATAAAAAGTCTTTATTACAGCATGGCTAATGACATAAAATACCATATCATACAACCCATTTTGCCGTAATTTAAGTCTTGTTTTAAAGGCTCGCTGTGTAACTTTTCTGATGGAAATTCAGCCAGATTGCGGATTCCCCATCAGAAAAGTTACATAGTGCCTATTTAACTTTGATGTTTTTCTTCTAAACCAGGAGTCGCCATGGATCAGTCCTACATTCCTACACCCAGTACTAGATGGCCGGCAGCAGATCCCATCCAGGATCTACACTATCAACAGAGTTCTCAAATTCCAAATATCAACTTCGACCTTGGAAACCAGTGGGATGAGTTTGACGAGGAGAACTTGATCAACACCAGCGAAACATTAGGAAGTGCCCCATTTTTACAATACAACAAAACAGGTAATTTTCACATTTATATAAACTAAACTATTAAACTATTTTTGAACTATTATGTAATTTTGAAATCTATTTTTACCAAGGCTTTGTTGCTCCGTCAGTGCCCTGTGTGACATCTTTTGCAACACCAGTGAGGTAAGAAAAATAGATGTACTAGATGTAGAGTACTATAGTCAAAAATCATACGCAAGTGAGAGCTGTGTTACTTCAAAATAATATTACTAAAGTGCAATTACAAAGTAGTGGTCCAAGAAATGACTCAAATGAGAGTAAAAACTATTCGGGGAAACTGCTACTCAAACATAACATCTGTTGTATAACTTGAAGTTATTGTAATTTGAAAGACAAAACACTAAAAAATAATGCACCATGTTCAAAGTATAGACACAAAAATGAGAAAAACTATATAATATCTGAAGGAGCGCAGCAAGAAACTAATGTTCAAATCATTTAATTTTGTCAACATAAAGCTTTTGTCACTTGTAGACTTACTCACAGTGGGAAGAGTAACCAAAACTTTTACTCAAGTAAGAGTACTTTTACTTAAGTGAAAGTATTACTCAAGTAGAAGTAAAAGTATGCTGCTAGAAAATTACTCAGAAAAGTACAATTTCTTTTAAAGTATTAAGTAAATGTTACTTAGTACTAATCACCTCTTTATGAATGTATATATTTATTTCTTATATTTTTAGGTCATCTGTCTGTAAGATTAAGACTGATCTGCCCAGTCCTCGGCTTTCTCCATCAGCCAGCAGACTCACTCTTAACTTAAGTAAAAAGGTAATCATGTTATGTGCAAAATGTAAACTACTATTTGTACTTTTTGGTTGGAGGTCCGTCACCTGCTTATTTCTATGCATATGTCGTTGCTCTGCCTGAAATGTTCCACAGTATGACATTAAACAGCTCTATTTTATATTTATTTTATTAAAGGTGGTTTTATAGCTCAAAAATATCTAGAAAAACAGGCATTCTGACTGTGAGCAGGGTCCCTTCTCCACAGATCTGTAACTTGGTCTGGTTTGGTCTCCATGAAGATTGAAAGGTTAAAGCCATACTGTGAAACATTCCAGACAAAGCAATAACATCTCCATGGAGAAAAGCATGTGACGGACCCTCTACCAGAAAAATTACACAATGCACCTTTAATAAAAGTATTTGTGAATCATGTTATCTTTTCGTAGATATTTGGACAAACGCCGGGAATATTTGGAGATGAGGTGACAGTAAAAACTCCAGAAATCACCCAACGTCAGATACCGCTGACGAACAGCTTTGGTTTCTTCTCAAAAGTGAATAATACACCAGTATATGACCAGTCAACGGAGATCAACAGGTAATTGATACTATGAAGCAACATGACGCTGGGGTTGTATTCATGTATATCTATGGCGAAATGTTCAGCAGTTAAAATAAGTCCGAAAACTCAAGATAAAATACAAAATGGATTTAAACTACACATTTTCAGTAGCCTGTGATCAATACGAGTAGTTAGATAGAGATAGTTCAACAAAAATAGTGAGTGTGCCTAATGGAAAAATTGTTGGTTAATGCTAGGTAATTTGTCTGTACCAGCTCATCTGTTGTAGTTCCAACTAAATCAGCTAAATCAGATTGTGGTAAAACAAAACCCCAACTTGAATAACAGTGCTTCAGACAGAACAGTGCTTACAGTTAACATCACACCCCCAGGGAGTGTTAATGACATCAGCTGCACAGCATCTATTATGAGTAATAAAAAAATAATTACACCAACTTTGCTACTTTAATCTGTTGTCTCTTGTTGCAGTGTTGTGATTAAAGAAGAGGACGCATTTCTTGGAATTTTTGATGGAATATTTTAGCTCTGCATGTGTATTTAAACTACTGTTCTTTATGATTCTAATGGTTCACTTTACATATTTATTTATTTATTTATTTGTTTGTTTGTTATACTCATTGATATTTAACCAAGTGTTTGCATTGTTCACAGATAAGTTCATGGTGTCTATGTTGTCAAGTAAAAATCAAATATCTGTATTATTTATAAATACAGAGGCATGTAAATGTTGTCACTCACAATCTTTGCCTCATTGACTGTTGAAGATTCAGTATTAAATTATTTCTCGTTTTAACTGTCTGGTTTGTTGTAGTTTGGGAATAGGTTGATCCTTATAATTTAGCTTTCTGCAATGCAAAATGGATAAAGACAGAACATAAAAATGTGGAAATGTAGAGGTGAGTAGAATAACCTAAAACTGTACTCAAGTACAAGTAATGTTACTTCAAAATATTATTATTCAAGTGGAAGTACAGAGTAGTGGTTCAAGAAATGACTCAAGTAAGCATAAAAAAAGTATTTGGGTAAACTCAAATAAAAGTAACTTAAAAAGTAACTGTCAGGACATAACATCTGATTTATAATTTGAAGTACATGTAATTGGAAGGACAAAACATTAATTAAATAATGCACAAAATGTGGTGTTTTCAAAGGACAGACACAAAAATGAGACAAATTAAATATTGTCAACATAAAGCTTTTGTCACTTTCTCAAAGTGAGTAGACTTACAGTGAGAACAGTAACCAAAACTTTTACTCAAGTAAGAGTACTTTTCAATAAAAATAGTATGCTGCTAGAAAAGTACTCTGAAAAGTACAATTTCTTTTAAAAGTCACTCAAGTAAATATAACTGGGTACTACACACTTCTGGGGAAATGAGAGAAGAAACGATGGCATTTTCATTCATAAAAATCCTTCACAAACATCTACCCCGTGACTTCAACGCAAATCTCGCGAGAACACCTTTACGTCACTTTGAGCGCGGGGTTTGTTGTTGGCGGAACTTATTTCTTTTACAGCTCTTATCTTGCATTTTTTGACAGTTTTTTGCACTTTATTTGACATGTATTACGTATTTTACGATCAAAACAGTAACGCAAATGTGTAACCATTTGTGGACGTGTTTTTAAGACGTTAATTTCGGGATATTTGCACTTTTAAATCGACAGAAACGGTAAGTATGCACTGTCTTAATTTCGTATACACTTCTGAACGGCTATAATTTCCTAAGTTGACACCGTTTTGCCATAAGATCAAATATTTTGTGCTATACTAATATTTTCAATTAATTTAAGTCAATGATACGATGACGATCCTATAATTGCTGTGTTTCAGATGGAGGTAGTTCCTGTTCACACTGAAACCATCATCAGCACAGAGGAATGCCTCAAACCTGAACGAACAAACAGGAGAAGTAAAGTTTCAAGTGAGACAAACGACTATGTGACACTAAACGAGTAAAAATATGCATAAATGTGTATTATATATGTATTTTTTCCTCATATTTCTTCCAGGAGATGTAGAAACAGACATTGAGCTCCTTTACAAAGCTGTTCCTCAAATTGGGAAAGTGTTCCGCATCATTGATAAAATTGGAGAAGGTACATTAATTATTATAATTTAAAAGGTGATATATAGCACATATTGTGGAATATTATAGTCAAAATAACAACATTTCCATGGAAATAAGCAGGAGGTTCCCTCCAGGAGAAATAATAGTCAGGTTTGTGGAGATGTATGCAAGGTCTTCCACCATGGAGAGGTTATTCTTTTGCCTGGAATATACCACAGTATGGCATTAGACTTGTCTTGCTTTTCCCCCAGTGTTTTTATTGCTCATAAATACCTTGACAAACATGTATTCAATTTATTACTATAAGCAGGGCTGCCTCACCACAGATCTGACCAGTAACTTGGCCTGGAGGTATGTCCTCTCCATGGAGATTGATATGTTTATATCATACTCTGGAATATTGTAGGCAAAGCATTAACATCCCATTGTAACAAATCCTCCTCCCAGAAAAGTTAGAACACCTTTAAAACACGTTATATTGTGATTTTATTGGAACCAAAACACTTTCATTATTTATTATTAAGTTAGTACAACGCACTTTGATCACTGCACGTTACCATCACATTATACCTATGTACAGTAACTGTTGTTGTTTGCAGGTACCTTTAGCTCCGTTTACCTGGGAGAGGCCCAGATGCATGATAGGAGTCGACAGAAATTTGCCCTCAAACATCTGATTCCCACAAGCCACCCGACGCGGATCGCTGCAGAGCTCCAATGCCTCACCGTTGCCGGGTTAGAGCAAGATTTATAACTGTTTATTTCTAAGCATCCTTTTCCTATTATTCCTATTATTCCATTTAAAGGAGTATTATGTAATTTTTCTAGTGGAGGCTGTAGGGTCTGTCTAATGCTTTTCTTCATGGAGATGTTATTGCTTTATCTGAAATGTTTTGAAATGTCTGGCATCAAACCTTTCTATTTTCATGGAAACCAAACCAACTAACAGGTCAGATCTGTGGAGAGTCAACCTTACTCACAGTCAGAATGTCTGTTTTTTGAGGTATTTTTGAGCTATAAAACCACCTGTAACTGATTAAATGTAAGATAGAGCTGTGGAACATTCCAGACAGAGCAATGATCCATAGAAACAAGCAGGTGATGGACCCCAACTCAAAAGTTACATAATGCTTCTTTAACTTACTTAGACTTAGCCTTTAGTTTAAGTCTGAGTAAGTTATTTCCATTTAAGTGAGGATGGTTTGATTTGGAATTTTTATTTCAGTCATTTCCAATATTTGTCTTGCTGTAGATGGCGATAATTGAATATTAGATTATTTATTTACATGGCGATGCCTGCAAATTTGACCAAAACTGTTAGCATTACAAATTAAGTTCTTCCTGTTGTAAAAAAAAATATATCGAATTGTATTTTCTGAGTTGCATTTTACCTGATATATTGGGAAGTTTTACCAATTGATACTTTGCAGCTGGTCAACATTCTCTGGGAGTGTGATGTGTAGGCCCTGCTGCATTTGAAGCTCTGTTAGACTATTTAACACACTTTCTTTTCTCATATTGCCCAGCCCTACTTCAAGATGATAAAACATAACATTCTTTATACCTACACACGAATGTTTTTTCCTTCAGAGGCAGAGAGAATGTGATGGGAGTGACGTACTGTTTCAGAAAAGAGGATCATGTGGTGATCGTGATGCCCTACCTGGAGCACAGAGCCATAGTGGTACGAGCAGATTTTTAATGTTCCTGTCTTTTGAATAGAACACTGGTTTAACTGTAGTTCTATCTGTAGGACATCATCAGCTCTCTCAGCTTTGAGGAAGTCCGTCTCTACATCTACAACCTGCTCAGAGCTCTGAAGCACATTCACCAATTTGGGATCATCCACCGAGACATAAAACCAAACAACTTCCTCTACAACAGGAAGACCAAAGAGTGAGTGTTTTTACATCGTATCATATCGTATTTATCATGCAACAGAACAGGAGTAGTTTGTAGCTTTAGCAAAGTAATTTATTTGTAGTTACTTTGGAAGTATAACTAGCGTATAACATTACTAGCTATAATAAGAAACTGACCTTGCCTGACCAGCCTGTCCAGAAGAGTCTGTGATCAGGCCATAGAGCATGAAAAACCTCTGACTTAACTAAAGGTTTTACAAAAATATCAATCTTTTTTTGTAATTTGATTATACAGTATTGATACCATATCAATACCGTGGGCTGCTGTATTAATATATATCTGCAGGAGTGTTTTTGGGTATAGTTTTATCGGAATATTTTGTTGTTTGTTTAGATAAAGGAAACTTGTTTATGCCATAGATTTAACATATTTAATGTTTCAATGATGAAAGTGGATATATTTCATTTTCACTTTGCCCAGATAGTAGTTTAATAAAGACTTGGTAACTCTAAAGGCTTAGATTTAGCCTTTATTTTTTACTGAGCCATATCGAATTGATTTGAAATATAATGTCTTATGCTATATTATAGAAAGTGTACTGTATGGAGATGCGTATCGGGGCCTGTGTATTGAGGCATGTACCGTATCAGCTATTTCCTAATGATACCCAGCCCACCCAGGCCTAGTCGTAACTTGGAATGGTCCAACCACAGGCGCTAATGTGTAGCATGTGGAAGACATCATAACATTCACTCTTGTTCGTACTTAACTATTTGACCTATTTGTCCTTCAGATACGCCCTGGTAGACTTTGGCCTGGCACAGGGCACTGCGGACACACAGATCGACCTCCTGAAGGTTGGCAGATCTCACAGAGGCGCTGGGTCTCCTGCCAAAACCCAAAGAGCCAGTCAGAAGAGCCGACCTCTCCCCCCTCACTCCTCTCATACCCTCCCCACTGCCTCCACTTCTGCCCCTCCTCCTCTGCCCCTGTCTCTGCCCCTGTCTCTGCCCCTGTCTCTGCCCCTGTCTCTGCCCCTGTCTCTACCCCTGTCTCTGCCCCTGTCCCCCCTCCTGCCCCTGTCTCCTCCTCCACCTCCTCCTCCACTCTCTGCAGGAAGGTGGTCCCCAAACGCCGCACTGTTACCGGGGCCTCCACTGCACGCTCCAAGCACTCAAAGGTGGTGTGTTCTTCTCACTGGTGTGGGTCTGTGTCACTGGTGGGGATCTGTAGAAACCTTGTTGTTGACTGTAGAGCTGTAAAGTTGGCTGCCAGGCCTCACACTCTTTGGAATTGAAGCAATGTTGCTAAACTTGGCCAAGTATTATGTTATTAGGTTCTTTTTTTCAGACCAAGAGTTTGTTTTCATACCTGACAGTTTGGACTGCTCACTAGTGGTCTTCCTCAGAGTCACGTGATGTTAATATAGACAGGTTTTCCAGCAACATCACATGACCACTCTGAGGAAACCTCTAGTGAGCAGTCCAAACTGTCAGGTATGAAAACAAACTCTTGGTCTGAAAAATGAACTCAGTAACATAAATTATTGGAAGACCATATGAACTTCACTGGACTATTGGCCAAGTATTACTTTGTATCAGATCTCTAACTGGATAATTATGTTATCCAATTCATACATAAACTACCTTTTGTTCATGATCTATAGCCCCACAATATCTTGAAAATGTATTTAGACTCAGATCATTTCATTTTGTTGATCTTAACTGTCAAAATATTTATCATGGATATCAAATATAACAATTTTACTTTTGCTTACCGTCCTTTAGCATGTTAATCTACAGCTTGGGCTAAATCCTCCGTTTTTTGTAAAGGACTTATCAGGCCTTCGTAAAGTGCAGCGGCCGGTGTTTGGAGAGAGGAACATGAACAGCTGTACCCTGGTCTCTGCCACCACCAAAGCCTCATCTGCTCAAACTGAAGTGAGCTGCCTTCTGATTATATGGAATCAACAAAACACACTCCTGGTCTGAGCTCTAATTCTTTTCTGTCCAGTTGGTGAAGGTTGTAAAAGCAGAGGACCCAGCCAATCGCAGGTACTCGTCGACTGGCCGTGGCTCCTCCCTCAAGACTCAGGGAGCCAATCAGAAGCCTCAGAGAGCTGTGCCTCTCAGTGCTACCTGTAGCTGCTACAATACTGACCGCGTCTGTAACATTTGTTTGTCCAGGTAAACTTTGCAACCGTAACAGTTAACACTTTTCAAAGGTCCTGTATTACACAAAATTGAGTGAGGTTCAAGTCATGTTATATTGTTGTCACCTCCTCAAAAACATACTTAGTGTTGTCTTTTGTTTCATTCATACATGTTTGAGTAAGCCTTTTATTATTCGTTTGTCTAGAGCTGCAAAGGTCAAAATGCTCTGTTCCACCTTATGATATCATGAAGTTTCAAGTTAACTAGTTTTCAAGTTAACAGCTACCTATTACTTTTAGTTCAGTAGAAATTGTTGCCTGGAAATCCAGAAGGATATTTCTCTGTACTTGTCAGCCGCTGGTACAGCGATGAGTCTGGATTCGTCCAGGCAATAGAAATTGGCAATTATAGGGCTGAAATTATCCAAATGATTCTAATGAAGGTGTGTGGAGTTTGACATCACAAGGTGGAACAGAGTGTTTTCTGTTTGATTGAAAAACACAGCCTAAATATGCATATAACATAAATCAGAAAATAGTGTAATATGGATCCTTTAAGCAATTTTAAGTGTGAAATTATATACAGATGTTGAGTTGGTTTATAATTTAATGAATGAAATGACGGTGAAAGTAGAGAGCAATTTAAAGAAGACATTTTATGCTTTTGCTTAACATCAACAAAAATATGTTTATTGTAAATTGTAATATCACAAAAAACAGCATGGTTAAACGCTCCAAGTGTCATGCCTCTTCTTGCTATTTAAACTCATGGAAAATCAGTGTAAAAGCGATGTTATGGTAATTATTATTATTCCATTGATTTGTTCCTCACAGAAAGCAGCAGATCGCTCCTCGGGCTGGGACTCCAGGCTTCAGGGCTCCAGAGGTCCTCACCAAGTGTCCAAACCAAGGCACAGGTCAGTTTAAAACCATGGGTATGTTTAGTGTTTGAACGGGCCGCTGTGTAATAGGGCTGTAGTCCTTTAGTCGTTTAGTTGATTAATCGATCGATGGCGTCTTTGTCATCCAAAATTTGTGTTAGTCGATTATGAGGATTTTTTCGATTATAAGGATTTATATGGGACAACAGCATGAAGGCTCAATAAAGTTTGTGTAGTTCTTAAGGAGTTGGAGAATAAGTGAGTTATTTGAATATTTGGTATTATTGTTTGTTGTAGAATTTTCTTTTTCTATTATTATTTATATGTGTATGTAAGACTCGTGATTCACAAGTTTAACCTGGTTTTATATAGATACTTTGTTTCTTAGGACTGTTATTTGTTTAAATTGCTGTTTTTACATGAACTCCCCCTGCAGGTGTATTCTTATGAGGGCAGTTTGGGTCAGGTACATAGAGATACATAATAATTTTGAGAGCTTTTGTCAAATAATCGATTAGCAGGACATGTCTTTAGTCGACTACCTTCAAAAATTTCTCAAAATCCATCTATTTAGAACTGCTTTTAATGTGTAACTTGCTTTTAAATCATGCCTATATTTTGTCTGTCATCTTTTTTTAAATTTTTTTTTTATTAAACTCTTTTTAATTATATTCTTCGTACAGGTTAGAACAGTGCTTTATAAATAAAATGTAATATTATTAAGTGCAGCCCTGACATGTGTCTTTGTCATTGTTCAGCCATAGACGTGTGGTCGGCTGGGGTGATCCTGCTGTCTCTGCTCAGCGGGAGGTATCCGTTCTTTAAAGCCAGCGACGACCTCATCGCTCTGAGTCAGATCATGACCATACGTGGATCCAGAGAGACCATCCAGGCAGCCAAAGCATTCGGTTTGTGTTTTTACATCTACTCTGTGTGTTAGGACAAGAACCAGGAATGTTCAGTGTGCCTGTGTGACAGGGATGGGACAATAAACAATAATATCAATTATCGTGATATAAAGGGTATACATTGATCATTCATGGGACATTTTATATAATTGTGAGAATAGCCAACAAAAATAATCGCCATTTTATCTTTAGAATGTGCAGAAAAACTTCTTCATACTTCATACTTCTCCATCATGGTCTCTTCTAGATCATTATTATTTTCACTTATAAACACACAAGTGCACTACTAACAACTGTTTAAATATGGAACTTATTTGTAATATTAAAATTATACTTAAAATTATTATAAAATTATATTATTATTAAATTATTAATATCCTTGATATAATTGTGATATAATCATTAATTGAAATATTTTGGCCATGGTAATCGTAACATCAAATTTCAATATCGTCCCATGCCTTCTGTGTGATGACACAGTGTGTTTCCATGCACATCAGTATCCTGGTTATTATCCATATCCTGGTTATCGCAGGATTCGGGATATGCTGTTTACATGTTACTGTTCTGTGCGTATATTGCGTTGGAGGTGGTTCGTGTTAAACTTTTCAGAGCTCATACCTGTGCAGGTCTTTATTTAACAGTCATTTCACTCATGCGTGGTCACTTTATTTATGTTGGCTCCGTTGTGATGAAAAGAATAGTAAGTGTTTCTTTTTTTGGACGCAAATGCACTCAACTTTATGTTACCATATTCGGGATACTGCGTATACATGCCACAGTATCCCAGTTACTGTTGTAGCTGCAATGTCTCAGTTTCACATAACCGGGATATTCGGGATAATAAAACTGGGATACTGTGTATACATGCACCACGATGGAACCGGGATACTGATGTGCATGTAAACGCACTCATTGACGCTATGCTCCACTCCCAGACTGTCCTTTAAAGTAGTACAGAATGACATTTTGGCACATATTGCCAAACCAAAATTGACTTACACCCACAACTGACACCTACTAGTGTCACGATACTAAAATTTGAAACTCGATTTTAATACTAAGAAATAGACTCAATTCTCACTCCAGATTCCGATACTACAATGATAATTAAAAAGACTCTTTATTTAGACAATAGGATGTCCTTTTTAACATTAAGTCATAGCACTTTTCTGTTCCCACGTGTCCAATGTGTAACTCCTCAGTGGTCCAGTTGGTTCAGTGTTGGTCCATGTGTGTATACTAGTCTATGTGCTCTTGTACTTGTTCTGATACAGTTCAAGATCATTTTAAAGACATTCAGTCCTGTGAATGTGACATTTTATACCTGCTCAGATATATTGTATTGATACTAGTTTAGTATCAGTATTAGTACTAGTTGATTTTCGATACTATTAACAACCCTACTACTTACATTACTCACTTCAAAACTCATTTGCACTTTAATCTGTAAACTAGCATGTGGTTTGAGTAATTGCATTTCATTTGTTTCAGGTAAATCCATAGTATGTAGCCGGGAGCTGCCTCGTCAGGACCTCCGAGTGCTGTGTGAGACGCTCAGAGCGCGCAGACCGTCCCCTGATGACGATGATGTCACACCTCTGCCTCAACACAATGGCGCCATCTCCCGAAAACCATCAATACCAGAAGACACGCCCACTCACCGCCCCGCAATCAAACAAGAGGACAGTTATGAGCACACGCCTCTGCACACGGAGCGCACAGAGGCGGTTACCATGGAGACGGAGAAGGAAGAGGAGGGGGGATGGGGCAGGGTTCCAGATGAGGCGTACGACCTTCTGGACAGACTGTTGGAGCTGAATCCTGCCACAAGGATCACAGCGGCAGATGCACTCACACACCCACTGTTTACAGATCTGAGACCGCTAACCTGAGGGACTGGTGTGAATGACGGCTGAGATCACTGACTTGAGACGTGTCATAAGTGGACAAGCTAGTGCTTTAGTAGAGGTTTACAATTTAAACTGAAGTAACTAGAAACAATATTCTTAATTGACATGCATATTAGGGCTGCACAATACATCACAAAAGTATTGACATTCCAGTTTTGGCAAATGCACCTATCAGTATCACAACACCGAAGATTGAGCTGAGAAAATATTGGCGTTTTAATAGAAAATGTACAAAAATGCAGATAATGGGTTTCCTTAAAAGTGCACTATGTAACTTTTCTGATGCCGGGTCCTCCACCTAACCGTTTTCACAGAGATGTTGCCATTTCTCCATACAGACAAATAAATGAGGTTACCAGGCCAAGTTAAAAGCCAGATCTGGGGAGGCGAGCCCAGAGTTTAATGCCATACTGTGGAACATTCTAGGCAAAACAATAACTCCAACTAGTACTGTGTATTTTTTATAAATCCTAAATTAACTTCAGTACACACAATAAAAGTCTAATCTTGTGCAGCCCTAATACATTCACAGTTGACCAGTCAGGCTTCAATCCTTGTCAGAAACAGCACCAGGGGTTGGTCGACTCAAATCTTAACGCTGGCTAAGAGAATTGGAGAAAAGGGTCAGTTGTTAAAGAGAGGTGAAATTCCTCTTCAGAGCTGGACATGCCTCTGCCCCTGAGACCTGAGACCTGCTGCTGGTACAGTCACCAAACTGGATTTATTTACAATTACCTCTTTCTGTAGGCTTCCCCCTCCTGCCATCCCCCTTACTCCACCAAAAACATAATTATATTCCAGCTCAAATAATAATTAGGACATTAACTAAAAAAGTCAAAGCTTTAAATGGCCTTTACAACACTCTTTACTTATACGCTGGTCTTACTTCTAGTGTACCTATCACATAACATTGATTAACTTTGAAATGATAAGCTTTTTTCAATGTTACAGACTTTTCTAATAAACAGATGTTTCAAAATCCTTTTCTCTCTCAGATCCAGGAAACCACAAGCAGCAGCAGCAGTTGGTCCATCATCACCAATTTTTAAGTCTGCTGGAAAAATGAAAGTGAATTTACTTAGCTTGGTCTTATTTATTCCAATATTCAAAATCTTACAGTTGTAGAAAAAAAAACCAAAAAACAGATAATCAGCTATAACACCTGATCTTGTTGACAATATTTAAAGGTGCATTGTGTAACTTTCTGGTGGAGGTTCCATCAAATGGTTTTCTCCATACAGATGTTATTGCTTTGTCTGGAATGTTTCACAGTATGGTATTAAAGCTCTATCGTCACAAGACCAAGTTACAGATCAGATCTGTAGAGATGCACCCCCGCTCTGAGTCAGAATGTCTGTTTTTCTAGGTGTTTTTGAGCTATAAAACCACTTGGAATTGAGTAAATGTAAACAATACGGTGGAATATTTCAGGCAGAGCAATGACAAGCAAGTGACAGAACCTCAGCCAAAAAGTTACAAAGTGCTTCTTTAAGTGCTCTCTTTGACTTCGATGAGTTCTTCGATCCGCACCAGGACGCTCTCGATCATGTCAAACGTGTGCAGAGCTGAGTGCAGAGCCTGAAACAGTCAATGGTTTTACTACAAAGAACACACGGGGAAGTCAGACATTGTTACTATATTCTGCAGAGATAGTAGACTAGACTAAAATAGAGATAGTAAACTAGACTAAAAACTGGTACTCATGTAGGAATAACAGTACTTCAGAATAATATTACTGAAGTAGAAGTACAAAGTATTCTTCTAAAGCCCCCCTCGAAAATGAAATGGCAGTGATATCTCAGGGGGCCTATCCTCCAGACACATACATTCAAATTTAGTGGTACAAGAAAGAGTAAAAAGGTATTTGAGAAAACTACTACTTAAATAAGTAACTTAAATAGTAACTGTCAGGACGTAACATCTAAAGTTGTCATGATAAAGCTTCTGTCACTTACTCACAGTGGCACAGTAACCAAAACTTTTACTCAAGTAAGAGTACTGTAACTTCAATAAAAATATTATTCAAGTAGGAGTAAAATACGATGCTACAAAAGTACTCTGAAAAGTACAAATTACTCAAGTAAATGTATCTCAGTATTACCCATAAATTTATAGATTTCTTCATTGAAATGACAAACCTGGATGTGTCTGTCTGTCGTCATATTCGGCAGCTTCTCATCTCCGACTGACACAGAAATGGACGGTTCTGTGGAAAACAGAACACGTGATGAATGCCTCAAGTCAAATATCAATACAGACTTGACTCATGTTTTAGGCTGTTATTTATTCAGATAAATAGAACATTATTTTCGTGTATTTCCTGCACCTTTGGCCTTGGTCTTCTTGTCCTCTTGGGTGATGAGCAGCTCTCTCTCGTAATGGGCCCTGGACATGTTGATGCCGACTCTGAGCGGCTTCAGGAACGTGTCCTCGATCTTATACAGCTCTGTCCAGATCCCAGTCTACAGGCACAGCGAGGGAGAATTAAAAGGGAGGCGGACTACAGCACCCATAGGAACCCCATCCAGACATTAGCAAAACATGCAAACTATATTTACTTACGTTATATATTCAGTTAGTCTAAACTTTTCAGTGTTTGTAGAAAATTACAGTTAGTCCAAGAAAACTTTGCCCATATTTACCTTGACTAACTCCCCAATGACTTTGTTCCAAATCAGTTCCAAAACTACAAGGGTTTGACCAACAGAAGTTACACATCTATAAATCCCAGATGACCACCAGAGGGGGTACACGCACTGGACTGGATCACTACTACATGTTAGTCGTCATGTTCTCACCTGGTTTTCGGTGACTTTGTCTCTGATGACCAGGTACCGCAGCAGATTCAGAGACTCCATTATTCTATCAAAACAAACAAATAGTTTTAAAGTCTTTTAACAGCTCAGCCTGTCCACAGTTCAACAGGTGCAACAGGTGCAAAGTGACAGTGTGCGCACCTGTCCATGTACTGGAGCAGGTCGGTCTCTGGTCCATCCGGCAGCATGAGCACTGAGCGCAGCAGAGGGAGCAGGTGCAGACCCTCAAACCACAGGTTACCGCCCCCTGTCTGAACAAGCAGCGAGTCAGACAGAAAGTTATGTAATCACATTTAATGCACATGACTTATGGTCATTTTTGTATACTAAATTATAACATACATTGATCATACATGAATCATTCTACATACATCTCATTACAGCGCATTACTATATTGGTTACAAAACTTAAAATCCTTATATTACACAAAATTTACTCTTGTGAGCTTTAAACCATCTTATAATGTTTTTGCCTTCTCAAAAACAGACCTGGAGTTGTGTTTTGTTTCATTCATAGATGTTTGAGTAGCATTATTAATATGTCTTCATCTCAAAAGCTCAAAATGCCCTTGTTCCACCTTGTGATGTCAAGTTAAGAGTTACCTTTTACCTTTTGTTCTATAGAGATTGGCAAATCCAGGGCTGAAATTATCCAAAGGATTCTAGTGAAGGTGTATGGAGGTTAAAAACACAGTGGAGCACTTCCTGTATTATCACATGACATCACAAGGTGGAATAGAGTGTTTTCAGTTTAAGAAGAACTCAGCATAAATGTGCAGGGTTCGTGTGTTAAACATGTGTGAATGAAACAAAACACAGCTCCAGGTCTGTTTGTGATGAGGAAACATTATAACGTAGATCGAAAAACACTGTAATACAGGCCTTTTAAACTATTTATTTGCAATATGTTAAATGTCTGGCCTTAAAGTATAAAAGTACCTTAAGAGCGGAGTCGATTTGATCCTTGATGTTCTTGATGATGTATCCCTCCACTCCTGAGTGATTACTGGTCTTCAGCATTAACCTGGGAAACACATTTTAAATCAGATTTTCAGACCTTCACTCAGTATTTGTATTACAATTAGATATAAAACACTTACTGGAAGAACTTATATTTGGCCTCTGTGTTAAACTTGTCTATGCTTAGCTGAAAAACCTTCAGACCTCTATGTCTCTGGAACCAATTTTCATCATTAGTGATACAGTAAAATGGTAGAGCAGAAACAGATTTAATTTGAAAAGTGTCACTCACCAAATTCTGATGTGGGCATATTGTCATGACTTTTACCAGGTTCTGAAACACAAAAAGCAGAGACAGTTTTACTTAATATTGAGGCTGAATGATTTGGAAAAAGATCCAATACAGATTTTTCTGACAAGCATTGTGATTGTGATTCGATTTGTTTTAAGTATGTTAAAAGGATTCTGTTTGAAATTCACATTTTAAACATGTCCAGGAGAACAGACAAAAAGACTGAAATATGAACTGACAAACTACGGTAATACAAGAATCACATTTCAGAATATGTTTGTACACATCTAAAGTACAGGGTCAGCAATTTTTATGGAAAAAGTGTGGAGGAAAATTATGGCACATTCAAATTGCAATTTTGATTTGATTGCAATTACTCTTGCAATCTTAAATGACATAATGTTAAGTTTATAAATATGAAGGGGTAACACTTTATAATAACTACAAATATTCATGCCTCACGAAAGCATGAACAAAGACTTATTTCATTTCATTTAACAAAAAATAATACACTAAATAAAAGCATGTGTTCTTATTCTGGACACTTTCATAGCACTGAAAACCATGCATGTTTCTCTGAGGGGGCTTGAATCAGAAAACTGACTCTTGTTTTGCCTGAAGCCCCGTTCTGCTTGTTTCCATGGAAATATAGTTTCTTTGGCTGTAATATTCCACAGTATTACATAAAACTTGCTTATCTCCATGGAGAATGTTCTGAAGTGTGGTTTCATCTTTCTATTTTCATGGAAACATGTGTGACTTTACAAAACGTTACATACGGTACTATCATTTTAAGTCTTTCTTCATGCTTTACGAGGACTAATTAAACTGTAGTAATTCTAAAGTGAATGTCATGTTTGTATTTGGTGAAGAGCTGACCTGTGGAACAGAGAGGAAGCTCTTGATCTCCAGCAGATCCACTGTGAGGCCACAGTTTTCTACTCTCACCAGGCTCTTCTCATACAGCTCCTGAGGAAAGATATAAACAAGAGTATATTTACAACCAACATGTGGAGGATGGAGGAGGCGACTATCAAAACTGGCGGTAATATCAAAAATGGCAGGTTTCAATCTTAATAAAAATGTGTCTCACTCACCAGTCCTTTTTGTATTCTGGACTCTTCAGTTCTAAATGACAAGGCACATCATGAATTTTGTTAAATTAATTTCAAATGACACAAATATCCTTTCTTTTTCCTATTGCTGTTATTGATAACAAGTCAACAATGTAAACCTTCACACTATTTTAGACCAACCAGCTCAAATGTACTGTAATAAACAATAATAAGTACTAGTAGTAATTTAGTAATATAGAGATGATATATGCGTAACACATTTAGTAATTAAGGCATTTAGTATTAATAATAACATGTACAGCTTATTTATTTTACATTTGTGATTTACAATGAACAACAAATGAAAATACAACTTTGAAATGAGAAATATCAGTATAATAAGGTTAAAAGATTATCAAATTGGTTCTATAGAATTTGGTCTCTTACAAGTCTATTTGATCTGATCCCAATAAACAGTAGATAACCCTGTCAATCACTATTTCATCTTTGCACTGTTTCTCCTTCTCCTTTCCTCTTATATATAGCTGATATATTTTGTATATTACATTTCTCTATTTTATTTTTACTTGTACATTTGTGTAATTATGCTTGATTTGATACCAATCTCTTTCTTAGCTACTTATTTTGAATCAGTTACTGTCATTTATATTTTCTTCCTCTTTGATATTATAATATATTGTGATGTCTGAGCTACTATTTTCCAAAAATAATTCTGGATCAATAAAATTTGTCTAAATCCAAGTCTAATATAACACTTACAACAGCCAATATTATTTGAAATCTGTTGCAGTTTCATTACCTGGACAGAAGGAGGCAGATGTGTTCCATATTGGCCCGCAGACAGTACACAGGGCTGCCACAAAACATGTATATTAGATCTACTGTATATTGAATTCACTTGTTTTCATGTGTTGTGTATATGTAAGTTTTTGTTGCACCTGTAAACTGTAGGAAACACATCGGCCAGCAGGTGGTGCACAAACAGCAGGTGAGCGATACAGGCCAGAGACTCTTTGGGATATCGCACCTCCTCTTCTAAAAACCCCGGGACCTGCCTGTGTCTGAGCAGAGGCCGGTGAACCAGAGCGGGGAGGGACTCTCCGATGGAACGCAGACTCAACTGGAGTATACAACAAATCAAAAAGATGAAACAACTATATATTTTTTTCTATTGGTATAAAAATATGAAAAAAGTGTAAACAAGAGAGAGACAAGGAGAAATATCAGATAGTACTGTTATACCAAAGAAAGATTTATTTTTTTTATTCCCTTGAAGTTATAGTGTTCTGTCTGGAGTTCATAGATTCTTTTTCCTGACTATCTTCTGTACAATTTATCAAGTTTTTGGCGGGTTTGTATTTATTCAGATTTTAATGAGAAAATATATATCTTGGAACTAGAAAGAATGCAAACAGAACTTTATAAGAGGATGTTATGGAGGTTTTTACCAGAATGCTGGAGGCAAAGTCCCTGAGAGGAGACTCTGGTAAAGTATCTGTATCTCTGAGCTGGATTCCCAACAGCACACGGCTCAGAACCTGCATACAGCTGTACACAAGAGAGACATCAAAGTTTATACACATCAAATTACTCTACAGTTAGTCTTAAAGCAGAAATAAGTAACATTTATAGTCTAAGTAATTCTATGTATATAATTTTCGGGGCGTTTGACGTGTCCGTCATCTCCCCCTGGAAAACCAGACTTGCAATATTGTGAACACGGCCCACAGAGAGTTCTTCTTGGTAACCCTGGCTCACTTTTTTTTATATTTGGCAACAATATATGCTTCTTACATGCCTCACTCATGTGCTTATGTGCTTCTTACTGCCTTATATCAGCAAAAAAGAAAAAAAAAAGTATGTTCCTTGATAGTGTAATCTCATAAGGAAGCTGCAGGGGGAGCTCTATCACTGAAAGTTACTTAGTTCTGCTTTAAGGGTCATTGTGAAACTTCTGTGGTGGAGGATCCGTCACTTGCTTGTCTAAGGAGATGGAGATGTTATTGCGTTGCCTGGAAAGTTCCATGGTATGACATTAAAGGTATCTATCAAGAATTTATTAATTACGGGTGCTTCTATTGCTCAAAAATACAATAATTCTCTGTTAATAGTGTTGCCTCTCCACAAATCTGACCTGTAATGTAGCCTATAGTTGTCCCCCTTGTGACAGATAGGTTTAATCTCTACTGTGGAACATTCTAGATCGAGGTCTCCAACCTGTTGCTCAGGAACTACCAGTAGCGCTCCACCCCCTTCCAAGTAGCTCGCCAAGGGATTTCTGAATTATTAATAACTAAAATCTGATTATTTACCATTGTAAATGTATCATTTTGATTCCTAATTTGTGTGCTAAAAAATGGATAAAGGTTAATGTTTTTAGGTATCTAACTGTACTCCATTAAAGGCTTGCCATAGCTCTTCTACTTTCTCATTTTCTTGTGACTGCTAACATTAGTTGCTCTCTGGCTATTTTGTTTTGTAAAGGTAGCTCACCTGAGGAAAAAGGTTGGAGACCCTGTTCTAGACAAAGCAATAACATTTCCATGAAGACAAGCAGGAGATGGACCTTCCACCACAAAAGTTACCCAATGCACCTTTAACTATATATTTAGGCATTTACAGTTGTTGGAGACCTAATATAAATACTGATATGTTCCGACACTTACAACTTGAGCAGTTCAGCCCTCAGCTCGTCCTCTTTCTGGGGCAGGTCTCCCACCTTCTGTGCTCTGTCTTTCCCCCTGGTGTGGTTCCGCTGGACCTCCTCCACAAAGGGCTGAATGAAAGCACTGAGCTCAGAGCAGCATCGGCAAAGGGAGAACACATCGTCCTGTTCCTGCTCTACGGTCCCGGGCACAGGCAGTTTACACAGCTGCTCCAACACTGAGGACAGAGCCATGCCCAGAGAGGAGGCCTTACGCACACCCAGGCGCAACAGCACTGAGCGACAAAATAGACAAATACATTATAACATGATGAAAAAATTATATTAGATTAAAGGGACAGTTCAGAATTTTGGACATAGGGTCTCATTTCCTAGTGAGCCAGAGTACTGTAGATGTGTGGAGACACTTTTTGAAATATTCCATCCAGTTGTTGTATTTGCAGAGGTCGCTCGTGCTAGGCTAGTGCATGTCAATGGCCACTGTTATCCTGCAACTAAAAACACTTACTCACTCTACAAAACACACAAGGCAAATCTAGTATTATGTCAGACTGTCAATGTGAATGTCTGTGTCAATAGAATAATTTTAGAAGTAAAACTAACCTTGCATCGCTTGAATTGCCGCATGCTGAGGGACTATTTTCTCAGCAGCAGCGGAATTTTACTCTGCTCTAGTTAGTTGTGCTGATATGAATGTGGCCATAACTGGAACAGGCTTCTTCCTGTGCTCTATGTGTCGCTATGGCAGCTGCAGTTCAACAATTTTAGAGCCAGTAAGACAGGTGCTAGGTGATATTAGTCCGCCACTGCCAAAATTTCTATCAGGAAGTACAATTCACTGCTGCTGCTCAGACATAAATCCTTCAAACACAAGGTTGGCTTTACTTCTAAAATTATTCTATTGACACAGACATTTACATGGACAGTCTGGTGTAATAATAGATTTGTTTCTGGTGTTTTGTGGAGTGGGTAAGACTGTTTTTAGTGGCAGGAGAACTATGACCATTGACTTGCGCTATCCTAGCACTAGTGACCTCTGCAAATACAAGGACTGGATGGATTATTTCAAAAAGTGTCTTCCATGCAGCTCCAGTACTCTGGCTCACTAGGAAATGAGGTCCTATGTCCAAAATTCCGAACTGTCCCTGTAATATGTTGAATACGGCTTTAAAGTTGGACTATGTCATTTTTGGGTTGGGGGTCTGTTACCAGTGTGTGTCTATGAATATGTCATTGCTCTGCTTGCAGTGTTCCACAGTATGAGTTTAAATTCTGTAGCTCTCCCTTACATTTATTGACTGTGAGTGGGGTTGCCTCTATAGTTCTGACCTGTAACTTCGTCTGGTTTGGTCTCCATGAAGATAGAAAGGTTTAATGCCATACTGTGAAACATTTCAGACAAAGAAATAACATGCCCACGGAGAAAAGCATTTGACAGACCCTTCACCAGAAAAGTTACACAATGCACCTTTAAGAGGTTTAGGATAATATAAATTATTCACACAATAAGTTCTGTTTTTTTATGAAGATACACCTATGAAAGCAAGTGGGGCTGTGTACAACGTATACCCACCATACAGAATCACCTGTACTGATACTAAACATTCCCAAATTTTAAAGCTGTAGTTCAAGAGATTTAAAAAAATCTTATTGATAGTTGGGGATTAAATTGTTCTGATTAGTTTTTAGTTGTCAGAATAATAGGAAAAAATAAATAAATTTCATCATATTCTAGGGGCTATCTTAAGTTGTATCCAATTACCTTTCTGCAGAGGTGTAAGCAGCAGATGGAGGCTCTCTGCGATGGTGTCTGGGTCATCGTGCTCCAGCTGCTCCAACAAACCAATCAACAGCTCTTTAGGCTGACATAACTAAAAAAAACACCACCACATTCAGTCTAAAATCATTCCTCCATATATTGTACATATTTTGTTATTTGCTTGATAAACCTCAATTAGGTGGTTGAAAATAGCCAGACAGTGAGGGAGATCTTTGTCTTCTTTCTTCAGTAAAACCTGTATCAGAGGTGGTAACAGGTTCCAGCCCATGCATCGCACTATTTCCTGAAAAAGAACAGAGATTAATGGTTAAACTAATTCAATTCCAACACTATCTTTAGGGTCAAAAGCATTAAAAATCAGACACTAATCAATACTAAAATTAGTATTGAAACTAGACACTCATTTGAACAAGTATTGATAAATATGTCACATCAACTGGACAGAAATGAACCTTTCCTGAATAGCTTTAGAATGATCCTGAGCTATCAGAACAAGTACAAGAGGACATAGGCTAGTATACACCCATGGACAGATACACAGATATAAAGGGCACACAGTAATATAAAAAAAAATACTATGATTTAATGTTTAAAAATCACATTCTGTTGTCTAAAGGATGTTTTTTTATTTCAGTATGACAACATAACTATCTTTAAATAAATGCATATGAATGTGCACCTGGTTCTTTTCATCAAGCACAATGCTGAGCAGCTGCAGACTGTTGCCCTCCTCGATACAGGTCCGTCCCGCGACATTGAACACATCATAGTCCTCAGAGGTGTAGGAGTTTTCGGGGAGGTCTTGCTGGAATTGAGAAGATAAGACTAGAATTCTGAATGTAGCAAACATGTTTTAATGGTGTGCTATGACATCTTTGCTGATGCACCACTTAAGTTAAGGGTGCACTGTGTAACTTTTTGGTTTGGGGTATGTCACTTGCTTGTTTCTATGGATATGTCATTATTCTGCTTCAAATGTTCAGCAATATGAAATTAAACAAATCCCCCTTACATTTATTCAATTGCAGGTGGTTTTTTTTATAACTCAAAAATACATAGAAAAACAAGTACAAGACTGAGCGGTGTTGTCTCTCCACAGATCTGATTGTAACTTGGTCTGATTTGGTCTCCATGAAGATAAACATTTTTAAGATGATACTCTGAAACATTCCAGACAACACAATAACATCTCCATGAAGAAAAGCATTTGATGGCCCCTCCACCAAAAAAGTTACACTATGCACCTTTATATCAAAATAGGGCTGTAAAACATATCTCAAAAGTATCAAAGAACGAAACACTTCATTAATACATACAGTAATAATAACAATTTGCATGCTGATTTGATGGCCCCTCTTGTCAGTGATGGGGCGTGGTCCTTATTTAAGCTGTGACATGAATGTATTCCCTACCTACCACAATCTAACCATTTACTTTTCATTCCTTACATTCACATCATATGGTATGATATCCTTAAAAATAGTTTAGTCTTTCTAATGTTATGTCTATTCTGACTAAATTAAAGCTGATTTCAATAAGCCATCATACATTTTAGTCATTATTTCTTAGACTTTTCCACAAAACTCCGCTGTCATCTTGATGTTATTAGTTGATTTTTACTATTATTATATAGGTAAGGAACAAGTGAAATAACTTACACATCTTTGCACCACTTCACTGAGCTGCTCCAAAGCCATTTTTAATACTTTCGTCCCGTTTGCACAATCAAAACACTCGTATTTCTAAATGATCTGCTCTTATATACAGCTTCATAGAGTTAACATGCATTACCTAAAGGCTGGTATCAATTGTAGCTTGAACGTTAAAATTATTGCCATAAAAACGCGATGTAAACAAAGCAAAATGAATGAATCGCGTTAGCAATTTGCTTAGCCGTTAAGCTAAATTTACCTTTTTAAGACTCACAACGCTAAGATTTTTTGCTAAAGATGAACACTGTTTTGAGATGTTTATAACTGAAAAAATATACATGAACTGGACTTGAATCGTCACTAATTTAATGTTAAGACTCTTGGAAGGAAATAAGCACGCCGTGTCTGCCCGGTGTGTGAAGATTGTCTATTTTGGTTTGCCGTAGTTAAAACGTCACGGGTCAAAGTTGAAGTGCTTCCGTTAATAGACATAAACAGAAACAGCATGGAGGAGAGAGAGGACAAGGAACCCGCTTCTGGCATCTTAAAAACATCTAAAAAGGGTACGATCGGCTATCAAAGTGTGTCTTATTGCGTGTATTTGCCTTATCAACTTATTTCGAAGTAGAAAATGCTTGTTTTGTATAGCGGCACTTACAGGAAAACCTCTGAGGATGTAGAAGTGTGACCAGATGTTCCTACACTGCAAAAAAACTTGGCCAAAATTTGATATAAACACTTAAATCTATCAGAAAATGGCTTAAAAGTAGTGAAATTTTCTGTCCATGCAGCGGGATCATCTTACTTGACAAGTTATCTTAAAATAAACGACCTCTGGACTAGAATGAAGCAGTCTGTGATAAGTGTTCATGGGCTGCAAATAAGTTGATGGAGGCTTAGTTTTAGATAAACATCCTCGAATATCAAGCAAATCTGTATGACTGAATCTAAAAACAAGTGAAGTGCTGCAGAAGAAAACAGTGATAAATGGATTGTAGCTTCTTTTAAACATGTATTGCCTAAATTTAAGATCTTCTGACATTTTCTGAGTCATGAAAGAAATATATGTGACAATTTTTAAGATTATACAGCCAATTCAAAACTAATAAGTATATAATAAATCTGAAAACAAGATGAATAACCCGATATAAGTTTTGAAATCTTCCCAGTCCCAGTTTTGAGCCCTGTGTCCCCTGTCCCAGCAGATTTATTCAAAACCAGAGATTTGGCCCAGTTTTATACAAGAAATGTCCCAGGTGTCACTATTTTTGACCAAACTGATCCCTGCCAACAGTAAATTCATGGACATTTATCTGTGAAACATAGAAAAGCACAAAGAAACTGTGACTATACTGACTCATGTTAGTTTTGAGTAAGTCATAAAAGGGTCAAGTGCAGAGCAATTCTCTGTAATTACGCATTTTCAACAATTATCAACCAACTCAAATCGACAGTGTTCCAGTTTTTGATTTTGAAATTGTGGTCACCTACCCCTATGTAGAAGTTGAATGAAATTGGCTATTTTTGAATGAGTTTAGGAATTGTATGTCAGCTAAATGTGGACAAAATATTTGTTTTCTTTTCAAAAATTAAATTGAATGTTATTAAATTTGTGTCCTTTGGCATTACACCACACTCACAGTCACCTTGTATTACTATGTGTGTGACTGATACTCGTGGTGGTCAGAGGGGTTGAAGGAGTATGATACAAAAGCTCCATTTTGATACTAAGTTATAGATTCGATACTCAATACTGATTCCAATACCACAATGAAAAAACAAACTCTTTATTTTCAACATTAAATCATAATACTTTCTTTTCTATTCCCATGTGGTTTTATATGTATGTAATCCCTCAGTTGTCCAGGTAGGTTCCATAGTGGTCCATGGGTGTATACTAGTCAATGTGCTCTTATACATGTTCTGATACAGCTCAACATCATTCTAAAGCTGTTCAGGAAAGGTTAATTTCTGTCCTGTGAATGGGACTTTTTAGTATCGATACCTGCCCAAATGATTAGTCAGTTTCGGTACTTATTTTAGTATTGATTACTATTTGATTTTCAATACTTTTAACAACCCCAGTAGTAAGTGAATGAATAATGTTTGTTAATGCTTTTCTTTTCAAAGGTGCAAAAAAGTCAAAAGCTTTGAGCGCTGAGGAGGAAGCAAGAAGGTAATGCCTCAGTGAATTCACTCTTTGATATTATTATTAGGGCTGTAGGATGTTAGTCTTTTAGTTAATTAATCAATCAATGGAGTCTTAGTCGACCAAGATTTGTATCAGCCAACTAATCATTTTATTTTGATATTAAGGATTTATATTGGACAACTGCAGGAAGGAGAAGTAGTGAGAGCGAGTTATTTTTAGAGTATTTATTTATATATAAATAAGATTAAACTCATGATTCACAAGTTCAGTCTGTCTTTATATGAATACAGTGCTTCCTAGTATTTTTTCCTGCACACCTTGAACTCCAGTGCAGGTGTAGTCTTGTGAGTGCAGTTTGGGTTAGATACATAGAGATACATAATGGTTTTGAGAGCTTTTGCCACGCCTCCTTTTTAGTCGACCAATTAATCATCAGGATATGTCCTTAGTCGACTACCATAAGAATACATCCCTAATCATTATGAAGTTTACACAATCACAACATTATTTTAAGCAATATTTGGAAATTTTGTGAATGAATTGTTTTGTGTTTATTGTCCAAGGAGGGAGGCCATAAAAGAAGCTCTGCGTGAGAAGCTTGAACTTGAAAAAAGGGCTCTGCAGATCGTAGAGCGCCTCCTGGAGGAGAGTGTGACTGAAGACTTTCTTACAGATTGTGTATGTTTATCACGACAATATCTCTGCAGTATTCTCAAGCTTTTGGGTTTGGTTATTTTTTTGGTCATTTGTTTTTATTTATTCAGGCACGGTTCATTACTCCTGCCAATTATAAAGACACAACAGAGGAGAGGTCCATTGCCAAACTGTGCGGCTATCCCGTTTGTCCGAATAAACTCGGAAAGATCCCAACTCAACAGTACAGAATCTCCACCAAGACCAATAAGGTGTATGACATCACAGAACGCAAAGTAAGTGGACATAAGTGGACATTAAAGGTGCATTATGTAACTTTTCTGGTGGAGGGTCCGTCAAATGCTTTTCTCCACTGAGATGTTATTCCTTTGTCTGGAATGTTCCACAGTATGGCATTAAAACGTTTTATCTTCATGGAGATTAAAACAGACCAAGTTACAGGTCAGATCTGTAGAGAGGTGTCCTCGCTCACAATCAGAATGCTGCTTTTCTAGGTATTTTTGAGCTATAAAACACCTGTGATTGAATAAATGTGTAACGTAGAGCTGTTTAATGTCATACTGTGGAACATTCCAGCCAGAGCAATCGCATATCCATAGAAACAATCAGATGATGAACCCCCAACCAAAAAGTTACATGGTTGCACCTTATTACAAGAAATATTTCTTGTGGGTTGATTCATTAAAATATGTTTGTTTTCCTATAGTTGTATTGCAGTAATTTCTGCTATAAAGCGTCTAAGCAGTTTGAGGTGCAAATTTCAAAGACGCCCTTTTGGCTGCGGAAACATGAGAGGTGAGTCTAATTTATGAACAGGCACACAAAATATGCACCCAGAAAGCTTTATTTTGGGTTGCCCCTTGATGCTAAAATTTCAAACTCTATTTCAGAATAGGAATAGACTCGATACTCAATACTGATTCTGATACCACAATGATAATAATAAAAACACTCTTTATTTAAACAAAAGAATGTGATTTTTAACATTAAATTGTAGTATTAGTATTGTAGTAGTGGTCCAGATTAGTTCCATAGTGGTCCATGGGTGTGTATACTAGTCTATGTGCTGTTATACTTGTTCTGATATACCTCAAGATCACTCTAATTTAAAGCTATTCAGTAACGGTTCATTTCTGTCCTGTGAATGTGACTTTCTTAGTATCAATACCTGCTCAAAGGAGTATCTAGTTTCAATACTACTTTTCTTTCCACAGCCCATCCAAAATAACGTTAATGAAGAAAGGAGACACGTAAGTACAATATTTAAAAACACGCCTCATGTACAGTTTTATATCTTGCAATTTAAATATGCACTGTGTAACTTTTTGGTTGGGGGTCCGTCACATTCTTGTTTGTCATTGCTCCGCTTAGAATGTGCCACAATATGACATTAAAAAGATCTAGGTTACATTTGTTCAATTACCGGTGGTTTTATAGCTCAAAACCATCCACAAAAAAAGGCATTTTGACTGTGAGCGGGGTCGCCTCTCCACAGATCTGGCCTGTAACTTGGTCTGGTTTGGTTTCCATGCAGATGGAAAGATTTAATGCCATATTGTGAAACATTCCAAACAGAGCAGTGAAGAAAAGCATTTGACAGACCCTTCACCAGAAAAGCTACACAATACACCATTAACCATTTGTGTTTAGTGGGAGCTCTGGTGAAGAAGTCAAACTTTCGGAGAGACCTTTGCAAGAAGACGACATCGAAAACCCAGTCTCCACCCAAACAGAACCTCTCAAATCCAGTTCAAAACCTGAAGAATCTGAATCTGGAGATAGTGAAAATGAGCTGGACTTTGTCTCAAGTGTGGTCTCCAAGAAAACTGGTCCCAAGGTGCACTGGGGTGATCTGCCTAAACGCAATGATGAAAGTATGCAAAGTACAGTGGCCTGTGAGGAGAAATTTAAAGAAAATGGTAAACGGGAAATAAATGGCAATGAGGTGACACTGGACGAAGCTACAAAGCAGTTAAATTTGTGTAGCTTGCCTGAGAATAATTCCGAATCCCAAATCAATTCTAAGGAGGAAAATTCCAACATCGAAAGCAAGGAAGAAAACATTCCAACCCAAAATAGCGACAATACAAAATTAAATATAACTCAAGTTGGGATGAGTAAAAAAGGAGCAGACGCTTTAAGAAATTTGCTCAAACAACACGAAACAAAACCTGATTCGATTCGTCAAAACCTTTTAGAATACTTGATGAAAACACTTAAAGAATGGGGGACGGATGAGACACTGGAATTTCTGTACGGATCCGAGCGTTCAGTGGGAATGTCATTCGGAAAAGTGGAAGAGGAAGGGAAGGAGGAAGAGGAGCTGGATGAGGATGATATCGATGATGAAGAGGAGGCGGAGCTAAACGCAACAGGGGTAACCACGGTAACCGCAGCAGCTCCGGACTATGAAGAGCTGAAGAGGGAGGCGGAGCAGATGAAGCTGAAAGTGAAGGAGTTTTATAAAGGCACCTGGCTGCATGAAGAAGATGAGCAGAGAAAGCTGGTAATTGATTTGAATTTCTATTTAAACTTAAATTTAAACTCTAAACTTTGCTCACAACCACATTTCAAATAACTGCAAAACTGTGCAGTTCCTGGAGGACTAAAGGAAAGACTGAAAGAGGTTTTGGAGTATAAAGAACAGTGTATCCACATTCAAACATTAAAGCGCATTACGCAAAATTTACTCTTGTGAGCTTTAAGGCATTATAGAATGTTGTTACCTCCTTAAAAACATCCCAGGAGTTGTGTTTTGTTTCAGTCACACATGTTTGAGTAACCCTTTATTATTAGTCTGTTCTACCTTGTGATGTCACAAAGTAGTAGGTTTCAAGTTAACAGCTGCTTTTTACCTTCAGTTCAGTAGAGACGGGCAGTTCCAGGGCTGAAATCATCCAAATGATTCCAGTGAAGATGTGTGGAGTTTAAAACACAGTGGAGCACTTCCTGTATTACCACATGACATCACAATGTGCAACAGAGTGTTTTCAGTTTGAGAAGAACTGAATGAGAAGAGCTCAGCCTAAATATGCTGGTTTCATGAGTTAAACATGCATGAATGAAAAACAAAACACAACTCCAGGTCTGTTTTTGTTGAAGAAACACTATAACATAGCTCAGAAAATGGCATAATATGGGCCCTTTAAAAGTCACCTTAAATTGTAATAAAAGACTAATTCTGAAAATCAAATGATTTCACTGTATTCCTCACATGTTATTATTGTCTGTGTTCAAAAGGAGTCCACTGAGCCTGTTAAAGAGCCCATACTCCCCCTGGTGGACTCTAAAGCGCAGCACGTCATTCAGAAGAAGATCACTGTAGAGAAACTCAGCGCCAGGTAAAACTATGTGGACTTTTTAACTTATTTTTAATATTTGTTTTTTTCTTGACCGATGCCAATGTGATACAGATTGTTAAAAATGCAGAGAAACCAAAGGGCGAGAAGCTCTGGGCCAATAAGTGGGGTTGATTTATTATTTTCTTCAAATGGGGGGTCTGTCACCTTATATGTCACTGCTTTGCCTGGAATGTTCCACAGTATGACATAAAAAAAAAACAGCTCTACCTTACATTTATTCAATTATTAAATTTGTGAGCGGGGTTGACTCTCCACAGATCTGACTTATAACATGGTCTGGTTTGGTCTCCATGAAGATAGAAAGGTTTAATGTCATACTGTGAAACTTTCCAGAAAAATCAATAACGTCTCCATGACCCTCCACCAGAAAAGTTACACAATGCACCTTTAAATAATTTCTGTTTTTTTGTTTCCTCAGCCTTAAGAACATTGTTGGTCCTCTTGGTCTCACGATGAGCATCATCTCCACAGACCTCAACAACCTGGTCCGAACTTTCAGGTCAGAAACTACTGCATTACATTCACCACAGCTGTGCACTGCTGCCATCTAGAGGCCAAAATTACACAAAGGCACATCAAATAATTCATGCTGTGAATGTTGTTTTGAACTTAAAACATCTCAACAACTCAAAACATTGACATCAAATAATAATATCAAATAGGGTAAAATTCTAAATAAGGTATAAAATCATTTCTATTTTCTTTACTTTTGTGGGTAATTTTAGTGTCATTTAACATTGGTCTGATACCTAAACAAGACACATTTAAACACATTTCTGTTGGATTTACATAATAGATTGTTACTGGGACTGTTACGTTTTTGTCAATATCACCTGCCCGTTGGTCTGTCTTTTTGTTAATTTTCAGCGTGTAAGATTTTAATGCTACTTTCGCCTCTTTAGCTTGTGTATAGGTGTGTGTGTGTGTTTTCCTCAGAGCACTTCTTAAATCAATGATGGACTGAGAGCCACAGTGTTTCCTGGGATTGTTTTTGAGAAGCTGTAAACCTCACAGATCATGTAGCAGGCCTCAGAGTGTACAGAGTGTAACAGGGATCCAGTGTTCGTGAGCAGTGACGGAGCATTCTGTTGTGTTGTGTTGCCAGGTTCACCAACAGAAACATCGTTCACAAGAGCCCAGAGTGGAGCCTCATCGCCGTGGTGCTGCTCCATCTGTAAGTCACACACATGATGGACTGTATATATATATATATATTCTTTATACAGTCTATTGAACACTGAACATTCTAATTGTTGTGATGTAATTAACAGAGTTTATAGTTTTCACCAGGATTATCTACGTAATAACTCTGCAATATGGAACAAAACTGGCCCAGAGTATAGTATTAAAAACTGTGGTGGAAATTTGGCCCACAATAGTTTTAAAATGGTGGATTTTATGATCTTATTTGACATTTAAAGCCAGATTTGACAGACTTTATATTTGTTTATTTTAGTAATTTTTTTAGACACAAATACAGTCACACTATAACAAAATGCAGACTCTGACCAGAGAGCGGTGGAAGCAAGTATTTTTGTATTTACAATAATAATAAACAATAGATATGCAAATGTACGTTCAGTGCGCCCATATAGTTTCAGTGCAACAGGTTTTTACTGTAAATCTCTGTATCTGAACTCATTTAGACTTAGACTTTATTGATCCACAAGGGAAATTATTTGGACACAGCTCAGACATCACAATATAATATAGGGATGTAACAATATCCAAGTCTCACGATACGATATTGTCACGGTATGAACCTCATGGTACGATATTTATTGAGATATCACGGAAAAGCTCATGATATGAAGGGGAGGCTCATGATTAGGGATGTAACAATATCCAAATCTCTCTGTATGATATTTTCTCGATATATACATCTCACAGGAACAGACAGGTGAACAATAATATGCTGATTTTTCCTCTTAAAATGCCTTGACAAGACTTAATCCAAAGAACTAAGACTTAAAAGTGTTAGAACTGTTATTTCTTCATGACATCTGCAATGAAATGGAGCAAAGGATCATGGTCTATGTAGTTCTCGGTCTTTATGTTGCTGCACCATAACTCTTCATTTAAGCAAAGAGATTTATTCAATATATTTTGACGGTCCATGATATTATTGTGAGAACTTTGATGACCCGATATCACTATATTTTGGTTATTGTTACATCCCTAATATAATATAATAACAAAGAGTAAAAAATAAAGATGGTAATACACTCTATTGTTACACATAAAGATGGCACACTCAGGTACGGTGCTCAGTCTGCACATGGAGCTACAGAGGTGCTGAGGCTGCAAGAATTCATTTGACTTCTCCATCTTAAATTTATTCACTAACAGCGATTTCTATAAAAATGACCTGAAAAACATGAATTTTCATAGTAAGTGGGGCGGCCTCTACACAGATCTGGCATGTAACCTGGCCTAACGCTGGCCAAGTTACAGGTTTTTGTTGTCATTGTGATAGAAAATAAATTATCATTTTATTTATGGCATTTTATTTATGTTTCCATGGAGATAGACAAGTTTAATGCCATACTGTGGAACATTCCAGGTAAAGCAACAACATCGCCCTTAAGACAGTCAGGTTTTAATGCAGCAGTACCTCCAAATAGTTTCAGTGGGGCAGATTTTTACTGTAGATCTATGCACTTGAACTAAGATAGAGATTAATTAGAATTGGTAACTGTTGGCAAGCATTCAAGGGCACACCATCACCCTGAAAAGTTACCTAGTGCACCTTTTAACCAGTAAAAACTCAACATATGCTACAATTATGTCCATCTGCTTCCTGCATATAAAATATTTACCACTTTAGTTCAGTTTGGGTCAAAATCACAAAGTTTACAATAGAATTTCAATGAGCATCAGTGGGTGTCATGTTCCAAACCACGCTGGCTCAATCACTGTGGGCCTGGCTTCAGTCTGCAGTCTCTTTGTTGGTTTCCTTCTCCCCAGTTTGATTGTAGTGTGAGCTTTTGTTTGAGGGCTGCCATATGGACTCAGGGCTATTGGACTCAGATCCGCATGGCTCTTATCTGGCTCCTGATTGTAGCAGGAGGAGATCCGTGTGCCTGTTATAACGCCCTCTCTGTCCACACACTCTCCACACACATGACTTTATACAGGCTGTGTTGGCAAGTCCTCACTTAAGATAAACAAAGTACTGCAGGGTTGATAAAAGTATGGAAAATCAGATGCTAATCGATAATAAAATGAGTATCGAAACTAGATATTCATTAGAGCAGGTATTGATGCTAAAAAAGTCACATTGACGAGACAGAAATGAACCTTTCCTGAATGTCTTTAGAATGATGTTGAGCTGTATCAGAACAAGTAGAAGAGCACATAGACTAATATACACTCATGGACCAACATGGAACCTACTGGACCACTGAGGGATTACACACATATAAGACCACATGGGAAAATAAAAGAAAGTATATGATTTAACGTTGAAAATAAAATGTTATTGTCTAAATAAAGTTTTTTAATATCATAATGGGATCAGAATCAGTATTGAGCATTGAGTCTATTCATCTTTGACATTTTCAAAGTTTGAAATCAAGTTTGAAATATTAATATCGTGACTACAACAAAGTGTAACTCATGAAAACATGTTAGATTTGCTGCTCTGCTCTGTGCGGATGCCTCTGTTTTCTTTTTCAGAATAAGATGCTCTAAACACTGCATTGTTGTAATGTTATTAACAGGACTTATCATTTTCATCAAGACTATCAATGTAATAACTCTGCAATAAGAAACAAAACTGGCCAAAAGTTTAGTATAAACAGCTATTGTGGAATTTCATCCACAACAGTTTTAACAATGGTGGATTCTTTTATTTTACTCGACAGTTAAAGCTGGACTTTGACAGCTCTAGTAGGATACAGAATGCCTGTGGACCCTATCATCATACCACTTTATATTTGTTTATTTAAGATTAGATTGGATTTAACTTTATTGATGTTAACACATGTACAAGCACTAGTGCTGTCTGGATACTATCATTTCAAACTCTATTTTGATACAAAGAAACAAACTCAATACTCAATACCGATTCTGATATCACAATAATAATGATTTATTCTTTGGACAATAGCATGTGATTTTCAGCATTAAATCATAGTACTTTCTTTTATATTCCCATATGTCCTTATATCTGAGTAATCTTTCACTTGTTCCACAGTGGTCCATGAGTGTCTACTAGTCCATGTGCTCTTATACAGCTCAGGAGCATTCAAAAGATGTTTTAGAATGTTATTAAAAAATAGTAGTAATTTGCAATATCTGGTCAGCCTCACCATATTTGTTCTTTTTCTAAAGACATTAACAGTATATTCACAATATTTCTACAGCCTTGAATCCATGTGCCCTCAGATTTGACTGGAGCTGGTCTGATTCAGCTCTGTGGCTCCTCCTCATTAATAATTAGCTGTGCATCTTATCTGTAGGCGAGTGGCAGCTGTAGTCTCTCTGGCCTCCTTTTGTGTGGAGTCTCAATAATGCATGGACCCTGTGCAACCCTAGCCCCAACTGAACTGGACACTGGACACTGGGACAAGGCCACAGGAGGGAGAGAACTAAAGGGTTGGAGAGAGCTAGAGGGGGAGAGGGCCGGACGACAAGGGGAAAGGAGCAGAGGATAAGGGAGTGGGCCAGAGGGGAGAGGGCCAGAGGGGAGAGGGCCAGAGGGGAGAGGGCCAGAGGGGAGAGGGCCAGAGGGGAGAGGGCCAGAGGGGAGAGGAGCAGAGGGGAGAGGAGCAGAGGGGAGAGGAGCAGAGGGGAGAGGAGCAGAGGATAAGGGAGTGGGCCAGAGGGGAGAGGAGCAGAGGATGGGGATGAGGACCAGAGGAAAGGGATGAGGGTCAGAGGTTGGAGAAGAGGGCCAGAGGATGGTGGAGAAGACCAGAGAATAGGGGAGAAGACCAGAGAATGGGGGAGAGGACCAGAGGATGGGGAAGAGGACCAGAGGATGGGGAAGAGGACCAGAGGATGGGGGAGAGGACCAGAGAATGGGGGAGAGGACCAGAGGATGGGGAAGAGGACCAGAGGATGGGGGAGAGGGGAGAGGACCAGAAGATGGGGGAGAGGACCAGAGGATGGGGGAGAGGACCAGAGGATGGGAGAGAGGGCCAGAGGATGGGGGAGAGGACCAGAGGTTGGAGAAGAGGGCCAGAGGATGGTGGAGAAGACCAGAGAATGGGGGAGAGGACCAGAGAATAGGGGAGAAGACCAGAGGATGGGGGAGAAGATCAGAGAATGGGGGAGAGGACCAGAGGATGGGGAAGAGGACCAGAGGATGGGGGAAAGATCAGAGAATGGGGGAGAGGACCAGAGGATGGGGAAGAGGACCAGAGGATGGGGGAGAGGGGAGAGGACCAGAAGATGGGGGAGAGGACCAGAGGATGGGGGAGAGGACCAGAGGATGGGAAGAGGACCAGAGGATGGGGAGAGGGAGAGGACCAGAGAGATGGGGGAGAGGACCAGAGGATGGGGGAGAGGACCAGAGGATGGGAGAGAGGACCAGAGGATGGGGAGAGGACCAGAGGATGGGAGAGGGAGAGGACCAGAGATGGGGGAGAGGACCAGAGATGGGGGAGAGGACAGAGGATGGGGAGAGGACCAGAGGATGGGGAGAGACCAGAGGATGGGGAGAGGACCAGGATGGGGGAGAGGACCAGAGGATGGGGGAGAGGACCAGAGAGGAGAGGAGCAGAATTGAGAGTACCTTAATGTCTCATTGACTACAGGACAGAAATGAATCTTTCCTGAATAGCTTTAGAATGTATCAGAACCATAGACTGTATATAACCACCACGTTCCAAATAGTGTTCATGGGACAATTCACATTGAAAAATTGTGGCCCCTCTCTCTGTAACTGCTGCCGGGAGCCTTGTCATTTTGTTTTAAAATGTTTGTATTAACTTTTACATGATCCTGGTGTTTTTATTTCACTTTTTTAGCAATAAATTCCTTTTCCTAATATGGATTCAATTTAATATTGGCTCCAAATTCATCTATTTTAACTGCTAACCTCGTGAGCTTCATTTGACTGGAGCTTAAAGCTGTTGGTAGCGTAAGTCTCCCTTAGTCCACTTCTTTATCCAGTCTATGAGCAGAACAAGTATAAGATGGAACCACTTAGGGATTATATTGATATAAGGCCACATGGGAATATAAAAGAAAGTTCTATGAATTAATGTTAAAAATCACGTCCTATTGTCTGAAGAACGCACGGTATCAAAATTGGTATTGCTATTTTTTAGTATTAGAATCAAGTTCGATTTTTATTTATTTTTTTAGTACACTATCTAACTCTGTTGTATCTTATGTTCTTGCAGGTTATCTGAAGTGTCCCCGGTGGTTCGTAGGGCGTTGGAGCAGCCGTCCTCGGTGCAGTATCTGAGCACTTTGATGGAGGAGCTGGGCCTGAGCGAGGAGGACCTTCTTAGACTAGTGCTCCTGTTCAAACCACACACACAGTTAGACCCTGGATCACAGTCCTGACTCTGCTTTTCAAATGTTTAATAGACAATATGAGAACTGATTTTGGTTACAATAAAATCAGCTGCATTCTTTTACTTTGTGTGGAGGACTTTTTTGTAAGATTGACCCTTTATCATGCCATGTTGTAGACGATTATAATGGCTAAAAAAAATAATATTTAGATGAAGACAAGCAGGAAGAGTCCCTCCTCCAGGCCAATTAGGTTTGTGGAGATGCAAGCGCGCTCAGAGTAAGGACGCAAGTTTAAAAAAAGATGCACAGTGGGCTTTAACCCTCTCAGGCTCAAATAAATTTTTAGTATCAGGAAAAATCTGATATTTGGGGAAAATTATAATATGGGGTAGTAATATACAATCCTGACTTTTTTATCCTTTGTAAACAAAAAAAGTATTTTGCACTTCTGACAGGCCGTTTGTGTGTAACCATTTTTGCACAGTCTGCATCACCCACGTTTATCAGCATGGATGGGAGAAAAGGCTCCTGAGTAAAAAAAAGCTCATAAAATATGGATTTAGAGTAAGTAGGTAATTGGAATTTAGCTGTTGCAAATCTGCAACACCTGCCTGGAGAGGGTTAAAGAGGACAGTAATGTTTTAAACCAAATCAGAACTGAATATATCTAAATATGTGTAAAAAAAAAACAAAACAAAACAATGTGCTAGTGAAAAAAATATATAAATAAAAATACCAAAATCCTAACATAAATTAAACATTAACTCATCAAAGTATGAAACTCTGACTAACTTTTTTTTTTTTTTTTTTTTATCAGAGTTCAGTAACAACTGTTGTTTACTTTTCCTTATTTGCCCACTCTTTAGAGCATGCAGTACTCTATGTGCTGACATGTGGGAGCCAGCCATGTGTACACAATCTGTGAGGCCTTGTCCAAATCAGATCCTCCCTGTTTTAAAGCCATAGCCCAAATAAATCACACCCAGACTCTATGCAGTATCATAAAAGTGTACAAGTATTTGAGAGTACTTCCTAAATATGGCCCTTTACAGCCCCGTAACGCCGTGTAGTCTGATAATGTTATGGCCGGTGAACAGATGGTGCCCGATGTCTGTGCAAAAGTTGATAATTTTGTTGAGTTAAAAACAGGGATGTGATTGATGACTGTACTGCTTCTCTTTTTCAGACTGAACAAGGCCATTGGGTTCAGATCAGACTAAGAACTCTCACTTAGCAAGAACACGAGAACACTAATTAGCAAGAAGTTATGAGATCTTGTTTATTCTAATGCTTAACTGACTCTTGTGATCTCTAAGCCATGTTAGGATGTTGTTACCTCCTCAAAAACAGACCTGGAGTTGTGTTGAGTTTGTTTCATTCACATGTTTGAGTAACTCTTTATTATTAGTCTGTCTACATCTCCAAAGCTCAGAATGCTCTGTTCTGCTCTGTTGTGATGTCACGTAGTAGGAGTTTTCAAGTGAACAGCTCCTTTTTTATCTTTAGTTTAGTAGAGATGTCAGTTCCAAGGCTGAAAATTTTAAGTTGAGTTTAAAAACACAGAGGCACACTTCCTGTAGAACCATATTACATCACAAGGTGAACAGAGTGTTTTTATTTGAGAGAAAACTCTCAAACCTGCAGGGTTTGTGTGAATGAAACTAAACACAACTCCAGGTCTGTTTGTGATGAGGAAACATTACACACAAATGTGTATGTATTTGCATTAATTAGATTGGGTTTGTTACTTAACATTCAACCAGTTTATGGCTGTTTTAAAATCTTGCTCTAGCGTCAGATGATTTTGAAGTTGAAGTTGAGATTGAAGTTTTCAGATACTGCACATTTACTTCTACTCGAGTAATATGTTTGATATATGTTTAAAAGTACTATTACCTAAGTCAAGATTTTGGTTACTTTTTCCACTGTGAGCAAGTCTCCAAGTGACAAAAGCCAGATTTTGTAAATAATAAAATATTTTTCAAATTATAAATGACATGTCTCAACCAGACAGTTACTCCAGTTACTACGAAAAATCACCTTTTATTTCTTAGTCCTCCACCAATGAGCAGTGCTGTGTACTGTGTACTGTGTACTGTGTACTGTGTACTTTCAATGGACACATTCAACTCACATTAGTTTATTTAATCAGAATAAGTAAAAGTAAAAGTATTCACAAAAATATATATACAAACATAGTGCAAAAAGTGTCAACACTCCTTAAATATTAAGTTATTAGAATACATCCAAGCTTTGGTCATTAAATATGAGTCCAGTTTTGAGTCCGGGTCACTTGGGAGCGTGCTACATAAACTGTGTTTATACATGGACATGGCTCCTCTGCTAGCCCACTGCATTTCAAATAGGAAGTGAGCACGGGCACTCTTCTGGCTCCATCGACTCTGGCTCCAATTCACTATCTATGAAACAGAATCTGAATTTTGTTTCTGCTCTTGTCAGGCTGGTCTTTTGGTCCTGGTGTTTTTATTTTACCATTTTGTCTATAAATCATTTGAAGGGGCTGGTTTGGGGAGTCTTTTGGGGGCTCTGGGTGGCTCTGGGTGGCTTCAGGTGGCTCACTTGTGGGCGTGCTGGGTCTCCTTGTGCCTCCTCAAGTCCACTTTTCTCTGGAAGCCTTTTCCACAGAGGTCACAGCCGAACGGTTTGAAGCCCGTGTGTTTCCTGCTGTGAGTGATCAGGTTTGAGCTCTGACTGAACGCCTTTCCACAGACCTGACACTTGTGAGGCTTTTCCCCTGCAATAAAAAAGGGTAATACAGGTCAGTAGTGCCATTAAACAGAATGCATTAGAAAGAGTTGGTCATAAAACTAACTAATAAACTAACTAGGGGTATGGCGGCAGGAAGGGTTTGAGTGTGACTTCCTGGTAAATAATTGTTTCTCCCATCAACCTAAAACAGCCACAGCAGGTAAAATCCTCCGGCTAAGGTAGTCCTGACCAAGACTAGCTCAAGATCTGGAGATGGGTCCCAGAGGAGATGCCATAGAAGCACTGTTTGAAGGATGGGTCAAATGCAGAAAATGAATTTGCCTCATGAGGGATTAGATAAATATACTATTACTACTATCTTTCCTTAAACAGAATATGGCTTACATTATGGTAGAATAATGTGACATTCACACATTTAGTCTTGTCCTCCTCTCCTCTGACCTGTCCTCTTTCTCAGCTTTATACTATAGGCATTTATTGTTGCAAAATTGTGATATACAACAATGCAACTTAATGCTTAAAACTTAACCACTTTGATCATCTAGGAAGTCATTCCAAGATGAGTATTTACGTGGTCACAGTTACTCTGTGTCTGTATTATATTTGAACTCTTATATTTTCTATTTAAGTTCAATGTATACTTTATTGTCCCTGCTGGAAAATTAGCAATTTGCATCTTTCAGTGCCGCTGGGGCTACATGTCAGGAACAGAGGGAACAAGTGCAACCCTTGGGGACCCATCTCTAGATCTTGAGCCAGGCTTGGTCAGGAGTCAGGATTACTTTAGCAGGAGGATTTTACCTGGGCAACTCAGGAACCTGGAACCTTGTTGTTGTGAGGTGTAAGTACCGTATTTTCCGCACTATTAGGTGCTCTGGATTATAAGACGCACTGTCATTAAATGGTCTATTTTCAAACTTTTTCACAAATAAACCACACTGGACTTTAAAGGAAACACAACAGTGTGATGGGTGAGTGGTTTTGTTTGTTTGTGGCGTTCACGGTGACTCTGGGCTTTGTTCAGTTGTGGCGTGTAGGGAGGGTGCTGTCTGGGACCAACGGATTGTCGGCGTGTTCACAGTGACTCAGTTGTTCAGATGTGTCTAGAAGTGGCACATTGCACTCGCTTTTTCGGTTCGTTCCTCCGTTCTGTTCCTCGTCGGCGTGGAGTGATGAGTGTGTTTGCGTGCGCTGCGGGTGGTGCGGCTTTGTAGTTTACTGAAGTTGTGCTGGAACACCTGAGTGGATTCGTGTATAGGGCGCTCTGGATTGCGGGGCGCCAGTCGTTTTTTGATGCGGTTAGAGGCTTAAGAGCGTGTCTAATAGCCCGGAAAATACAGTAGTAGCCTCTGATTTGCTCGATCATGTTTTGTAGCTGTTGGACTCTCACCAGTGTGGATGAAGGTGTGTTTCTTCATGTCGGACTTCTGGTGGAACCTCTTCCCGCAGAACTGGCAGGGGTAGGGCCTGGTGTCTGAGTGGATGAGCAGGTGAGTGGACAGAGTGGACGAGCGCTTGAAGCTTTTCCCACAGATTTTACAACTAAAACTGCGCTCCTACAGGATACAAACAGGGACAGCATGGTCAGGAACCAGACAGACAAAAACAAGGAAGAATTCTGCTTGAATTAAAAATAAAAGCTCAAATGACATTATATTATTACCAGTCAAAAGTTGAAATCCCTTCTCATTCATACTTTCTACATACAGAAGAGTTAAATTTATGATAATGATAAAACATGTGTGTAAGTGTGCAACAAAGAAAATGTTTTATATATTCTACATATTTTTTAATATATCTGTATATTTAGTATTCCATCTTTGAACTTCATGATGAACAGAGATGTGCCTTGTCAGGGTCAAGAAATGTCAAGAGTGCAAACCAGTGAACAAAGCAAAGCGTGTTATTTAAACCAAAAAAAAACTAAACCAGATATTCTAAGTTTATCTGTTGTTCCATATGTGTTCATTCATAGTTTTGATGCCTTCAGCAAGAATCTACAATATAAATAATGATAGAAATTAGAAATAAACAAGAGACATCAATGAAAACGTGCCCAAGCTTTTTGTTTTTTTGCAGACTTTTTGCACAGTCCATGTCATGAGTTTGAATGTTTTCCCAGTTCTGTGTGGAGACATTGGTAACACAATGACAGAGCTTACAGCTGTTCACAGATCAGATGACAGCGCAGTGGAGGGTTACCTGCGAGTGTACGGCTCTGTGCTGGTCCAGACTCACAGCGTGTCCGAATGTTTTCCCACAGACGCTGCATTCAAACGGACGCGAGCCGCTGTGGGAACGCCGCACGTGCACCTCCAGCCCGTGAGGGGTCGAGAACACCTACACACAACACAACCGCCATGTCATACAAGTCACATTTAGTCTCATGTGTGAAAATATGGTGGATTTATGTTTTGCAGTGTCATCATGCCGGAGAGGCCTACATGTATCTCTATAGTGGAATGTTCAGCAGTTACCATGGAGACACGAAGCACACATTAGCAAATACTGCCAAAAAAGTTAAAAAATTGTCTGAAAACTCAAGAAAAAGTGTATTTAAAGGAGACATTTTCAGGAGGTGTGATCAGTGTGAGTGCTGAGAGTGTGAGGGCTGAGGGTTCACAGAAAGGTTAGAGCGACTAACTGAAAAACTGTTGGTTAATGCTCAATAACTTGTGACTATAATTTTAGGTGTGAGAAACTTGTTTAACGGCACAAATCAGCTCAGTCGGGTCTTTGGTCTGATTGTGTTAAAATAAAGCTTAAAATCTGACAGAGCTCCAAACAGAGCAGTGTCTACAGTTAGCGTCACACCCTCACGTTGATGACATCAGCTGTAACTGTCAGTACTTTTATGAACTCTTGGTGCACTACATGTTACTTTTCCATAGAACTATTGCGCCATGCAGATGATTTATTACTTTTGATAGATTAGATGTTATTGGTGTGTCTGAATGGTCCACATTATGTGGGGTGAGCAGATTTTCATAATCAAAAACTGGGACACCCCCGATTTGTGGTGGTTGGTAATAATAAAAACGGCCACGTAATTAAGGAAAATTGTTCTGCACTTGGCCCATTCATATGTAACATGTCACATTTTCTTTCTGTTTTGATCATTTTTAAGCAGTTTTTCTGTATTTGACCTAAACACATGACAATTTATGTCTCTTTTTACTTTTGACAGGGATCAGATTGGCCCAAAATAGGGACACTGGAACATTTCTTGTATAAAACTGAGACAAATCATTGGTTTTGGATAAATCTGCTGGGAGTGGGGACACAGGCTCAAAAGTGAGACTGTCCCGGGTAAACAGGGACGCCTGGTCACGTCGCCCTAACCTTATGACATTTCACATATCTATTTCCATAGAGACAAACAGATGAATCCAATGAAGTCACAGGTCAGATCTGTGAAGAGGTGAGCCCGCTAAAAGTGAGAATGCATGTTTATCTAATGTATTTATTATTACTTTTTTTGGAAATAAAAACGCCTGTAATTGGATAAATACAAGATAGATCATTTCAGTCTCATACTGCGGAACATTCCTGGCAAATCACTAACGTCATGAGGACAGAAAAGTTACATAGTGAACCTTTAAAGATGAGACAAACTTTAGTCTTGTGAGCTTCTGGCCATGTTAATATGTTGTTATCTCATCAAAAACATGCACCCCTTCCCTCTCCTCTCTCTCCTCTCCTTTCTCTCTCCTTCTTCCCTCTCTCCTCTCTGGTTAAATACTTTCATAGCGACACTGACCTTACAGCACTTGATGCATTTGTAGGTGCCGTGAGATTCGGTGAACTCCTCCTCTGTTTTGACCTCTGCTGACGGGAAGGCCCTGGGCGTGTAGTCCTGGTACGGGCCCCTCTCGATGGAATAGTCCACGACAGCACCCCCCTGTGAGAACCGCGGGTGGTACGATCTGCCCATGAAGTGACTGAGGTTTGACCCAGAGAAGGTCCAGGAGCAGGGGAACAGAGAGGAGGGGAGGGGGCCTTCATCTGCCGCCACAAGAGAGCAGCTTTCTGAGTCTGGAGAGGTGAGAGTCAAGAGGTGAAGGGAGATTTCTCCACTAAAATGATTTCATATTTATAATGCCGTAAAGTTACTGTATATGCAAACATAAAGTGCTGCGAATTGGCTTCAGAAGTTAGGATTCAGTTTGATTGTTTATGCTTGTGTCTCAGTCAAAATAACAGTTCAATCTAGTTCTTCTAACAGTAGAAGAAAGTTTCACATTTCTGTTCTATACATTTTAATAATAATTGGTATTGGTATAATAGGTATCCACTACTACACAGCACAGTTGATCCCAGGGTAAAGGTGAGTAAAAGCTGTAGTTATCCTTCCCACTGTGAGTAAGTCTACAAGTGACAATTATGATTTAGTTTGCTCATTTTTAAAATACCAGATTTTGTGCATTATTTAACCCTTGTGCTCCCCTTAAAATAATCACACCTGAGCTCCTTTGTGACAAAAATGTACACTGGAAAAGAATACCACACTATTTTTATGCAGTACAGATTTTTGTCCAACTTTTTTATATCAGTGTCTTCATTTACTTCTTCTCTAATCATACATACCAAATATTATATCATATTTTGAAATGTTAACCACTTAAATGCCATTTTTGACAGCAAAAGTATCGAATTCTGTGCATAAAAAAAAAAAATAATAATAATAAATTAATTAGATTTTTTTCTGTATCTTTCAACTCATTTTAATTTGTTTGTGTTGGGATTATCAGAGGCTGGGGGCTCATTTAGAACAAAACAATATTTTTTTAACCTCAAATATCCACATCTCTGGACTTCCGTGTAATGTAAGATACACAATAAAAAGAAAATATCAAAAAATTAAAAAAGACACTAAAACAAAAACAAATTTGAAGGCTTTTCAATGAAAAATAAATCAAAAAATAAAAATACACTAGCACAGTTATGCCAGTAAAAAAGGCATTTTAAATGGAAGTCAATGGGACAAAAATGTACCAAAGGATCATGGGTGTGAGTATTTTGTTTATAGACTGTTCAATTAATGTGACCTTGAAAGAAAACACACAAATTAAAAATATATCACAAAATACACAAACTGGCCAATTTTGGTGCTATTTGGTGCAATATAACCAAAGTTATGCAAGACAGAAAAGTTTGGATGAACAAAAATGTTCCTTGGGGTGCAGGAGGGTTAATGTTTTGTTCTTCCGGTGACATTAACTTCAAATTATAAATCAGATCTTTTGTCCCTGCAGACTCTTTAAGTTACTCTCACTTGAGCAGAAGCTTCCTGAAATTTTACTTGAGCAATTTCTTGGAACTCTGTGCACTTTCTTACAATTTTTGGCTACTCTAACCAACTCTGTGTGTGTGTGTGTGCATGCGTGTGTGTGAGTGTGTGTGTGTGTGTGTGCGTGTGCGTGTGCATGTGAGTGTGTGTGTGCATGTGAGTGTGTGTGTGTGTGTGTGCAGTGTAGTACCTGGAGATGAGGAGGGAGAGGGGGGTCTCCAAAGGTCACAGTCCAGAGAGGGCTCACAGCTGTGAGGGCTGCAGGACTCTGAGCCTGGGGTGAGAGGGGGCTGGTGGAACAGGGCACCCATGGGACACCGAGACTCTGCACCAAAAAAAACACAGGACAGGATATCATGACGTTATCTATACCAAGTACACCAAGTACCAATAAAGAAAATAACTGGCTTTCCAAGTACCACCAGATCTAAACCAGGTCTGCAGCAGGACTATTCCAGGTCTGATCCAGGACTAAACCAGATCTAAAAGTGGACTACAGAATCTCCACTGTAGTTCTAAACAAGAATTATCTGAATGAGGAAAAAGAAAAAGTGAATAAAATGAATTTAGCCAAGTCCAAAACTGAAGATTTTTCCAAGTACCACCTGAAAGAGCTCGCTTACCACAGTTTGAGAAACACTGATCTATACAACACTGCACTTATAACCAGTGTTGGGAAGGTGACTTTTAAAATGTATTCCCCTACAGATTACACATTACATACCCCAAAATGTACTTTGTAATGTAATACATTAAATTACTTAAAGTGAGTAATGTAATCTGAATACTTTAGTCCTGGTTTAGTCCTGGTTTAGTCCTGGTTTTAGTTCTGGTTTAGTTCTGGTTTAGTCTTGGTTTAGTCCTGGTTTTAGTCCTGGCTTAGTCCTGGTTTAGTCCTGGTTTAGACCTGGGTTTAGTACTGTTTTAGTCCTGGTTTTAGTCTTGGTTTAGTCCTGGTTTTAGTTCTGGTTTAGTCCTGGTTAATCCTGGTTTAGTCCTGGTTTTAGTCCAAAATGTGAAAACAGGAACATACCACCGTGTAATCCATTTACTTCAACAAAGTAAAGTCCAATTACCACTCACTGAAACAGTAACTGTAACTGAATACAGTTATTCATTATTTGTACTCTAACGCCGATACATGTAATCCGTTACGCCCCAACACTGCTTCTAACTCAATAGGGTGCTCAAAGTTATAAAGCAGGAGTCTCCAACCTGTAGCTCGGGAACTATCAGTATCTCTCCACCCTCTTCCAAGCAGCTCGCCAAAGGATTTCTGAATTATACATATTGTGCTGAATAACTCAAATTTGATAAATTAAATGCTTTTTACTTTTGTACATGTATCATTTTGATGCCAAACTTTGTACACTAATAAAAGGATAAAGGTTTATTTTTATAAGTATCTAACTGTACCTCATCTAGGGCTTAATGTGGCTCTTATATCTGCTCAGATCCTTGTGATCACTAAAACCAGTAGCTCTCTGGCATTTTCGTTTTGTAAAAGTAGCTCACCGGAGGAAAAAGGCTGGACACCCCTGTTATAAAATGCATTTTCAAATTCCACAGTATGTAGTATACAACAAAATGGGTTATGAAAAGTAAGGAAAATCAGATATTTCATCATCATTTGAGCAAGTGTCGATACTAATAAGTCACAATCCAGACACAAGTGAATCATTCCTGAATAGTTGAATTGCTTATAGAATGATGTTGAACTGTATCAGAACAAGTATAAGAGCACATAGACTAGTAAACACCAATGGACAGTGTTGGGAAGGTGACTTTTAAAATGTAATCCCCTACAGATTACAGATTACACACCCCAAAATGTAGTTTGTAACGTAATCCATTAAATTACTTAAAGTGAGTAACGTAATCTGATTACTTTGGATTACTTGATATTGTCATGTTTTTTAAACGACATGAATGTAGCAACCACATCCTGAAAATTCTTGTTTGTTGTCTTCAAATTGTCTGAGCCCAAGTCTCCATGAATAAGCAACTGTTTTCTGTAGAGAAACAAAGACCATGAGATCTTAATATAAGAGGTTTTGTCTGTTAAAAGACAGAAACAAGCTCAGTTTTTCCTTCACCAGATTAAAAAATATTATTGATAGAGAAATTATTTTTTATATGAGATCACCTTAAATTATGTCAACCTACTGTTAGGTGTCATGTTGTTTAGTCCTGGTTTAGTCCTGATTTTTAGACCTGGTTTACTCCTGATTTTAGACCTGGTTTAGACCAGGTCTAGACCAGGTCTAGACCAGGTCTTTAGTTCTGGTTTAGTCGTGGTTAAGTCCTAGTTTAAACCTGGTTCAGTCCTGCTTTAGTCCTGCTTTAGTCCTGGTTTAGTCCTGGGTTAGTCTTGGTTTAGTCCTGGTTTAGTCCTGGTTAGTCCTGGTTTAGTCCTGGGTTAGTCCTGGTTTAGTCCTGGTGTTAGTTCTGGTTTAGAGGCGCACAGGAGGAAGCGCGGTTTACGCGAGAAAACACGGTCCACACGCGGCGCACGAGACGGTGGTGTCCACGCTGTAACTACAGAAGGAGACGTGGTCCGCGAGTTCTCAGGTTGATGACGATGATGAAGGTGTGTGTTGGTGTGTGTTTGTGTGTGTTTGTGTGCGCGTCCCCTCATGTGGCAGGTCATTATAGGACAGTAGTGCAGACATCATGAGTCTATGCAGGTTGTTTTCACCAGTGCCAGTAGCTCCTGTTTCACATTTAAGTTGTAGGCGATTTTATATTTGTTTTTTTATATATATCTCACATCGGGAGAAGAATTTCCAAGACACAAATGCGTTTTAACCAATGCACTGCTGCTTCCACTGTGTGACTGACACCGCCAACGTTAACATGACGTTTACATCGCTCTTACTGTCGCGTTCTGTTTGGGTTTCCAACAATGAGTGGAATTACCGAAATAAAAAATAAATAAATGGGATGTAGCACAAAATGTGAAAACAGGAAAATACCGCCTTGTAATCCACTTATTTCAGCAAAGTAACTGTAATCCAATTACCACTCATTGAAACAGTAACTGTAACGGAATACAGTTACTCAAAATTTGTACTCTGATTACGTAACGGCGGTATATGTAATCCGTTACTCCCCAACACTGCCAATGGACCACTATGGAACCTACCTGGACCACTGAAGGATTACACACACGGGAATATAAAAGAAAGTACTACCATTCCTTTCTGTAATTCACATTCTACTGTCTAAAGAAAGAGAAGAATGAAAGAAATTTTAGAATCCTGTCAATACTACCAGTGTTGGGGAGTAACAGATTACATGTACCGCAGTTCTATAATCAGAGTACAAATTATGAGGAACTGTATTCGGTTACAGTTACTGTTTCCATGAGTAGTAATTGGTAATTGGTCATTTTTATTTATTTTTTTGTAATTCCACTCATTGCTGGAAACTAAACCAGGTCTAAACTAGATCTAAACCAGGACTAAACCAGGACAAAAACCAGGACTAAGCCAGGACTATATCAGGACTAAATCAGGACTAAAACAGGACTAAAACAGGATTTAACAGGACTAAACCATGTTGCGTGAACGTGTCTCCTCGTCTTCTATCAATAATATTTTTAATACAGTTCACTGAAGTCTGGGCTTTTTATTTTGTTTTATCAGACAAAACATCTTATGTTACAATGTCTTTGCTTCTCTACAGCAAATCAAGTAATCCAAAGTATTCAGATTACGTTACTCACTTTAAGTAATTTAATGAATTATGTTACAAAGTACATTTTGGGGTCTGTAATCTGTAATCTGTAGGGGAATATATTTTAAAAGCAAACTTCCCAACACTGGACACTACACCAAAGTATAACCTTCTACGTGATAAAAACCAAGCATACTATTTGATAATTACCATAAACAACATATAATCGGTCCGATATTTGTGCATGTTTGGCATATTGATTGCAATAATCACTCATACACTGGAAAAAACAATATCTAGGTAAGTTAAAATGACTTAAATTAAGAACATTTTACTTTATTTGAGTCGATTCAACTTGACATGTAAAAGGATCGACCAGTGGAGTAAGTGTGTTTTTCTTAATTCAAGCAACATTTGATTTTGTTTCTTATTTTAAGTACAAAAAGTCAAGCTCCATTGGCAGATCATTTTACTCGTCAAGTGAAATTGATTAAAATCATGATGAAACTTTCTTAATTCAAGTCAACTTAACGTGACTAGATTTTGTGTTTTGCAGTGTATTAATAGTAAACACAAATTACATGTAGGATTATTTAGAAAATCTCAGAAATCATAAACGGCTCTACTCTTATGGCATTCTTCATCTGGTTTGTCAGTCATATTTTGAAAAGTAAGCACCCCGTTACAAATGTGAGCGCTTTAATAAAACATAAACTAAATGTCAAACTGAAAAAGTGTGCAGAAAGTCACATCGTACTTTTCTTTACTTTTTAATATCTAGTTTAAGACCTACGTTGTGTGTTTTGGGTCTAATTCTGCAGCTAAAAATCAGTTTTTGAACATTTCTGAAGGTTTTATTAAAATGTCATTAAAAATATAACATACAAGCGAGTATCCAGGGTAGTGTAGCAGAGGTTGATTGATGCGTCAACTTCTTAGTGACTTCATCAGACTTCAACTTTGAAACAGCAACTTTAGAAGAGCTGACTCACATCACTTTGCATTCAAGCAATTCATGCAACACCAAAGAAAACCTAACCTTTTGGCCTTTAAAAGTTGCTCCTTTATCTTTAAGCTGAATGCTATATTTTGGAGTCTCCAGCAGAGAAGTTACGTAGTGCATCTTTAAAGGGCTCTGGCAAACTTGTGAATAGCCTTGACGTTTTCTAGTTGATGAATCCTAACTTTTAAGACAAGTTTATAAGATATATTTTGTTTCATGTGGTTTAGGCCCAGTAATTAGAGATTTTCAGAATAAAACGGAACAAAATATTAACTTTTTAACCCTCACATTGAGTCTATAACGCGTTCTTACCTTCTTTGACGTGCGCCAGGATCGTGTCCAGTCCGTTACACGGCTCGTCCAGTGCGCGCGGCCGGTGGTAGCTGTGCGCGCGCTTACTCTTGACCAGGAAAGACCTCGGCATGGCTCGGACTCAGCTCGTAAATTCGTAACGTAAACTCTTTTAAACCCTCTCCAAGGCGCTGTCCCGTGCGTAATGACCCCGCTCCACGCCAGCGGCAGGTTTATGGCATTCACGGCGCGCTATTACGCATGCGCAGAAGGCCGTGCCGCTGAACAGGTGTCTTTGGTTCTCAGGTGACGCTGCGTAAAGACACGGGGAGCTGCTCGGGACTCTGCGGAGGACTGTCCCGTCATGCCTCTGAGCAGTTAAATTGAAGGAGCGAAAAAGAGGAAGTCTGCAGTGGTTTTAGAGTATGGCTGATCTCTGCTACTGTTTATCTTCAGGGCAAGACTTAAAGCAAGCAGAAATCATGCTACCAAAATCAGGACTGATATATTAAACAGGCCTATGAGTAACTGTGATGAAATTAAAGGGCCATATGACTCTATTTTCTGATGATTTATAATGTTTCCTCATCACAAACACACCTGGAGTTGTGTTTTGTTTCATTCTCACATGTTTAACCCACAAATCTCCAGTGTTGGGAAGGTGACTTTTAAAATGTATTCCCCTACAGATTACAGATTACACACACCAAAAAGTAGTTTGTAACGTAGTCCATTAAATTACTTAAAGTGAGTAATGTAATCTAAATACTTTGGATTACTTGATTTGCTGTAAAGAAGCCAAGACATTGCAACATAAGATGTTTTGTCTGATAAAAGAAAATAAAAAGCCCAGTCTTTACTTAACCAAATTAAAAATATTATTGATAGAAGAGGAGGAGACACGTCCGCACAGCATGATTTAGTCCTGGTTTAGTCCTGGTTTAGTCCTGGTTTAATCCTGGTTTAATCCTAGTTTAGACCTGGTTTTAGTCCTGGTTTAGACCTGTTTTAGACCTGGTTTAGACCTGTTTTAGACCTGGTTTAGACCTGGTTTAGACTGGGGGGGGATACAGTCATACTCATACTCATAATTTGTACTCTGATTATATTATTATTACTCTGGTACATGTAATCTGTTACTCCCTGACACTGCAAATCTCACATAATTTAGGATGAGTTCTTCTCTCCACTGTGTTTTTAAACTCCAAATTCACCTTCACTACAATCATTTGGGTGATCTGAGCCCTGAAATGACCAGTCTCCACTGACCTAGAGGTAAAACTTGCAGCTATATGACATCACAAGGTGGAACAAAGCATTTCGAGCTTGTGGAGGCATAGAAAGACCAATAATAAATGTGTGAACGAAACAAAACATAACTTTAGGTATGTTTTTGAGGAAGTAACAGCATTGTAGCGTGCAGCAAAGATGTAGGCGTACTTTTCTTTGCACTTTCTTGCTTTGCCAAGAATGTCACACGGTATATTCAAACTATGTAAAACAGATTTGAGTTGCCCTGAAAATCACCACGCAAAACCAATCTGCATAGTAGGCTAGAAGTATCTATCTCCACAGAGACAAACTGAAGGTCAGATCTGTGGAGAGACGAGCCTAAATAGTTGTTTTTTTGGGGGTTTTTTTGCAATAAAACATCGGATTGAACTGAATTAACACCAGATAAATCAGTTTAGTTTAAAGCCTGTGTGTGGAGCATTCTCTACAAATAAATAACATCTCCATGGCAACAAGAACATGGTGGAACCCCTGAAAAAAATAGTGTCCCATTAAAATCAGTGGACACATTTTCTATGAGGACAATAATGAGCGCTGGAGATGTTGATAGACTAAAAATAACCAAGATATCGTGATATTGTATTGTCAAAAGTCTGTCAATAATATCACAATATATTGAATCACAATTTTCTTTGCTTAAATTAAGAGTTACGGTGCAGCAATAACTAAAAAAACAGAGGGAACTACATAGACCATGATCCTTTGCTCCATTTAGGTGCAGACCACATAAAGAAATAACAGTTCTAACACTTTTAAGTCTTAGTTCTTTGGGTTAAGTCAATTAAGACAATTAAGTAAGACAATTTTGTTAACCTCGCAATAAATATCGTACCGTGAGATGTGTATCGTGAAAATATCGGACCATGAGATTTGGAAATCGTTACATTCCTATGACAAGTTAATAATGCAGGATTACTCAAACACGTGTGAATGAAACAAAATACAACTCAAATATGTTTTTAACGACTTAATAACATTCTAACATGGATTAAATCTCACAAGAACCAATTTTGTGTAATATAAGACCTTTGACCTTTACCTTAACCTTAATACTACTAGACGAGACCTAAAACTATTCAGGAAAAGATTAACTTCTGTCCTGTGAATGTGACTTTTGTAGAATCGATATGCTTAAATGAGTATCCAGTTTCGATATTGGTTTTAGTATCGATTGGTGTCCGATTTTTGATTTTTCTTGGCAACCCTGCTTGTGACAAAACCTAAAACCGAGGCTCAAAATTGCCTCTAGTCCATTGTTAGAGGCTGTAGCTGAGGAGACTGGTCCAGAGCTGCAGGTGTAAGATGATCTCAGAGCTCAACAGCCTGCGGATAGACAGCTTCTCTTACACCCACTTCACTTCATCAAATACACACGAGCTCCACGCATGGACAAATGTCAGAATGGAAACTAACTTTGTGATAAGAAACAGATGTGAACAGAATGGACGGGGTCTTCACTCGCCAAAGAGTGGTCAGGACAAAGAGGACCATATTACACAATTTTCTGATCTAATGTTGTTTCCTCATCAAAAACAGACCTGGAGTTGTGTTTTGTTTCCTTCACACATGTTTAACACAAAAATAACATAATATTACTCTGCCCTAGTACAGATATATAGTATAAGTAGGTCTTGAGATCAAAATATATCTACTCTGTGCATGTTATATGTGCACATTAGTATGCTATTGTTGTTAGGTTTACCATCATGACAATTACACTCTCGTCTCCAAAAGTTGTGAAAAGTGCTTAGAAACTTCAGGACGTTCTGAAATCATAAAGTGAGGAATAACTTTGGAGCACTGCAAACTGTTTACAATGAACTAGTTCTGTTTTTCAGGTTTTTAAGATAGTAAAAGTTTGATATAGCGCCTTTAAGTAGAAATAAAAATATTATAATTTCATAATAATAATGAGACATAATCAGACAAAACATCAAATAAGATTAGATTATTCATTTTATTGTCGTTGTACAAAATAAAACAAAACTTTAACAAAGCAAAACCGCAGCAGTAAAAATGAATAAATATAAACACATTCTCACATCCATACCAGTAAAAACATAAAATAAATATGGACGGTGGTTCTTGAGGCCTTTTCTCTGTGTCTGTGCTCGTGCTCGTGGGCAGACACTGTTGTGTGAAGCCTAGAGAGGAGCAAAGTAATGTGCAAAGTGTGGTATTTCCAAAGTTGATGATTAATTAAACACAGGGGACCTAGACTAATGTACAGAAAGTGTAAACAAGTATGGTGTTAGTTTTAGAGTAGTTTCAGTGTAGCTCCTCCCTTCAGGCAGATAGAAGGCAGTGTCCACTTGTGTCTGACCAGTGCCCACCTTCGTCTGACCAGTGTCCACCTGCATCTGACCAGTGTCCACCTGTGTCTGACCAGTGCCCACCAGCGTCTGACCAGTGCCCACCTTCGTCTGACCAGTGTCCACCTGCATCTGACCAGTGTCCACCTGTGTCTGACCAGTGCCCACCAGCGTCTGACCAGTGCCCACCTGCGTCTGACCAAGGTCCACCACTGTCTGACCAGTGCCCACCTGCGTCTGACCAGTGTCCACCAGCGTCTGACTAGTGTCTACCAGCGTCTGACCAGTGTCCACCTGCATCTGACCAGTGTCCACCTGCGTCTGACCAGTGCCCACCAGCATCTGACCAGTGCCCACCTGCGTCTGACCAGTGTCTACCAGCATCTGACTAGTGTCTACCAGCGTTTGACCAGTGTACACCTGCGTCTGACCAGTGTCCACCAGTGTCTGACCAGTGTCCACCAGCATCTGACCAGGGTACACCAGCGTTTGACCAGGGTCCACCACCATCTGACCAATGCCCACCAGCGTCTGACCAGTGTCTGACCAGTGTCCACCAGCGTCCACCTGTGTCTGACCAGAGTCCACCACCATCTGACCAGTGTCCACCACCATCTGACCAGAATGAAGAAGCAGCTGTGAAACATATTTGATCAAAAAATGTTTGTCCAGTTGTCCAATTTTAATGTCTCCTTTGCCTTTACCATGTGCCAACCTTCTAATCCTTCAGTGGTCCAGTAGGTTCATGTTGGTCCATGGGTGTATACTCGTCCATGTGCTCTTCTTCTACTTGTTCTGTTACAGCTCAACATCATTCTAAATTTTTGTAATGTTAATGGGACTTTTTCAGTACCAATACCTGCTCAAATGATTGTTTAGTTTCGAAACTAGTCTCAGTATCGGTTAGTATGTTCATTTTCGACACCCTTATACATATTACATAATACTAAGTCATACACAAAAATAACTTCATGTTTTCAAATCAGACAGGTCCCAACATGTTCAAATCAAGACAAAGATTTAAGCAGGTTCAAGGCCAAAGCAAAGTCGGTACGTATTGATTTAGCTGCACGTGTGAACGCTGCTTGTATGAGTCAGCTGCGCCACTTCAACAGGAACACAGATAGTGCGGACATACTTATACATGTGTGTGTGTTTGTGTGTGTGTTTTTGTGTGTATTTGCGTGTGTGTGTGCGTGTGTTTGTGAGTAGAGCAGTCACCACAGGCTCCTCTCTGGTCTCCTCTATCCTCTGCTCGCTCATGTTACACCTCTGCTCTGTGCCTATTGATACTTTGCAGTGACTTCACTCTGGGGGTGTTCTGCACGTATGTCTACGGTGGAATGTTAAGCAGTTACCATGGACACTTTAGCACGAACACTACACAAATGCTTTAAAGGTTGTATGGAAGATTTTTGTTTTGTTTCAAATTGTCAGTGAAAGTTTAAAATACCATTACAGAGACGCAGCAGCCTTGTAATTATGATGACCAAAAAAAAAAGAATGAAAATCTATCAACTCAGGACGTAGTGAGGCCAGATAAACATCAGCCAATAGAAAAGGAGGCTCCCTCATTTTCTATTGGCTGTTAGGTGGTCAATCAAACTCCCTACGTTTCTAGTGTAACTGACTCGTCAGAGCGTGAGGATTATATGGTTTATGCAGCGTTTTTTAGAAGCTTTTTTAAACTGTCGTTTCCTTGCAGTTTGCACAAAGTTTGTTGCGATGGCGGAAGAGAATCCATGACCAG